CCTGCTTAATAATATCCTCCTCCTGCTTAATATCCCCCTGCTTAATAATATCCTCCTCCTGGTTAATATCCACCTGCTTAATAATATCCTCCTCCTGGTTAATATCCACCTGCTTAATAATATCCACCTCCAGGATAATATCCTCCCCCAGGATAATACCCTCCTCCAGGATAATATCCTCCTCCTGGATAATATCCTCCACCAGGATAATATCCACCCTAAGGTTATCCACCACAATAAAATACGACTGTTATTATCGAAAAGCAAGCTCCCCCTCCTCCGTAACCATAAAAGAGTGGAGGTGGTGCTGCAGTTGCTGGAGCACTAGTAGGAGGTGCATTGATTGGAGCTGCTTTAGCAAATAATCATAATCATAACCATCATCATGGTCCAGAAGTTGTGATTGTAAAGAAACATGGTCATCATCATTGATATTAAAAATCTATTCATATTCAATTAAAAATTCTATAATATTAAATAATGTTCAATAGTGAAATTCACATTGGAATAGAAAGATAAAATCATAAGTCCTTTGATGACCTTGAAAAAATGAATCTACTTGCCTAACCTATCACTATCTCGATGATTAAAATATAATATACTAAAGATTGTATTTTAGGTTTAAAAATAAAATATCGAGGAATGGATGGCTAAACTGTTGTTGGTAAAAGCAGTAGAAAACTTAAATTATTTGGAGTTCACTTTTCAAAATTCAAAATAGAAAAAAGTAAATTAGCATACCTATATTAGATGATTGTATCAAAGAAATATTTGGATTTGCTGGCTCTACAATCAATTAATTAGGAATCAGAACTTATAGAGGATAGGAAGTAATTTGCGGTACTTGCTAAGGTCAAGCATTTTCTTACTATATACCTAATCATACTTTTATAGCAGCAAAAGGATCCTATGATCAATTTTTAGAATATATTTGTTTTCGTGTTATTCCTTTGACACCAGAACAGATTACAAAATTTGTATTAAATATGTTTTATCTCTAGGGTAGTGGCAATGAAATATAAAAAAAACTATGAAGATCTAATTGAGATTAATATTAGATATTTTATAATATTTTTCTTTATTAAATAAAAGAATTAGGTAGTTATTCTTTTTTTGAATAATATCTTGATATTGTGTCAAATTCAAATTTATTTTAACTATGTTAATATTTTGTAAGCAATCGTCATGTTTAAATGCTTAAACATAAAACTATGTTCATAAAATATTAAAAAAGTAAAATGATATTGACGGTAATGAAAGTCATCAAAATTCTAACTTCAATTTATAAATTGTTCGAAAAAAACAGTTTTATTTAAATCGTCATTCTTATAAAAAGATTCTAAAATTATTAGGTTTGGTACAATTTTTTTATTTTTATTGTTTAAAATTAAGAGATTAAGAATATATAAAATTTGATGTGTCAATTTATGTTTATAAAATAATATAATAATTAAATAAATTCTCCTCCACCTAATAACAAATGATGGGACGTTCAATTTAAATTAGGATAATTGAAAGTATTATGGAGTAATTACTTTGCAGAAGTTGATAGGATGACAGAAGCATATAATTAGGGCTTATTTGTGAAAATAAAAAATAGAAATAGGAAACAATATTTAGATGAAAAGGAATTGAAAATTGTGATAAACCATTAGTGGATACAAACTTGTGAATGAAGCAAAGAGAGCTAATGATGAAAAAGTATGAAATGAAGGTGATGAACAAAGAAAATACCAATTGGAGAATTTGAATTTGTATTTAATGGATGGTGTATTAAGGCACGCGAAGAAATGGGTTTATCAGAGTAGAATAAAATAAGATTAGAAAAATAGTTAATATAAGAATAAAAATTTTATTTTTTTGATGATGAGAGTAATTTGATTATTTTTTGAAGAAAAGATACAAAGATTATTCTTATAGATTTCGACGAAAATGTGGCATTATGAACACATTAAGGACCTTGCTCAAGATGTGCAAGAAAAAACTAAAATCAAAAGTTACCATTTTTGATTGGATATATTTATAGGAGTAGTACAATTTTCTTATCATCCTCAATTTTCGAGAGAGGATTACTATGTACCAGATTTGAAATATCTCTAAAAGAAATATAGAAAGAGGCAGATCTGACTCTAATTCCTCATTATTAAAAACTTTAAAAATTTTAGAAAAAGAAACTACAGAATTGTAAAGTAGACCTGATGATAAAATGGAGATGGAAACGATTTAATTAGAGAAGGAAAGATTAAGAGAAGAGTTAAGAAAGAAATTTAGAATTAAAACAACAAAACTTGCAGTATATTTTCTCTGATAATTTTAGAGTTAATATGGATCCTAAAAAAATAATGAGTAAGGAAATTAAGAGGAATAAGAACGATTGTATAATGAGCATAATCAATCTTACTAAAAATCTCTAGATTATTTAAAGATATTGTAAGAAATGTTAATTCAGCAATAAGTATTGATTTAGTTTCATAATTTCACAGGAAAAATATGTTAGAGGTAGTAAAGACATGTATGGGTTCCCACTTAATTCCTCTTTTGTTGATTATGATAAATCAAAACCATTGGTATTGAGGATATTATGAGTGATAATATTGAATTTCTTTGCATTACTAGATGTTTTAGTTATCTTCGGGTATTTGTTGCTGTACTCTATAAATCTAAACCAGATGATATGTGAAAAGATTATATCAATTTTATCGAATACCATCTTAAATTTATTAATTATTTCATTATAATGAATTAGTAATTACAAGGAATTCCAGAGAACATTGATTAGAAATTAGAATTTTTTAATGAACGCAAGCAATAAGAACTTCATAAAAAAGCTAGGATTCTTAGATTTTCACATTTGAAAAGCAAAGGGTATACTTTTGGATTGGGTAGATATGTAACTTTATTTATGTAAATTCTAGCCTTTGGAAAAGTAAATAGAAACTCCTGGGCCTGGTCATTATTCTACACAATAACCAGAAACACCTATCAGTTATAGTATGGGTGTCAGACTCAATCAAAAAGGTAATTATCAAATAGTTTAATAGTTCATAAGTTTGAGGCCCCTCCTTTGGGTACTTATGAAATTAAAGGATTAGATAAATATGGTTATTATACTAATTCTAAATTTAAAAATGCTTGTGCAACTCTTTTTAGTCCTCTGAAAAACAGTAAAGCTAAATAAGTACTGTGAATTCATTAAAAAGTCTACCGTAAGTCCTGGTCCTGGTGATTATGAATTGCCAGGAAGCATAAATTCAAAAGGGCAGTATTTCATTTCAAATTTTAAAACAAATTAAGGGTGGGCACTTGGTAAGAAATCCCTTTCTTAAAGAAAACCTTATTATTGAATGATGATTAATTTAATTTTCTAAATATTATTTTTAGAATGTAAATTCTCTTTCATAATTTACAATAATGCAATCTTTACTATTAAATAAATATATAATGAAAAAATAATCAAATAAGCATTTTAAAACAGAACCATCAGTTCAATAATCTAATAAAACACCAATAAGCCCTTAGGTAAATTTAAAGACTGATGAATAATTAACCTAAAGTCAATTACATAATGACTTTCTAAAAACATAATAGTCATTTCGTAGCTCAACAAGTCCTTTAGCTTAAAATTCATCTCTAAGGTAAATTTTTTCATTTTTATTCAGCTCTAAAGTCACAAACTCAGCCAAGCCTTAAGTATAAAATAATTCTAAAACATCTATGCAGATTTTATCTAAATAGAAGATGTCAAATATGCATGAACGTTCTATTATTAAAGTTATGGGTTTCAATATTGAGGCTGTATGTTCTAAGAGAAATCATGAAAATAATAAAATGTTATACTTTTGTTAATTTTCAGAATGCAAAGCAGACAATAGAATAGGTTGTTCATATTGTTTAGTTGAATAACATAATGATCATTCTACTTAGATAATGGAAGTTTAGAATTTCTGTAAGATATTTGATGATAAAAAAAAGCAAGTATAAGTATAATAAATGATATAGTTTATAAACTTGAGTGAAACAATCATTAAACCTCCAGAAAAAACATAAGAAATCAAATTCTATTTTGATTAACTTAAACAATATTTGTTAGATCGTTTGTTTATTATTGAGAAGAATGTTTTATAATCTATTACTTAATAACTAGAATGGAATCCATTAGAAAAGGAATTAGTAAATAAAATAATTGATTTGGGTTCAAAAAAGATATTTGAAATGTCTTAAGATGAACTTAAGGAGAGCTTAGATTTTATAAAAGGCAAGCATTTTTAAGAATTAGAATATATTAAAAAAGAAACAAATAATTATTTAGGTTAAAAAATAAATTAAGTTGAAAAATCTTGGATTGAGTATAAAAAATAATTAGAGGTTGATTTATATAATCTTTTAGATGAGAATAATAAATTTGTATTATTAGATCCATAAAGTAAAGAATTTGTTGAGTTTAAACTAAATTTTTTTAAATAAAAAGAGAAATAATTAAATGAAATTATGTAGCCTTATATTAAATAATTAACAGTGATATAAGAAGAATAAAAATAGAAAGAATTAAAATAAATAAATTAAGATAAAAGTTTGGAATAATATTAAAATATTGATGAAGTAAATTAAGAAAAAGAGAAGTTGAGATAGAGTTAAGTATTTTAAAAAAAATAAAAAGATATAAAATAATGTAATTAATAAACTGAAAGAGAAAGAGAGAGAGAAAGAACAATTTTAACATTTCCTTATAAAATATATTCTGAAGAGTGTGGTCATAGAATTACATGTAATACAATACCAATATTTGGATGTTGTAGTAAAGCTTATCCATGTTCATTTTGTCATGGAAATATTACTCATTCAGCAAGAATTCAAGTACCAAGTTATAGATATTGTATGAAATGTCTTGAAATATATCTTGTTTAGTATCCAACTAATTATCCTATGAATTGTCTAAAATGTTTGAAATGATTAAATTTTGATAAATATATAAATGCCAAGAATAATTCTTGAATAACATTCAAATATTGCAAAACAGGTTTATAGTGCCATTCTTTAGGATAGGGCACTCTTTCAAACCATAATATATGTCCTTCAACTTATGTCATTAATTAAATTAGATTATCATTCTTTAATACAGCATCTCTCGAATAAACTGCCTTACTATTATTTACTGGATCATCAAAAGAGACTCATATAAATACAAAAATTTTAATGAACTCCATATAATTAGCACATTTGATTGATAAATAATGAAAGTCCACTGAAGATCCACATCAAATCTAGATTTAGGAAGATATGAATCAAATTCTAATGATAACTTGGCTTATTATACTTTATTCTTAACTTAATCGATATGTTTACATGTAGGTATATATTGATCTGATATATGAATCAGATAAATCTTCTGAAAATAGCATCCTCTTTTAAAATCTTCTTCATAAAGATAATTTCCTATTTATGGTAATATCTATCTTTATTAAATAGTCTATCATTATATAATTTGATTTTCCAATCCCATTTTATCTGGCAAAACTTTAAGAATAATTATTTGATAAAGGGTTCGACTCTTCAAACAGCCAAACCACTTAAAACAATAACTTATGGCTTATCTTCTGTATTTGTAGCTTCATTCTCACTTATTTTACTTTCATAACTACCCAAATTTAATGTAAAACATCCTAAATCTTAATCTTTCCAAAAACCTATATATTCTTACAAAAATTTTATTTAGGATCTAAATCTTATACTTTTGAAGAAATGAATGCTTATACTATACCTTTAAATAAATATGGAATATAATAAATCATTCTCCATATTCGTTAAATTTTATAAACTTACTTTCTTTATTATATGGTATCTATTTATGATTTATAAATTATTTGTAACATAATCTAATTAACCTCTATATGTTAAAAAGAAATAGAAAATCAATAAATCCTAAATATGAGTATTATTAAATACAAATATATAAATTAATAATCAGCCAGTTGATTTTGATATAACTGTTCTAAATTTTGTCTCATCATCATCTATACCATCAAATTTTATTCTTTAACCTCCTTTAACTGAATTCATCACTGGAATTTAACTCATTGGAGGTAATTCATTTTTAAAGTAATCGACATCAAGATCATCTTCTAATTTTTATTTTTCTGTATGCAAACTCAATAAATCTTTTTTTAATAAGTTTCTTTCAGATCTATTTTGATTAAAATTTCTCTGACTGTTTTAATTAGATATTGTCTATTTCAATGAATCATTGAGGAATGGATGTTTCAAAGCCTAAGATACTGAAATTCTTAATTTAGGATTTACTTCAAGCATATGTCCCAATAAATCTTAAGCACTATTAGGAATTCGAAATAATTATAAAGTTTTTAAATTTATAACACATGCCTTATTCTCCTATAATACTTCAATTGCACAATTCCCATGAAATAAATCTTTCTTAACTAATCTAATAATATTTTATTATCATACAATTTATAGAATACACATCCTAATGAAAACATATCACATTCACATCCGTATTTCTATTCTAAAAATATCTCTGGTGCTATATAACCTGGAGTACCGCATATTTTAATACTAGTTCCAACTCTTGCTGCATTACTAAAACTTATTAATTTAACAGACTTCTTTTTATTTTATTAATCATAAAGTATATTATCCAGAGTAATGTCTCTATGCATCACATAAATTGATTCAAGATACTATAATATATATAAACATTCTAAAATTATTGATTAAATTAAACGAAGATTTAATAAAATTTTGGAAGTGTTTAAAATTGTATTTAACTTTTCTCCTTACATTTTTTCCATAATTATATAGTAAGTTCCTTAAGTAAAAAAGAATTCCTCAAAAACAGGGAGACTTGGATGATTCAACAGTTTTAATATATTAAGTTCTTCAAAAATTATATTTTAATCATCTAACTAATCTTTCTGTATACATTTAGCTACTAAATTAGCTGTATTATCAGTCTTTTTAAGTATTTCATATACATTTCCATTTTAGCCTTTAGATTAATGAGTTGTCAATGTGTAAAAGAAATTAAAATCTCTTTATGCCACATGTTTTTACAATTATTTCTTCATATATTAAATAGTCTAAGGCTTTGCATAAAACCATTTAAACTTTTAGTTCACTTTTAATCTAAAAGCTTACTCTTATCCTTCTAGATTCCAACTAATATCTACGGACCAATCAAGTGGAATTATATATTTAGGTTTCCCAGAAGTCTAAATTATCTAGGGATATTTATACAACATTAATTAACCTAAGTTATTCATTTTGAATGTCTATTTGATATATAGAATCTTTGAATAAATGCTTTCTAAAACATATAAAATCTGAATTCATTAAATAAATAAAAATATGAAAACATCTCCTTAATCATTTTAAAGAGAAAATGAAGAAACAGTTTGGCATACTAGAAAATTGAGATAAGAGACAGAGAAGGATATTCAATTAATGAAGAATCGTCTAAAATTATTAAAGAGAGGAGATGCACAGTTATCAAAGAGAATTGATGAAACGAAAAAGAAAACTTAATCTATGATTGAATTAAAAATGAATCATCATTAATAGATTGAATAAGTAATCTAATTTATCACTTTCTATTAGAAAAAACAAAATTAAAAAAATGATGAAGCATAATTAAAGGACAAATAATAATAAAATTATGATCAAAAAAAACAATAAGAAGAATAATTAGATATGATTAAAAAAGCTATGGAATAAATTAAATTAGAAGAATATAAGAAAATTAAGTAAAATTTTAATAATATGCATTAGAGAGTTATCATTAAAAAATGCTGAAATGATAAATAAATAAAAATAAGATTTCATTTCTAAAAATAGGGAAAAAAGAGAACATATTAAAGAGATAATGTAAAAATCTAAATCTAATATTTCTCTTTATTGGAATGAAAAATTATCTCACATATAAAAAGAAAATGAGAAGTATTTATAAATAATTTATAATAAATTAGAGCTAAAGTTGAAAATAAAAGAGCCTGTGAACAAAACAAAGCCTTTTAAGAAAAAATGGAAATGGAAGAATCTTATATGATGTAGAAATTAATGAGATCTTAAGATGTATAAAAGAAATTAGCAATAAAATTGGAAAAAGCAAAAAATTTACCTCATGATGAATTTAATTAGATGATAAAAGAAGAAGAAGAAAATTCTAATAACTTGAGAACAAATAAAAGTGCTGAAATTCCAAGATGGTTACCAACTCCAGAGAAGGATGCTGCAATTATCTAAAATTTAGAAACTGAACCTAAATAAGATTCAGATTAATAGAAAAAAGAAGATGATTAAGAATAGCAAGAATGATATTATAAAAATATCTAAATTAGATTAGATGATTATTTTAAATCAAAATCTTACATAAATAAATTCCCTAATTATATTAAATATTTTTATATTCTAAAAATAAGATTTTATTTGAAAGATATTTATGATTTTATCTCAAGAAAATTCAATAACTAAAAGTGAAAATCATAGATTGATGATAAAAATAAAACTATTTTTTTACAAATAAATTTTAAAAAATTAATGAAACCATAATTTCTTATTTAACAATTTAAATTAAAAATTTGAGATGTTGAAATATATTAATCAAATTAAAAATGAATTTTTCGATTCTATTTCGAAGATACTTGAAATAAAATTTGTAAAATAAAAATCAGAAATGATGATATGAGGATTAATAATCATAAATTTAACAGAAAGTTAAATAATTAACTAAAATTAAATATATTTGATGCTTATAGTATTCATAATTATAATCTAAATTAAATAAATAGATAGAATGTTAGAATGTTGATTTAGAATTCATTAGATATTAAAAAAATATATAAAATTTATGTAAATAAATGGCCGTTTAACTTCAGGTGATAAATACCCTGAAGTCAATTTAGAAAAAGAAGCGGCTGAAATGGCATCTAGAATTGTAGAGAAAGTTCGTTAAAAATCAAATGTCAAATCTGCTTAAAGACTATTGGTGAAAGATTAAAATTTTAGATCAAGTGATTATAAACCTAGACCATCAGAAATTTAATCATGTAAAATTGGAACCACTTCTATAACTGATCGTTATGAACTCAATTTTGAACCAAATTTCAATTAAATCAACTCCCTATAGAATTGTTTTGCATCTAACAATAACTTTATTGAAACTATCAAAACACCTTAAAAATCATAGTTTAAATCTACATCTACAGATATGCAAGACATCTATCAAAAAACTGTTAAATTTAAAAATAACAATTATTATATTCCTGAACATTAATCATAATCTACTACTGATAAACTAGATAGCACTAAATTAATTAAACTTACGTATAAAATTATTTTATTTATTATAGTGATAATGTAAACAGTTTAATAAATAAGAAATCTGATCAATTATCAAAACATAGGAGAATAGAGAGTAATATACAATTTTAATCAAAATTTAATGTAAATCCTCACTAATTATAAACTCCTATTAAGTCCAATAAATAAGACATAGTTTCATAATTATTAGGTAGTTTGCGAAACCAAAATAAATATTCTGAATATAAAAACTCAGTTTAAAAATGAATATTACTATTTATTAAAAATTTTTATTATATAATTATCATAAATTGTTTAAAAGATAAAGTTTTAATTTTAATAAGGAAATTTTATGTTCCTCATAACTTTAACAAAAAATTTATCATTTGATAGATTTTAAATTATAATAGAAAAAATGATGTATGCTATTTTTAATAATTTTATAGAGCCTATATCATATACTATCATATATTTAAATTCTTAAGTAAAATTTTAAATAACCTATAAAAAATATTTTCTATTTCAATTAAAGTTATATTACTTATTATTAACAATTAATCAATTCTTTATAATTAAAATTTTATTTATATCAGGAATGAACTTATAATTAATAAAAATATTAAAGCTATCCCAATCTCAAATCATGATTTTAATCGATATCACTTATAAGATTTAATATTGAAGTATTTATAATTATAAATATATTTTTAGTATCAAAGGATAAATTGCAAAGAAAAGTTTTAATTGATTTAAAAAAATATAAAAATAATTGGAAACATTATGATAAAAAAATATAGTTTACAATTTGCATCTTAAGAGATAGAGTAAATATACAGACAATCTCTTTTATGTGGAATTAAATATCGACGTGAATATACATATGGGATATTATGCATATATCTAGGATTAATAATCATTAAATATAATTTGTAATAGGTTTTACTACCTCAAATATTTGCTGGTGTTGGAATAATATTAGAACTGGCACTATTTTTGTTTATGAAGAAATACTGGAAATATAAAGAAGTTTTAATAACTCTTAATATGATTTTTATGGCCACAATGTCTGAAAGTTTGAGATTGTTTGGATTTGAAGATTATTTATGGTATTATGGATAGCATACATCTTTTCTTAAGTTACGTAAGATATCTATATAAAATTAGTTATTTATTTATAGGGAAGTTAATTTTTAATTCAATCTTTTATATTCTTTTGTACTTAAGCAATAAGCATATATAATTTAAATAATTATGATGTAATTTCAATTATTTCTCATTGCCTTATTACTTTAATTCTTATAATGTTGCGTTATTAATATGAAATTATTAGTAGAAAGAATTTTCTATCTGGATTATCAAGAGAATAATATGAAAATATTATAGAAGATCTTCTTCCATCATGGGTAGTTGTGCTTAAATATAACAAATTATCTGCATAATTATAAATAGAAAAAATTAATAAAAATTTAAAAGAAAAATTCAATCTCAAAAATAATGAAGCCTTAAGAGAATTTTTAAGGAAAATAACTATCTATGAATTTGAAAATATTAAAATTGAGCATGAAATTATATAAATCTTAAAATCAAAAAGTTAAGTTCATTCTGTATAAAGATATTTTGGTATTTTAGGAAATGATGAAAATAAAAAATAATGGAAATTAAAAATAACATAAGTTTACTTTAAAGCATTAGAACCTTTGGTTATACTTTTATTTGAGGAAATTAAAGAAGGAAAATATGATTTATATATTAATCAGATTAAATTAAGAGATAATTAATAATATGTATTAATTTAATTTGAATTTAGTATCATTCAAAAGTAAGCTTATCATTGATTACTTAATAAATGTAACTAACTTAATAAATGTATAGTCAATTACATTTACTATCTTTAAGTAAATAAGACTAGTTAAATAGATTTTAATTAAATTTGCAAAAATAAACACAATTAAGTTACTATTTATACAATCTTAATAATAATTTATTGAATCTATTCAAAATATCTCACAGATAAATCAAATATGAATTTTAAGAAATTTAGATAGAAACATTTTTTAAAACTCTTACTGATAATTTGCTTATCAAATATAGATAAAGTAAGATTAATATTAAAAATTTTTAAATCAAAAAGGAAACAATCAAGACTGATAAAAACAAGTTAATTTCTATTATAATGAATTTAATGGAATTCATTAAAATTTTACTTTCAATAATATATTCTGATGAAAATTTAATATATTAATTACATCCAATGAAAAAATCTTTTTCACTCTCAATAAAGTAATCAAAAATGCATAAAGATTCAATCTAAATTAATTTAACTCATCCTAATTTAAGAATTTCAAATGAAATGATTAATTTAATATAAAATATATAACCAGTATCTATTGATGATAAAAAAAGAAATTGGAATAATAAGAATTATTATGAAATGATGAAGAATTTAAATCAAACTCTTTCTTCAATGATGAATCCTTATAAAAAAGATATTTAATCTCTTACTTCAATATCTGTAGGATTATAAAATAATGGATAATAATAAATAAATAATTAGGATAGTTAAAAATTATAATTTAATACTTTAGGATATTTAATGGCCTCATATTTTATTAGTTAATTAGGTCCTTTTAATAAAGTGTTTTTTAAATAACCACTTATAGAAAATGATGTATTGAATCCTTAATATATTTCATCTAATAATAAAACAAAAATACAATTTATTATTTATAAGGATTTGCAAAATTTTTTAAGAGAGGTTTCTAAATAAGAAAAAGTTTCTTTTGAAGAAAATTACTATTTTTCAGAAAAAAAATTAACGAATTAAGAAATTACAGAAAGATTAATTTAATTTTATGCTGAAGATTAGTAAAAAAGATTATTTTGAATTCTAATAAAAGGAAAAATTATACTAATAATATCATTGATTATTATCAATATCCTATTTTAAAGATTGATATCTAGAGTATTCAAATATTAGGTTTTATTATTAAGGTTTTTCTAAGATACTAGTTTCAAAAATTGTAGATCTTTTTGCTTAAATACTTTTTTATAAACTTTATGCTCTTGTTTATTATGAAAAAATAAATTTTGATTTAGTATCTGAATTAGCTATTGAATGAAATGATGTGTTCTTACGATGGAAAGAATCATTTTTGTTTCTTTTTACACTAGTTTAGATTTACTAATAAAATTCTTAAGTAATTTTTGGTTCTGTTGATTATAATTTAATATTTTAGTTTCTTAAATCTGAATATTCATTAAGTTATTCTTATAATTTTTTCAAAATTTATTTGAGTTTTTCATTTTTCTATACTTATTTTAATAATGCTTCTTTGGTGAACATTAATTCCTTATATTTAGATTAAATAAATTACATTTTCTAAAAATTAATTTGTTTTTGTAAGTGTTTAGACATTTTACTTCAATAGTTTACATTATTCATTTAATGTAAGGCATTCTTATCTAAAAAATATCATTTTATTTTGAGCATTGACAACCTTTAAGCTTTAATAACGATTATTTTACTTATGATTCTTATTCATGAAATGCAACGTATTAATGAAATTTTTCATTGATTCGATCTATATCTTTTTTCATTGTTTCCAAAATTTGTTTGAAAGCATTTAGGATGTTGTTTTATTAAAATTTTAACATTTGATTAACATTTGTGTTAGTTTAATCTATTAAACCTTCCATTTCTTTACAAAGTTCTTACATATTTTTTGCTTAATCAGGATGTATTTTCTCTAAAGTAGGTAATATTTGTTTATTTTCAGTTATAAAAAGAACTTCTTACATTCAATATTTTAATTAAATATAAATATAAATCAATAATCACAATTTTTCGCCTTTGATTTCAAAATTTTTTTTGAGAATCATCTGACAAAAAATTAAATTAAGGATCTGTTATTTATTTAAAAAATGTCAATCTAGATTTACTATAAATAAATAATTCTGGATCAATATTCTTTTTATTCATTGTTATAATAAATCTTTGAATGTCGTTTCTTTATTCAGTTTTTAAAAATTCTTTAAGTTATTTAAATTAATACTTGAAGATATTGGAGCTTTAAGGCCAAGTTCTTTGTATGAATTTTATAAAAATCCATCAAATTCAGTATTATCGATTAATTCTCCATGAATATACTAACATCTTATACCATAAGGACAATAGCCTTATTAAAAAAATCTCTTGCATGGTTTCGTTTTATATTTTGAATGCAAATGAGTTTTTGGCTATAATTCAGTATTACCATGCGCAAATGAGCACTTTAAATTTAAAAAAGAAATACTTCATTTCCATATTTACAAGTCCCTGTCATTACGAAATTTTTACACAATTCAGTTTTTTTCTTTTTAGTATACTCTTCTACATATTATTTTTTTTCTTGTATTGTTACGAAGTGCTTTTTTTAAGGCTTTACACTGAAATATTTTAAAAAATTATTTTACTCAATTTCAAAAATGTTTTCCTCTTTATCACTAGAATCGGTATCAATTGATGACAACTCAAGCTGGTTCCAGTTATAATTCTGAGTAGTATAGAATATGTTCATTTATAAAATTAAGTTATATAAATATTTATAAGAAAATCATGTTTCATTTGTTCAATTATTTATTTTTAAAAGTATTAAATATGTTCAATTTACTTAAATATAGCCAGTATTACCTAAAACAAACCATAATATATATCAATATACATTGAAATAAGGAAAATCTTTAAAATTCAATATCTATCAAGAACTAATTTGTTTTTTGATTGACATCATTTAAAATTAATATTATAAAATATTAATTTGAGATTAGGAATGGAAATAAATAAATTATTAATTAGAATAAAATTATTCAAATTTTATTCTTATTTCAATAATAATTTAAATTTTACAATTAAAGAAGACATTTATTTTTCAGCTATTTAATTAGTAAACTTTTATGCTTGACTTTTTTATATTAACAAAAATTTGATTATATATTTTATAATTTTATAATTATTAATAACTATTATTGTTTTATAAATGTTAAACATGCTTGATGTAATTTCAACATTTTCTATTCATTCTTGTTAGAGTAAAAGGTACAAATAAATAATAATTATACAAAGAAATAGATAAACTGGAAATTTATCAAAGGGTTCTACAGCTAGATAATCTACTAGACCTAATTAGAAATTTTATAAAATAAAATTAGATGATCTCCCATTCAAAACAAGTCCAAAAAGTGAAAAAAGAGATAAAATTGAAGTATAGGCAATAAGTGAATAAAATAGAAAAAGAGAGAATGAAAATGAAAACATATTTGAAAGCAACATTTATCCATTGATCATTTTTTAAAAAAGTAATTATTAGTGAATAAAAAATAAGTCTCCTACCGTTAGCTTTTGAAAGAAAGTAATAAATTCATAATTTTTAGTTAAGTTTGAAAAAGATATAAGATCTCTTCATCCATCTGACAAACGTAATTATGTAATCTATAGAATAATGTGTGAACTATTTTAAGAACTATAATTTGAGATGCAAAATATATTGATTTGTCAACATCCAATTTCAAAACTATTTTACATTTATTTTTCTGATACTGATTATTGTCCAATCTCAAAATGCTGTAATTATAATGTTGTCATACGAATTGGTGAAATATTAGGAGGAGAGATTAAATGTTTAAATTCTAAATGTCCTTTAGGAGTTTTAACAACTTTTGAAATTGAGGAAAAGATTCTCTGGAATTAAACTTTTTAAAAAAAGAAAGTTATATCGAATCTAATTTCTAGTGGGAAATATAGAACTTAGAGTTTACTTAGATCAGTTCAAGTACCTGAAAATAATATCTCATATGCTCCAAAATAATAATAATAATAAAATTAGAATTCTTATAAAAGATCTTCCACTTTTTATTAAAGAGCTAGTTAAACTAATTACGAATAAATTTATAAATATGAATTATCGAAAAATCTACTACTAAACTCTTAAATTTTTAATAAGAATTTTGATAATTAAATTGATGAAAAATATAGATATAGATGCAAATTTTAATGATTATATTAATTCTTATTCATTATTATAAATTTCGAATCAATTCATTTGTTATTATTAAACAATTTAAATAAATTTTAACTATTATCTAATTAATTTATAATATATTAATACTATAAAATTCTGTAGATAAAGAATTGTAAGATTTTAATCAGAATATTATTAGATAATATCTTCATATAATTAGGAATAGTTAGGTTAAAAGTCTAGATCATAATCTCCTTACTTTTTTCTATCTTTTATTATTAGACAGATTTTCTCCATTATTTTTATTATTATTGTATAATAGTGAAATCTCTTAAAACTTCATCAGTTTAAATATATCTACCTTTCAAAAAAGATGAAAAAATGATTAACTTTTATTTTCTATGTCAATAAGGATCTTTATTAACTTTGAACTAACTTAAATTAATTATGATTTCTACTTGAAATAAATTTAATATGATAGATTAAACTGTTTTTGCAAAAGTATAAATCAAATTCAATTCTTATGTTATTTCTTTTAACATATGAGTTCATAAATTTTATATATTCTAATGTAAACTCAATTTAATTTTTTCTCCAAATCACAATATTTTGTGAACACCCAATTAAAGTTTTTTATATTAATTATTTAATTGAGCCTTGTTAATAATAAATATTTAACAAAGTCAAATTTATTATCTCTTTTTCTTTTTCTTTTGATATATTTACTAATTAAGTTTTAATTTACATATAATTCTTATACTTTATAACATGTCATTCAACATTATAATAAATTTCATATTTAAGTTTCATCTAAGATCATTATTGATTAATCTTACAATATATTCATTAATCACTTTTTTATCTATGTAAACCAAAACCTCTTAATCAATTTTATCATCATCAAATTCATCGAATTTTATTAGATGTCCAGTTTTTATTCTCAAGATTTCATTTTCAATTTTATGTATATTATCAATCTAAAATATTTCATTTATTGTTTTGATTAATCATCATTATAATTTGCTGGCTATAACTTATGAATCACTTAGCATTTTAGGTAAACATTGTATATTCATAGTTAAGAAATATAAATAAAGAACAACTATTCGTTTTATCTAAATTTACATTCAATATAATAATAAATAAACTTGCAATCTAAATATATTATTTTAATTGATTAAAGAATGAACAAATTAAGTGAAAGCATAAAAATGATATCTAAACTACTTATTATATTATTGATGAAATTTTAATAAGCACTATGTTATCATATTAAGTTTTAACAGAAAGCTTGAATTATTTTTAGATCCATCATAAAATTTTATTACAAAAGAAAATAAATTTAATTTGTTTGTTAAATTGAAAGAATAAAATTGATAAAAATAGTTTTAGATTTAAAATAATCCTTCATTTTATGAATAAGCATAGATTAAAAAGGAAATAAGCGTATAAGTGAATCCAAAGTTTGAACCTTTTATTTTTATAAAACGTAATTTGGTGTTAATTTGTTAATTTTAAATATTTATTATTTAACTATCAATATGGCGCACTAAATCCAGGAGGTGGTAAACCAGTATTTGGATCAGTATTCTTAGGACGTCTAAATAATAGAATATGTGGTTCAGGTCTATGAGTTTCATAATGAACCCAACCTCTAGATTGTTACACTCCTATTGCTCTCCATTCCATTTCATTTAATAATTTTCCTACATTTGATTATTTAAAATACCTTTTGTAATTTTTTTAAATATGTGTTTTGGCAAAATTACATGTCTATATTCATAATAATCATCAAAATATTTGTCAGAATATTCTATCTCCTCTGGATAATGAGGCATATAAAATACTTCAAATTTTAAATTAAAAATATAATAATACAATCGTTGAATTAATTTATAAAATATTTATATTTCCCTTAACTTCATTTAAGAATCAAAACGAATCTGATTATCTTATTACATTTTTTAGATTAAAATAAAGATCTCAAAATTTTTAATAATTTTCAACCTTTTTATATTTAATTTAAAAAAAAAGTACATCAATCAATCAATAATAAAAAAAAATTTGGTTTGCTTGACATTTAAAAAAAATACAACATAAATCTTTATTGAATAAAGATTTTATTTAAAAATCATATCCGTTACAAATCTAAAAAGGTAAGGGATAAAAATAAAGATGATAAAAACTATTCTTGAAAAATAAATATTTCAAATAGTTTATATGAATTCATCTAGAACATTCTTCATCAAGTTAATACTTTTTTCATTCTTAATTAAAGAATGTAATTCAGATATATTATTTTTAAAACAAAAATAATCTCTTGAAATGATAAGAATTTGATATTAAAATACTTAATTTTATGATTTACATCAATATAATTCTAAAAGGATCTTAGAAGAATATCATTCTCGAGAATAATGAAATTCTTAAAAATTCTTATAAATAAACCATGATTTTTCAAGAATTTATTTGATATTTTAATTAATGAAGTTCATCCTTTAATGCTCAATATGCTTATAGAATTTAAAAAATCCAGTCTCATTGAGCTGTGGACATACTTTTTGCTAAAATTGCATATAAAATTCATTTGAAACATAAGAATTTTGTGCATGTCCTTTATGTCGTTAACCTGTATTACTTAGCAACAATAAAACTGATGAATTATTACCAATTGTTCAATAAATATATGAAAATGAGGGAACATAAAGTATGATTGATCATTTAAATAGGTTTATTAAATGAATTTCCATCTTTAATTATATGCCTTTGTTGTGGATTGACTCCAATAAATCCAGTTGTACTGTCATGTTAGCATATGTTTTGCTAAAAATGCATTGAAGAAAATCTAAAAGAAGAATTATTATGTCCAGCATGTTCAGATTATTGTTTTAATATCAAAGTTAATACAAATAAAAAATATAAAGATCTTATAGATTGGTATTTCAAAGAATTCAAAATAGAAGAAGAATAATAAATTGATTAAGTAGTTTAAAACGATACTATTTTTGGTATTCCAATCTTCCATTATGATTAATCAGTTATTATATATGGATCTATAGAATTTCAATTTTTAGAATTAAGATATTAAGAAATGATAAAAATGGTTAGTTCTGGTTCAGGAAATTTTATTGTTACTAGTGATTTGATCAATGGAGATTTAGTTTAAATAAAAAGTATTAAAAAAACAAACAAAGGATATTAAGTTTAAATTGATGGATTATAAAGAATATAAATTAAGCAAATTTATAGTTATATTAATGGAGTTAAAACTTAATATTAAAAATGGAACACTTAACAATTATGGCTTTGCTAATGTGAATATGTAAGAGATTAAATTTTTAAAGAAAATTGTTTTTAGCAATATAAATATATTGTTGCTACTTTAGAAAAATTATATTAAAACATTAAATTAGAAATAAGAGATATATTTTAGGCTTTTATGAAAAAAATTATTAATTTACCTAATTCTGAAAGCAGTCTTATTCTTTTAGCCTCATTAAATAATAATTTTGAATAAGAATATTATGCTACTGATGTTGAGAAAAGAATTTAACATATATAATAACATTTTGCTCTTTTAGAATTAAAAATAAAAGGAATTTATGCCAAAGATGATTAAATCTAATACGCTAAATTAAAATAAGATAGCATTGAAATTATATAATATCCAGAATTCGATGTAACTACTTAATATTTTCTTAATCTCTTTAATATTAAAAAGGTTCTTTGTTTTTGACTTACTTATTACATATATAAATATATATAGATAATTAAATTTTAATTAAATTTTAATCCATTATTTTATTACATTGATTAAAAAGCTTAATTTAAATTGAGATCTTTTATTTATGATCTTAGCTTATCTTGAAATCATCTTTATTAATACTTTATTTTTATATTTAAATAAACAATTTCATTTGAGATGTAAATAATAAATTTTCATTAAGTATTTGGTTTTTAGAAGTAATTGATTAAATTTATTAAAAACTAATAAAATTAACTTATGATGAACAATTTTTAATTTATTACATCAATAATAATTATTCTCTATTTTATTTAATAGTAAAAAAGCTCTATAATATTTTCAGCTTATTAATTTAAACATACTAAAATCAAAATTTAAAAAGTTAATTATTACACTAAAAATATATGATATTTGATAAAACCTTCAGAACCACTTAGAGAATATTCTAATTATAAAACTAAATTACTCAATTGGTTTTTCAATTTTTGACAATTATTATAAAAGTATTGAGGATGACTTGTACAGAAGAGCATTCCTAATTTATTTATTGATTTTCATTACACACATACAGAGTTTTTAATGAATCAACAAAAGTTGAAAATATTTTACAATTTTTTTTCTTTAATTTTCTAAACTTATTGAAAATACTATGATCAACTTTTATGATTTTTGAATTTTAATTATTTCTGTCAACAATTCAAAAACATAAATTGCTGCTACTATTCAATTTTATTATATGATGAATAATTTAGGGCAGAACCCAGATATATTCAAAAAAAAAAATTTCTTATAAATAGAAAGCAAATATTGCATTAATACTATGTAATTTATATAGAAATGTCAAATTAAAATAATTGAAATCAAAGTTAACTCTACTGATTGAAATTTTTGTCTTCAGTGAACAACTGTAAACAACTAGTGTTTTCATAAGATTTTTTTTACGTTTTTATTTGTAACCTAAAAATCAAAAACTTATAAGCTTTATTGTTAAATTATGTAGGAAATTAAGAAATTATAGATTAAAAATTATTAATGAGAATATAAATTAATGATGTTGATTTTGTTGAAGTAATTCTAAACTAAAAAATAAATGTTTTGTTGATTAATTTGTATCTAAAAATATGAAAATGTCTATGGTAAAACAAAATGATTAATTTTAAAGTAGCTTTTTAAAAGAATAAAATAATTAAAAAAGCTTCAAAAATGATGATTAATAAATTAACTCTAAATTTTAAATCGAAAAGTATTGAAAAGGATTATAGAAACTTGTAATAAAACTACATAAAATAAGAATTTACATTATTTTCGATACACACAATTGTAAGAATAATATTGATTTTAGTTATTTTTTATAGCTTATATATTATACTACTTTTAAGAATTTACTTTTAATGGAGTAATTATAGCAAATATTCTAACATTTATGTTGGCAATAGTATTGTTGAAATTTATAATAAATTCTCATCCAGCCTGGAATGAATATATTTTACCAATACTTTAAATATATATTGCTTACATTTGGAATTTAGATAATTTATTCCCAACAACTATAGAAGATCCTAATTATGATCCTAATGCTAGTTATGAATATAATTGGTATTATGGATTATAAGCTTTCTACTTTCATTTTGGTAACTTATAATATTATGTATAAAGCAATTTTACAACTTGGTTATTAGATATGGCCTTAAGCAATTGCTCTGTTACTTATTTATATATAATATGCTAGTTATTATCCTACAGAAACATTAGAATATTCAACTATCTGTTTAACAATATTTTTGGTTTTTATTGGCTTAGTAGTGATGAAATATTCGAATGAGAAAATTAAACGACTTTAATTTAGAGATAGTAGAGAATAAAATAGATGGATAAAAATTATAGATTATGTTTTAGAGTAATCTATTGTTGTTATTAAGCTTGATTAAAAATAAGATTAATTAATATTGTCATAAATTAATGATATATCAAAAACAAGATTAAAAATTTAAAATAATAAGGAATTTAGAGAGATGCTTAGAAATGTATGTTCATTATTATTTTTTAGATGATTATAGAAAATCATTAATTTGAGAAGGATGAAGTTAAATAAAAAAATTTAGAACAAGAAATAAGAGATCTCATAATTAAAAACGAATAATATAGATTTATTACTCATTAAGTAGATGTACGATCAAATGTTTTACATAAGGAATACAAGGTTAAATTGATTTAGTAAGTTTTATCTGATGAATATTGTGTAATTGCAATATTTGAGTAAAATTTTAAAAATGAAAATAAATAAATCTAATTAGAAGTTAGGTGCAAAGAAAATTTATTTTTGTATTTAATAAAATAATTCTTTTAATAAATCAAAACTGCAAATACTAAATTAGCAATTTTACAATCAATGATTAATTTTTAATAAATTCGTTTATTACTTAATGATCAAAATCTTAAGATTAAATAAAGTTGGGTTTCAACTAATTAGATACGTAATTAAATTAATTTAATATATTCAAAGAAAATAAAAATTACTATAAAAAAAGAATTGTAAGGATTTAATACTAATCAAATTTATTTATTCAGTATTTTAATGAGCATTACATAAATTTTTGATGAATTTTAACACTTTAAAATAAAAGGCAAGACTATACTAAATATTTAAAGAGTAAAGTTTACATTAATTGGAAAGATGAGTGATTTGTGTTCTAATTAAAAATTATTATTATCAAATTTAAACTTAAGTTAATCCCTTAAAGAGAACTAGAAGATAATTTTAAAGCAACTTTAAAAATTAATTCATAATAAAATTATACCTGTTAGATAGAAAAATCAAATAATATCAATATACTTAAATAAATTTCTCTTATGGGAAGGGTTCAGAGAAAAACATTACAATCTGAAATGCAAAGATGGTTTAGCACATTTGTCTTTTGAGTTTGAAGTCTGATTCGTATGACATATCTCATTTTTGATTTATAAAATGTGTATGTAATATTATTTCAAATTCTTTAAAATAAACATTATTTTACTTTTATTTTGATTTTATAATATAAATAATTGAAAAATGAAATAAATAAGAATGATAGCAAGTAACCCATTATATCAAAATCATTTATATTATTGTTTATCCATCATTTTTATCAATCCAATTACAAATTCTCTAAGATTTTTATTTTATTTTATCACTTCTATTGGAATCATATTTAACATTTGTATAGTTTAATTAGTCTAAGAATATATTAAATGAATAATTACCTCTTTATTGATTTAATTAAAATAACGTAAAGCAACGAGAATGTAAAAGAAAAACATAACAATTACATAAATGATGGTCAATAATAATGATAAGTTTACTGATGATTGAAAGACATTATCAATCATTATATTTTCTTATTAAATCATGTACTCAATTGCATAACCGATATAGTTAAATAAGCAATAGTTGATTTCAAATAGTAGTGAATCATTCAAATGAGGAGAATATAGAATTTCTTCTGTTATGTTAAGATATAATCTTTGTCTTCTTTCAAAAAATTGATACATATATTATTCAATAGCAATAATACCTAATAAATTTGTTGTGTTTATATAAGTGGCACATTTATTATACTCTTATTCTCCTATAAGATTTTTGATTGGATCACAAATCATAAAATATTAGATGGTATTATATAGCTCAGTAAATTCTTCAAATTAATCAAATACTTAAACACTAAATTCCCTAAGATTTTCTTAATTATTTTTGAAAACACTTAAATGTTTCTTTGCTGCAAGTTTTATATTTTCTCCATTAACTTATATGCTACTATTCAAAAGCATAAGTGTATAGATATTTAAATGATCAATATAATTCATTGTAAATTATTAATATAGATAATTTTAAGGCCATATTAATTTGAGAAATGATTGTTAATTGAGCAAATCAAAAAATTGAAAAAGAGTATTCCCTAAAATAATCCATCCAATTAAAATCACACTTAAAATTAAATTAAGTTGCCCTTTTAAAATATTACTTTAATATTTTTAAAGCACTTTTTTATATTTTTAAGCTTTTTTTCTATTTTGATCATCTTCTTATTATTTTTTTGTTTCTTAGACTTAATTATTGATATCTATTTCTTATTCTTCATCAGAGGAAGCCTCTAAGTCATATGTTTATGCAATTAATTCTTTAATACTGACAAATTATTTTAAGAATTACTCACAGTTTTTTTAAAAATTATTTAAATGTTCATCTGGTATAGCTAAAAATAAAAACATAACATTTTCTCTTTGCTATTTAACTTAAATCATGAAAATTATAACTCTTATTATAATGAAAGAGCTTATGATTAAAGTTAAAATAATTTATATAATTTAAGATGTTTATAAACCTTTGACTTTATCATATCCATTTTGATAAAGTAGAGCATTGATTTCAACTAGTTTTGAAGTCATAGTGGGATTATAATTTATTAGAATATTAACTATTTCTATGTCATTTAAAGTGGATGAATTTTTTGTGATCCATTTAAAAGCATAAGTTTCTATAAGGACAATAGCTTAATCAAATCGTGTTTGTCTAGAAACAGAAACCCAATCATTTTATATAGTGATAAATTCAATTTCATCTGCCATTAGTAATTCATTAAAGACATCATATTTCACTGATTTCAAAGTAATATCATTTAAATTGATAATTGTCTTATTAACATCTTTAAATATATCTTCAGATGTGTATTATGTAAGATTCCTTTAGACTAAAATGTGATCAATTGATCTAGTTAATAATCTTAGTAATTCAAAATTGATCTTATAGCAATTATTTAATGTAGTTAATAATTCATCTTAAACTTTATAAAAATTTTATTTATCACTAAATTAAAATATTGCAAATCCCATAAAATATAGAAGATAAAATAATGTATATTATTTTAGTTTCGTAATTTATTTATGTTTATGATTAGTATTTAAGGCATTAACAATTGTTGATTGTTATTTTAATTTAGAGAAATTCTTGTATTCTCTGTTATTAATTTAGAAATCATTTCTATTTTTAAAGATAGAATCATCTTATTCTTATTCTTCTAATTCTTTTAAGATTTGTTCTTCAAATTCTTCATCGATAGGAACAATTTGTCCATTGATTAATCTTCTAGTTTTAATGATATCATCAACACCAATAGTTTATTCAATAGTTATGGTTTATTTTTCTTCTCTAATCAAATAATTATTAAGTTATTCAATTTCTTCTGGTCTAGGACCTTATTAGAAATTGGCCATCATTGAATATACTAAATTAGTATCTAAATTTTATTAATTAGTTTGAGTTGCATACATAAATGAGGAACTTTAATGAGCAGAATATATTTGAAATGTTGGGTTAAGTTTAAGAATATCAATACTTTAACGACTGACACTTTTTTTATTAGATTACATGGCTTCTGTTTTATCTATATTTTAAAAAGTAATTTAGTGAAATTATTATTATTATTATTGATTTTCATCAAAATCAGCTGCAATTCTTATTTATATATATTTAATTGAGCATCTCAAATAATGTAATCCTAAAATAATGAAATGAGATACTTTCTTCGTTTTTAATGTTAGATCTAAAATGAATATCATATTTATCTTTGTGCATTATATCAGGAATCAAATCATTCAATTTTATATCTCTATTTAATACAGCTTTATTATCGAGACCAAAAATATTGATAGCTCCTGTAGATAATTCATAAATTTTGGTATCTTCATCAATAATGAAATGAACTAGGTTTTATTATTCTAAATTTGATTCAAAAGTAACAAAATATTACAATGATTCTAAATTTAGCATTACTTTATATTTCATAGGAGCTATGTAACCATTCTTATGTTTGAAATAATTGTTTTATTCAAAATTTATGTAATCACTTTCAATATGATTATTTTTAACATTTTCTAGATACTATTAAAGATAAGAATTATGTTATTCTCCATACATTTTTGGCATCAATTAATTAATAGATTTTCCTATTAATTCTTATTTAGAATATCCAAGATAATTGACAACTAATTAATTCATCCCAACTATTACTCCATGCTTTATCATACTAACACTAATTGCAGGCTTCAGATTATTTTCTAAAGAGAAAGACTCTTCATCTTCAACTTAAGCTAATGACTATTACACTTATTTTGCTAATCTTAGAAATTATCTTCCTTTTAATTTATCATTTGTTACAAAAATAAGAAATAAACCAAATACTCTTATAGTTTAAAAAATATTAGGGTTTATTTTTTGCATTTTAAAATAACTTTCATTAATCATATTAGTAGTCTTATTAATTCTTTATCCTAAAACATTTAATTTTCTTAAATCAGGTTGATCTTCTTTTAATTCTATCCAAAATTCTTTGTGTAGATTTGCAGATAATTTCATCATATCTTCACAAATAGTCATATTATTTTCAAATTCTATCATACTAATAACATCATTATTTTATTCTTTCTTTTCTTAATTACTATTTATTGCTTTGCTATTTTTATATATGATAAATTCTTAATCAAAAGCTGGTCTACCAAATTTTTAAGCTTCTAAAAATTATTAATGAGCCTTCTTTTTATTGTTTAATCTTTCAATCAAAAAGAAGGCATAAGAAATTCTCAATTAAGTTGATTATGGAAATTTCTCTAATCCTTATTAAAACAATTTATCTAATTCTGCTAAAAGACCAGAAATTATGGCATCAAAATTATTTTATGATATTTTTTTATTATTCTTCTCTTTTAATTAACATTCATCTGGATTACATGTTTCTTTGTGTTTTTCAATATATCCAATTAACAACATATAAGAATTCTTATCTTTTTCTTAATTTTAGATCAATTATAGAACATATCGAATATGATTGTTGATTTCTTCTCCTGATTTGAATTTATTAGATTATCTTATTAACATATCAATTTTAGATTTTCTAGAAGATGCCATAATTGATACAATGAATGGAATTCCTAAAAGCCATGCAATCAAACCACCATTAAAAGCTGTATTTTCTAATATCTTACAAATCAATAGCCATGAATTTGTCCATAAATAATATGTAGAAATTACATTATAAAATAACCCTACTTCCCAATCATAATATGGATCATCAATATTATAAACTTTGAAAAGCCATAATGATAAAAGAAATGTTATAATAATGAGTATCCAGCTATCTTAGGGCCCTAAGAAAGAGTATATAACTTAACAAATAACTTTATTTAAAATAAAGACTACTTCTCCATTACTATCTTATCTAGATGTGCGATTTTTAGTTTTCATTTTTGGTTCAAAAAATGCATAAGCAACAATAGAGCAAATAATAGTAAAAATCAAATTAAAAAGACTAGCTAATATGGCATGAAAAATATGCCATCCAGACCAACATAAGACAGTTGGAAATTATGCTAAAGCATATTCTCCATTTTCATTAGTCTCACATGTTATCAAAGATATTAAGGTTTCAGTAATAGGTAAGAAAAATAGAGTAACTACAATAGAAACTCCAGATCTTAATACATGTACAGGCCACATCCATTTAAATCGTTGTCTTGAAAATGAATAAGATACATATATAATGTCTAAAACCATCAAGAATATGATGAGTAGTAAAAAATATACTGATAGAATGAATGTGAGGTAATTAATTGTTGGTAAATAGCTTCCAATACTTAAAATATTAAAGGCAGTAAAGACAATTTCTAAAAAGGATGAAGCTTTCCATACATAATCAATTTTCTAATTGAAAGGGAAACTATGAATCTAAACATAATCAGCAGCAGTCTGTAGATAAAATAGCAATAGACTTTCACTTTCTTCTTCTCCTTAATCTAGTATTGCCAATACGTCGAAAATAGCAAATTTGATTTTCCTTAAGAAATTATCAAAGCCTTTATCCTCATCATCCATTTAATTCATTTATATGAATTTGAACTATTATAATTTATGTGAATTTAGGTATTTTATTAAATTGTAATATTCAATATCTATAGACTGTGCTGTATGCAGGTGCAACATAGCTGGTAGTAACCGGAGCAATAGGAGCAGCAACACTGTATGAGAGTGGTGAAGCATAAGTGATAGGTGCAACTGGATTAATAGGAGCAACAAATGAACTTCTTCTTACTTCTCTTTCTAAGTAATCCACTCTTGGTACAGTTTTTTCAACGGGAACATAATCAACTTATTTTTCATATGTGACTTATGGTATATATTCTTTTTGATATTCCACTGGGTAATAATCAGTCACCCACTTTTATTTCGGTACCTTTATTTTTATATAATAAACTACTTTCACTACTCTCTATTCTTCTTCCATTTCTACCACTGATTTCTAATATGGTACATATTCATATCTAGATTCTCCTTTAATTGTTGCTGGACCTGGTTATGCATAGGTTATTGGTTAGGTATATGTTATTGGTTATGCATATGACACTGGTTATACATACGAAACTTAATAATTATATTAACTTTTACTTGGACCAGGTCTTACAACTGATGTTGCTATTGGAGAGGCAAAGGAAACACCAAGAGGAGCATATGGGTACATTTTAATAAATAGAAATAAAATTTATTGAATTTATTTCACTTTTATGTAACAATATAAATATATAGAATTTCTCATTTAAAATAAGTAAGTAATCTTTCATAATTTACAATATCTAAAGAATTCGAAACCTCATAACAAATTAAGTTGAATCTCTCCTATTCTCTATGACTAAATTGAATTTCATGAAATTTTAATGCCTAATCCAAATCACTTTATTCACATGTTCCTGGCTATAGATTTTTCTTTTTTGTTATCATCATTTAAATAGTTTCTATTAATGAAGGATTTAATTTCTAACATATAAAATTATAATAAACTTATTAAATAGATTATTAAATTGATTGCTCTTCTTCATTTGACAATATTTCATATTTTCCAACTATCTTTTTCATCACTGATTTTATTATTGATGTCTAATTTGTTCTATCTTAATCATAAATCAAAAAATCTTCAGAATTATCTTCTACTAAATATCTACTAAGAAGTTTAATCTATTGATGATCATGAATCTCAAAGGGAGGTCTTATAATATTTTTTTATAATTATTACTTATGCAAAATATTTTTCACTTAATGGATACTCAATTCTTCTTATTCATTAAAATATTTCTCTACATCCTCATATTATATTCTATGTCTAACAAGATTTAACCTGACTCTCATGCAAATTTCTCGAATATCAGTAAATTGAACTCGAGGCAACTTTTTTTTCACTACTTATGATTTCATCTCTATTTGCATAATTTTAAATCCATTCTATAATGGAGATTCAACATTTCCTACTCGAGAAACTGGAGAGTAAACTGAACATTCCATTTCTCTAATCTTATCTTCTTAATTTTCTATCATCCTCTCCATATCCTGCATATGTAAATTTAATCTCTGAATTTCAGTTTTTAAAGATCTAATTTCTTAGCCTTTATTACTAATTTATTATCAAAATTAGATACTCCATCTCTTATTAATATTTAATCTATAACTACTCTAATTATGATTGTATTTTGAACAATTCATCTGATGATGTATTTTATTGACTCTACAACTAAGCCTTATTTTATAGTTATAATTTTTAAATGAGATCATTGCATTATCTATTATATTCATTTAATTCTTTCACCATTTATTCATAATGTATAATATCATTCAATTGTTTCTCATTTTATTTCAAACATTCTTCCAATTAAATCTATTTTTATTCTAAATATATACTTGTAATTTAGAAGTGATAATATCATTATTTAATTGTTTTGAATTTAATTCTTGATTATCTTTCTATAGTACTTTAATTGTCTTTTCTAAATGCATGATTTACTTTTCTAAAGGCTCTGCCGATGATTAAATAGCAATCATTTATTCATTATATTCTAACTTTGATCTCAATCTTATAGTTTCATCTACGTAATTTTTTAATTCTATCTAATTGATAATAAGTAAATGATCTACTTCTAATTCCTAATAATTGGTGAATCTCATAGTTCTTTTTAATTAAATGAGTTCTTTAGATTTACTCTATAATTCTAAAATCAACTATTTTTATTTGGTTTTCATTTTCATAATCAAACCATGACGTTCTATTTAGACTTTCTATTAACAGGTTTCTGGTTTTATTGAATCTTCAATTAAGTTTTCAAATCTTTATAACTCTCTCTAATGTAAATATGATATTTTATACTTCTAATTGCTATATTTTGGATTTTTATTAAATCAATTATTAAGTTTATTCATTCAATTAAGATTTTAATTTAATATTCTCATCATATAAATTTTCCTTCTCTCTTCCCATTTTGGGGGTTGTGAACTACTTTCTAAAGTTTATATTTTAATATACAATAATCTGCTCTCTCTTATTGAACTATTGTCCAATGGTCTATTATGATTGGAAGTTGTTTAAGGACGAACCAACTTCGATCTAACATAAAAAGACATAAAAAATTATAAATAAAATTATTTTATTATATTTAATTAACCAATTCAAGTGTTCTCCAGCTCTAACTTTTTTATGCATTATCTAATAAACATTCTTATTTTTCGATTGTTCTCTACCACTTTCATTGGTATCATATTAAGCATTTGAATATTCAAGTTAATCTAATTATTTTAATTGAATATACTTGGATGTTTAGTTTTTGTAAAAATAAATACCATATCACTGAGACTACTAATTCTAATATCAAAATGTAGATTATAACTAAGATTAGTTAAATAGTTAGAGTTGATGACATCTGGTTAGTCATAAAATCTAATTCAAAATCTGTTATCTTAGAAACAGCATACTTTATATAGTAAAATAATGATTAATCGATCTCATAGATTTACTCATTATACTCTATTTCATGGAGATTTTGATTTCTAAAATACTATAGATAATATTATTCAACATTATAAATGCCTAATTGAAGATTGCCTTCAATAATATTATAACAATTAGTGTCATTATTTTTATTGATTATTGAGCAAACATCTCCATAGTAAGTTGAGAAAAATAAGTTTCGAAGATCTGATAATTAATTTAATAAATCTTTTGCAAACTAAAATAAACAACAATTATACATTTTATAGACTTAATTAATTCCCAGTAAATATTGTTAAGTCTTATGCAATCATAGTTAAAATAGAAATGTTATTTATTTAAAATTCTGAATTTAAAGAAGATAATTTGTATAAATTAACATAGTATCCATAGTTTTCTATCTAAATAGAGCTCTAATAGAATTAGGGTAACAAGAATTGAATTTATGACTTCTCATTGGCACTACTAATTATATTGTACACTGCAAAAACTAAGGTAAGTAAAGCTATCAAAAGAAATCTAATATATTATTATCATACTATACAATTATTCCTTAATTGCCTTTTAATTTGCTTTTTCGATATTTTTAAATGATTTTTCTCCTCTTCAATTATAATTGATATTGATTGTCTTCTTCAATAGCTTTAGAATTCATCTTATCTTAACCCTCTACATGTTGTTACAAATCAATTAATTATTATTCTTCATCTTCATCACTTGATTCATCTTAATCGAAATTACTAAGTTTCTTTAGATCTTCATTATAGAACTTTAAAAACTTATCTACCTTTTTTGATAAATTTTAAACATCATTTTAGGGGATCTCAAGAAATAGAAATATAACATTCTCTCTATCTATCTTGATTTCCAACATTAGAGTAATAAATTTGATCATACCAATTGTAGTTCCAATAAATAACACTAATAAGGATATTAATAAATTCAAATCAGGATATTAAACTTAAGATTTAACATCCTCATATATAACTTAAGAAATTTTGATCAATGGATCATGTATTTAATTGAAGTAATTATAAAGTATAATTTAAATAGAATTGCTATTAAATTCATTTTTGGATTGAGTAATAGATAGATTTAAACATTCAGATGTAATTAAGAGTATTGCACTTTCTAATGATAATAATATATCTTCATATATATCAAATCTTTTATAGATTCTTAGATTAATACTTTCATAATCAAAATAAATTCTATAAAATTCTTGATTAAGATCAGAATCAAAATTTATAATTAATTATACAGACTCTTGAATATCAACTTGTAACTGAGTGAAATTGAATTAATAGTCCATACATAAATCCAATGCTCTTGAAATAAGGAGATTTAAATTAATTATTTCATTATTAATTTAGTAAATAGCTTTAATATGAGAAGTAAACCCTTCAAAATTTAATTAACAGAAATAATATTGTAAAGCAGTAATGATTACTATAAAGGCTATCCAAATATTAGCATAGAGACAGAATTTACTTATTTTACTATGTCTATGATTTTAAGATAATGCATTTCTTATTTTCATTTGTGATTACATATTATTAATAATCCTATGATCATTATCATAATCATCTTAATTGATATTATTCCTAAAGATAGAATTCTCTTATTCTTCTTCCTCCAATTACTTTAAAAACCATTATTCTTTTTCTTCATCTATATTGAGAATTTAATTATTAATTAATCTTCTTACTCTGATTTCTGATCCATAATCCAATTTTGTTTATGTTTATTAATCCTCTTATTAACTTAAAATGTCTTTATAATCTTCATATCTTTATTCTGTGTATAAATCTTGTAAAAACTATACCAAATTTTAATCATATTCAAAATTAGTATCAATTCTTAAAGCCAATGTATCTAATGATTAAACTGTTTAATTAGCACGAGAGGGTATTAATTTTTAAGTAATAGAAATTGATTGTCTTTATGTAATTTAAATAGATTATCTACTTTAATTTGGTAACAAATTTCTAGCATTATGAATAAAAGTTGATGCCTTTCTACCTCCTAAAACATCAGTAAAATCAATTTTCTCCAATTTAACTAACCAATATCCAGATTTTATTAGTTTTTTAGATGCTTGCAATTCTAAGAGTAAGTTTTCATTAATAATTTAAGTAATCTCTATTTCCTTTACTGAACATTGAAAATAATATACAATCTCAATATTATTTTATCCAATTTTATGATATTAAACTTATTTACCATTTTAATTGAGTATATCTGGTAAAAGAGAATTCAAATTTATAATTTATTTAATATGTCTCAATTCTATATCAAAATATTAAATTGAACCTGAAGACATCTCAATTATGGTTGTATCAGAATCAATAATAAAAACCGCTTAACCTTTAAAAGTAGGATCACTTTTGAAACATACTAAATATTATAAAGAGTCTATATTAAAGCTTACTTTATATATAAATGGGATTATGTAACCATTTCTATGCCTATAAAATTATAATTATTCTTAATCAATATAAGTTCTTGGATAATCTCCATCATTTTACATATTTATTAACATATTATCAAAAAACTCAATTAAATAATTATCATGTTATTCTGCATAAACTCTTGGCATTAATATATTAATTGACTTACCTCTGAGTTCCTCTTTTTGATAACCGAAATATGTTGTAAATAGAGAATTAAGATTAATTATCTTTCCTATTTCAGATTTTCTAGCTTAAACTTAAATAAATGGAATTGGATGTTTCTCTATATTGTTTTCAATCAAATCTTCATCTTCAACCTTCACTTATAATTATTATTTAGCTAATTTATACTAATTCTTTAAAATATGACCCATAAAAGAATCATTAAAAACTTGACAATAAAAGTTTGCCAAGGCTTTCAAATCAGCAAATCCTAACGAATTCTTTTTATTCATTTCTTAATGTTTCTCCATAACTTGATTACTTACTTTAGTAATCAAAGCACCTATATGCATTAATCTTACTAAATTTGGTTGATCTTCTTTTAATTCATTCCAAAAGGTTTTATAATATAAGGATGCCATCTTCATTTTTGAATAAAGTTCGCTTTTATTATTTTAGTTTGCTATAGCATCAACTACATCATCACTTTTATCCTTAATGATCTTCCTATATTATAATAATTAAATTACATATATCTATAAGTAATAAACTATTAGAAAAACTTTGGTTTACTTTTTTAAGAAACCAAATTGAATTAAATATATGCATCGTTTTTATTGTTTCTTCTTTCCATTAAAAATAAAGCATAAAATATTCTCAATGATGCAGATGACCAAAACTTTCTCAATCCTAATCTAAACATTTTATCTAATTCAATTATTAATCCTCTTTTTAAATCATCTAATTATTCTGAATTTTAAATCTTTCTTCTTTATTTAAAATAGCAATCATTCAATTTACAAGTCTCTTTATGTTTCTCAATATATCCAATCAAAAGCATATAAGAATTTCTATCAGTGTCAGCTTAAGATATCAGTTAAAGAACATATCTGATATGTATCCATACATCTTCTCCACTTGAAAACTTATTCTAAGCTCTAACTAATGTATCAATCTTAGATTTCTTAGTTGTTAACATAATAGAAACTATAAATGGAAGCCCTATTACCCAAGCAATCAATCCACCAGAAAAATCAGAGTTCTCCTATATTTTACATATAACCAACATAATATTAGCCCAAAAATAATAACAACTTATAATTGAATAAAATCTACCAACTTCAAAATCATAAATTGGATCTGCAAAATTATATTCTTTAAACAACCAAGCAGATAAAGTAAATGTGGTTAAAATTAAAATCCATGATTCATTTTTACCTAAAAAACAATACAAAACTTAACATGTAACTTTGTTTATTATAAATGCTACTTCTCCATTACTATCTTATCTTGCTGTCTTATTTCCACTTGTCATACCAGGTTCAAAAAATGCATAAGCTACTATTGCACATATCAATACAAAAATTAACATAAATAATAATGTTATTAATGCATGAAATATATGCCATCCTTACCAACATTACACATTTATTTCATCATATCCATATATCACATATTCATTTGTTTCTGGATCATTATAACATTATAATATTGATGTTAAAGTTTCTGTGATTGGTAAAAAAAATACTGTCACAAAATAAAATGCTACCTACCTCAATACATATACAGGCCACATAAATTTAAATTTATTCTATGAAAATGAGTATGATACATATATGATATTCAATATTATTAATAATATTGCACTCAAACATATATAAACTGACACTAACAATGCAAAATATGATAGATTTGGTACATATGTTGAAATTGAAAACACATTTACAAAATTTAAAATATTTGTTAAAAACGAATCAGCTTTCCAAATATAAAGTATTTTATTATTGAATGGAAATGAATGCATCTAAACGTAATCCAATGAAGTCAATATATAAAAGTAAATCATCTAATCATCTGCTTTCTCTTCTTTTGCCAACACAAATAAAACCTTGAAAATTACTACCTTGACCTTTGTTAAAAAATAATCCAATCCTTTTTATTCAGTCTCAATAAGATTCTCATTTTCCTCCTCATCATCCAATTATCCTTTCATTTTTTATAATTATAATTATAAATATAACCAATTCAAGTTTGATAAAATAAAACATTTTTGTTTTAAAAAAAAAATGAATTCTCGATATTTTTATATTAAATTTATTAAAATTTGGGATCATATTCAGTTTTTTCAGAATTTCTTCAAAAAATTTTTCTTGTTTGCTCATTTGCAAAGCTCCAGCTTAAAAAATTGAAGTTTTGAAAGAAGCTAAAAAAGTGATCTATATATTAATTTATTAATATATCAATTTTATTTCAAGAAGCAATCTCAAAATCAATAGAATTTCAAAGATTAAGGGATGTAGTTAAAAATTTAAAATAATTTTCTTAAGTTTTTGAAGTTTAAAAATGCATAATTTAGCCAAAATATATATTTTTGAAATATCTTGATTTTTAAGATATTTATACATGTTTCTGCTCTCTAGAATATTTTAGAATATTTTGTTTCCAATAACTTTGAAAAAGCATCAATTCTGTAAACATTTAGAACATAAACTTTCGATGAAGTATCAAATTTATTAGATAAAATTTATAAAACATAGATGAAAGATAAACATCATCAACTAGAATTCATCGAATTCCATTACCACTAAATACTAGAGAGAATTCTAGGAAAAAAAAACTCTTCATACTAGATTCCTATTTATTTTTTTTTAGAACAACTGAGTTAAAAGTTCATCATGAATATTTTAATTAAGCATAATAAATTTCTATTTCTAATTTCTTTGATTATGTTGGAGAAAATGTTAAAGTTTTAAATAGTGAGAAAAGGAGAAAAAATAAAAGATATTCAACCATTATTACCTATTATTCACATCATCACTAATGATAAATAAAATAATTTATCATAGACAATAGATCATTAATAATTAGGGAATCGATATTGTGGAACTTATCGTAGTAATAGTTAGAAAAGAAATTAGATAAAATCTATAAGAAGATCAAAAGGTGTAGGATATAGGCAGATGATAGATAATTATAAAAACTCTAGTAGATAAAGTCAAGAAAATCCATTTTAGGAGGAGCTGTTAATAAAGCCATTTTAAAATAATAAAAGGCAAGAACAAATTACTGAGAGATAGAATACTTTGATGGATTATCCTTAAAAGAAATTTCATACATTGGAGGCTACAACAAAAAATATAAGATATAATTCATAGCCAAAAAAGACGGAAACAACTGAGACTGACATGAAAATTACTCCTTATATACATTAAAATAAAAGATTTTAATGTATTGATTATTTCTACATAGTTTGAATATATTTTAAATTGGTTTGTGTGAAAATAAGTCTTAAACTCATTTCTTTCCNATATTCAGTTTTTTCAGAATTTCTTCAAAAAATTTTTCTTGTTTGCTCATTTGCAAAGCTCCAGCTTAAAAAATTGAAGTTTTGAAAGAAGCTAAAAAAGTGATCTATATATTAATTTATTAATATATCAATTTTATTTCAAGAAGCAATCTCAAAATCAATAGAATTTCAAAGATTAAGGGATGTAGTTAAAAATTTAAAATAATTTTCTTAAGTTTTTGAAGTTTAAAAATGCATAATTTAGCCAAAATATATATTTTTGAAATATCTTGATTTTTAAGATATTTATACATGTTTCTGCTCTCTAGAATATTTTAGAATATTTTGTTTCCAATAACTTTGAAAAAGCATCAATTCTGTAAACATTTAGAACATAAACTTTCGATGAAGTATCAAATTTATTAGATAAAATTTATAAAACATAGATGAAAGATAAACATCATCAACTAGAATTCATCGAATTCCATTACCACTAAATACTAGAGAGAATTCTAGGAAAAAAAAACTCTTCATACTAGATTCCTATTTATTTTTTTTTAGAACAACTGAGTTAAAAGTTCATCATGAATATTTTAATTAAGCATAATAAATTTCTATTTCTAATTTCTTTGATTATGTTGGAGAAAATGTTAAAGTTTTAAATAGTGAGAAAAGGAGAAAAAATAAAAGATATTCAACCATTATTACCTATTATTCACATCATCACTAATGATAAATAAAATAATTTATCATAGACAATAGATCATTAATAATTAGGGAATCGATATTGTGGAACTTATCGTAGTAATAGTTAGAAAAGAAATTAGATAAAATCTATAAGAAGATCAAAAGGTGTAGGATATAGGCAGATGATAGATAATTATAAAAACTCTAGTAGATAAAGTCAAGAAAATCCATTTTAGGAGGAGCTGTTAATAAAGCCATTTTAAAATAATAAAAGGCAAGAACAAATTACTGAGAGATAGAATACTTTGATGGATTATCCTTAAAAGAAATTTCATACATTGGAGGCTACAACAAAAAATATAAGATATAATTCATAGCCAAAAAAGACGGAAACAACTGAGACTGACATGAAAATTACTCCTTATATACATTAAAATAAAAGATTTTAATGTATTGATTATTTCTACATAGTTTGAATATATTTTAAATTGGTTTGTGTGAAAATAAGTCTTAAACTCATTTCTTTCCATATGAGGTTTGATTAGCCATTTCTAAAACCTATTATTTGAAAATGTGAATGACTTCATCAATGATAGCATTTTCCTCTATGAAAATAATTTGAATTGATACCATTTCTTCTATTTAATTCAGTTTCATATAAATCTCTTAATTCTTACAAGGAAGCAGTTGCAGCATTAATAGCATTTTATGAATCCTTCAAAACACTGTTAGCTTTAGCTTAAACAGCAAGAGCAGCTTATTCTTACTAAGAAAAGATAGGATTGAAATGTGTACCACAACTAATTTATCTTATAATTATGTTTTTCTTTAGATTTCATCATTAAGATGAGCAACTTCAGATTCAGTATCAGCAAGCCAATCAGCTAATTGATAATAGGCAGAGATTTCATTTGATTCCAGATTAGAAAGTGAAGTTCTTAATTAATCTTCAAGATCAGATAATGCATTATATACAAGTTATCCAACATTATTACCTGGTTATCTAGAAGATGATGAAGATCCTTCATCTTATCCAAGTGCATGTAATTCTGCATTTCCTGATGCTTATTCTGCAGCTAATTAAGTAAATTTAGTCATGGCATCTTAATTAAATAATTGACTGTATTATTTTAATTTATCTGAAACATTTTAGACATTCACTTCTATTAATGAAGAGGGTTATCCTGTTAAATATCCACTCAAATCATTTTTTAATACTCTTATAACTCCAAGTGCATCATTATGTTATTTAATAGCTCTTACAAATAAACCATTTGAGAAACACCTTAATTCTTATAGTTCAATTGATCTTCTATCAATATCAGCTAATCTTTAAGTAGCCCAAGCAATATAATCTGTAGCTTCCTTAAAATAATAGAGGATTTAATTACTCTATATTCAATTCCAATTTACTCTCTTCTAGCTTTAGCACTGGCCCATGCTTTTTAATTTAATTCATTCACTTTTGATAAAGCAGCTATTCTAGCTTAACCTATTTCTTCATCTGAAATGTTTTTTTCATCTGCAACTCCTTGGGCTTCTATGTTACTTGTCTTCAAATCATTCAATAAGTCATAAACTGCTTATACTGCATCATTTGATTCTGATCCTGTCTAAATAAATCTATCAACTCTTTATGTACTTGCAACAACAAAGAGAAATCTATATCGAATCCTGATACACTTATTAAACCTATCAATGTTAACAATATGATCTTGTTCATTTCTCTTAACTTTTATTATTTTATTAAATAAAAACGGTATTACAATTAATCATTTTAATTAATACTTTACATATATATATTCATTCTATTTATACAATTCTATCTCTACTATTCTTATCTCTTTACTATTTTCAATATATACAAATAATATCAATATATCATGACAATATGTTTATAAACTATATTAATATTTTATTTTTATATATCTAACTGCTAATTATGAGTGACTCATTGAGATCACTATCCACTAATCAATCAATTGATGGATAAATCACAAAAAAGAAAAAAGTTTAATCTACTTCTTCAAAGACTAATCGTCCATAAAATATTAGTTATAATGAACTCATTGATTTATTGCATCCAAATCATTTATTCATTAATATTAGTTTGTAAGATAAGTTCAATGCTATTGACATGTATGCAATATTCATTTAATCTAGCATCGACACCAACTATTTTCCAAATTTCAAGTTTGTTCTTAATGAAAATTTAGAAGACACAGAAGTTAAATGGAAGCGTTTGCCTTCATTTGTTAAATTGACAACTTGATATTGTTACAATCTTGTAGTTTTCATATATCATAAATTATCATATTTAATCATCCTCATTTTTCTATTCAAATTTTCAAGAATCTCATTTACTCATTACTCACACAATAATTCAATATCCATATTTATTAAAACTAATTCCTAAATTTATTTCCCTAAATAATACTATAACAATCTCACTTTAATAAAATCAAAACTCAATATAAACTTAATATTATAACAGATCATTCATTAAACTATTTCTAATTGTATTCTCTTCAAGATCAAAATTCCTTATTAGAGCTCCATAAATTTTGTTTAGAAATACATATAATTTTCATATTTTCTATTTTTTAACATTAACATGGAAGATTCTAAAGAAAAATAATGAATATAATTTTCTTGGTTATGTATAGAAAATCATATATGTTTTGCCTAAAAATCAGAAGAGGCATCTTTTATTCCTTCATGTAATTTCTTCAAAGCCTCTTAATATTGTAGTAATGAAACTTTGTTCTATCCTTATCCACCTGTAGTAGTTTTTCCTGATCCACATGAACATTTCTTAACTTCTGATGATGTATCAGTTTGATCATTATTTCCTCTCAGTTGTTGGGCTGTTACTGTGAGTATCAAAAACACAAGCAATATTACTTTTAAAATATTCATTATATTAAATAATTAAAAACGATTACTTTATCAATTTCGAAATTATAATACTTAAAATGAATCATTTTTTTATAAAGATTTCTTTTATTTCTTCTACTATACAATTTAAATTAATATGTTACAAATCCAACTTATGATGGAATGATAAATTTAGGGATTTCTATTTATATAGTTACTTTGAACATCACTTATAAACTTCTAATCATCTTTTATATTTTTATTATAATACCTAGAAGAACATATGGAATCCTTCTTTTTTAAAGCACTCTCTTTAAAGGTTATTCCTTCATTTTCTTTTGGCTCTACTCATTTAAATGCTTCTCAAATTAATTTAAAATGTCTAATCTTTAATGTTAAATCTATTAGAATTTTTATATTTATATATTTATAAGTTAAATATTATTTAACTTATATAATAACAATGTCATCACTAATTAAAGAATTAGATAGTGATATTTTTTGATTTTATTAAATTTTTTTGCTCAAATGTACCCAAAAGATATAAAAGAAAATAATACTTTTGAGTAATTTATTCTTTTTTTATTTTACACTTGTTATTTTTAGACATTATTCGTTGAAGCTCAAAAACACATACTAAAAAATAAATTAAATTATAAAAGGTATTCAATTTAAAAAAAAAACATGAATTTATATTTATTATTTTATATTAATTTATAATTTATATAGTGGAATAATGAGTAGATTAGTTAATATAGGATAAAACTCATTGATTCCTATTAAAGCTACAGGAAAATTGGGAGATGAATTTTTTGATAAACCATAGTATGAACCAACATCAATGGCCTTACTTAAAAAGAAAGAAAGACACTAAGAATTAATAGATAAAGGATATTTAATTAAGGATAAATTGGTTGAAGATGTTCCTGATGATATACCTTTTTATGAGATTTTCGATCCACCTAACGAAAATTATAGAAAAATCTTTTATCCTCAAGATTTAAAATCTTAAGTAGCTTATTATTATCATTCTACAAATTTTGATAATAATGAACAATTTTTAGTTGATTAAGAGGATATAGAACAAGCAGAATTAGCAATTAGGTTGTAGGAGGAAGCAAATAGAAAGAAAGATTCAAAACTCTAAAGATTAAATCAATAATTTAAAAAATAGAAAGAATTAGAAGCAGAAATTGAAAAAAGATAGAGATAAAACGAAGCTATTGAAAATGTAAAAAGGGAAAGAATTTTAAGTAAACAACCTGTGTCTTCACCTTCAAAAAATCAATCTTAAAAGGCTAGCCCACATTTGCCATTTAAAAATTACGGTTTGGCAATAGTTGGTCCAAAGGGCAAGGTGTCAATGCAAAAAGATATTAAAAATAATAAGGCGAATTCAAAATAGTTGTAAAAAACAGATGAAGATAATGATAATTCTAAGAAAAAAACTGTAACGTTTGCAGAAGAAGATGATGTGTAATACATACCTAAAAATTGGAAATCATAATCTGAAGAATTTAGGGAGATGATAAAGTAAAATAAAAAAAGCAAGAAATTGAAATGATTATAGTTACTTTTGTTTGATTATATTATTTTATTAATATATAAATAATGTCTGAGAGTGAAAATTTCAAATATAGTAGAGAAATAATATAGCTAAAAAATAGATTGAATAATTGAAAGGGATGGTCGTTAGAAGGATTAAAGAGGTGGAATTTTTAGAAACAGAATAAAAGTTTCATTAAGGAAGATATGAAGAATAGATGTCAAAATATAATGATTTTTTTACAAGAATGAGAGAATTAAAATAGATGGTGAATAGAGATGATGCATATAGAAAAGAAACATTAAAAAATTAATTAGATAAAGCAAAAGGTGATTTAAATAGAGAAAAGGCAGCAGTTTAATAATAAATAGATTAATAAGAGAAGGTGATACTTGATACAGCTGTTATGTAAACTAAAAGTATGAAATTAATTAAAGAAAAAATGATACAGATATTATGTAATAGAAAATTAAAGAATTGTAGGCAATATCAAGATTAAAATATAATGATTGGCAAATTTTATCATCATCTTATGATTGCAAGATGGCATAAAGCACAAATTAATTAAAAATGTAAAAGTATTATATGAATTAAGAAGACTTAAATTATCATCTGAATCATATGATACTACAATTCTTAAAGAATCATAAGAAATTATTTAATACAATATTTTAAGAATACATATGAATAATAAATCACAGAATTGAAATTAAATATATTAAATATATTACTTATTTTCACTTTATAAAGAGTGAAAGAATAAGCAGAAAGAGTCAAAGAATGATCAGATATGAAATCAGAAGTTAAAAGATAGAATAGAGAATTTAGAGATAGATTTTATGAACTGCAATTAAAAGCAGATTATTTTGATAATTACAAAGAAAAGTTGGATAATAAGATAAAATAATCATGATGAATTTAGTTAATAATTAATTGCGGTTGATGAAAAAATAGAATTACTTAGAGTAAGAAGAGAAATGTAAGAAATAATATACAGATACAATTAAAAAATTAGAATACGAGTTAGCCCAAATTGATATAGATTTGAGGAAAAGAGAGGCCATTAGCTTAATTAGAAATATTGAGAAAGATAATATGAAAGAAGTTTCTTAAAAAAAATACAGATGCTAATTACTTATGGAATTACAAAATCAACCAACTGAATAGTAATAGATTTCAGAAATTTAAAGATTAACTGAGTTATTACATAAAAAAGATTAAGCATAATAAGAGGCAAGTAAAATGGGTAACAACAATAACTACAATAACTTTTCATATTGGTAATATAGTTCTTGTTATCTTATTCTAATAATAATATTATTCTTAATAAGCATTCTATATGATTTTATTATTATTTGTAATTAAATGATAATATTTTAGAGTAACTGTAAAATTAAATATCTTAATTATAAACAGTTCTAATAAAAAAATATTAAGTTTAAAAAATTAGATAAAAAATTTATGATAAAGTCAAAAAAATTTCAGTTGTTTTTAGTTCTAAAAAATAAAAAGAAATCTTAAATCAATTTATTTATTATTCATAATTAGGATCTTTTTTGCCATAATTTTAAATCTGTTTTTTTAGATCACCATCCAATTTAATAATGAATAACTTTAATGAATCTAAACTTCTACAAAGTCTTAAATTATCCTATTTTCGTTCATAGCTATGATCTAGATTATATTTTTAAGCGAAGATGCCAAGAAGACTGATTTCATCTGATTTTAGTCAAAACTATTAAAGGACATAAAACCCACAAATTTTTTTCAGAAATTGAAGAAACACAAAAAAGGGTAGATATTACAAAAATAGAAGTAAACCTGTAAAGTTTGTTTACTTGAAGTTCGAAAATTATCAAGATTCAGTAGGTAAAGTAATTAAACTGAGTGAAAGAAATAAAGATGAAGAACCAGAATAATTAGAAAAAGAGAATAAATAATTTTAAATTCAAAACTCCAAAATTAATTAATGGCTATGCAATAAATAAGAATAACCAATGCCAAAATTCTTTGAAGTTTTATCAAATGCTGGTTAAAACTTAAAACCAAGTATCGAATTTTTATAGATTAAAAATTAGTAATTGATACAATTAAAACTAAGGTAGAAAATGATGATTACTATTTTAAATTTTACCTTATTTATAAGGGTTGGTCTGATATTATAGTTCAGACTGATTATGAAAATAAATCTTAATAATAATAGTAATCATAAAAATTTGGTTTAAAAAATAAAAAATGAGATGATTGTAATTGAAATAAAATAAATAATTAATTATTTACTCAATTCATTTCTATAGATAAATTATATTTCTTATATTAACCAGATGAAATTCTTGGTTTTGAAGTATTTGTACTAGATCTCCTTTAATATTATAAATTTTTACTATTTTATATTTTATTAAGGCTTAATTTGCATAGTAGGCTGTTATTTTTATTGAACAATTTGATGTTACTATTTTTAATGCTTTTTAATTTATTATTTTTTCATTTGATTTAAGTATTGGATAGTGCTTTAGGCTCTGACATCCATTCCAGTATTACATCTAGATTAATTAGTAATAGTAGTTTTATTTTTTTAATTATTATTTGATAGCCTTGCTTTCATTTCTTCCATAGGTTCAGTAGAACATCGATTAGAATTTCTCTGATAACTGGATAAGGATGATCTATTGAGTAATTATTTTTTTTGTAATATTTATGCAACAGTTAGAGCTTATTATTGTAAATCCATGGTTTAACTATTAATATTAACATTAAGATTGATATGACTGTTATTAACATTAAAAATGTTGTTGGTCTTGGATGGATTACTCTTACTTTTCTATTTTGATAAAATGGCTGCTAGATTGGTTTTACTAAGAGACTTTTTAGATTCAGTTGGAATGGACTTCTTCACAGAGGAGGTTTTGGTATCTATTTCAAAGGGTCTTTGATTTTTTTTACTTATACTTCCGTTGATAATGGCTATTATAATGTGTTGTACTATTGGAATTGCTCTTTGCTCTGGAGGCTCCTTTTTATTCCCATTTTTTCTTAACAAAATCTTTGCAGTTAATTGTATGCAACTTTCTTTCTAAATCATTTAAGATGGTTCTATAGGTTTATTAAGTAGCTGCATTTTTGATCTTTTTAGGTTAAGGAGGTTTTAATTTTTATTAGTAAGGTTTTGGTTATAATACTACTGCATCATCTGATAAATGCTCTGATGAACTATTGAAATTAAAATTTAGATCTAATTGATCCTCTGATTTCTCATTTCCTTCTGTTTTTAATCTTTGAGGAGATTCAATTGTTTAATATTTTTCAGGTGTTTCTTCAAAAGGTATTCGAGGAAACACATAATCTTATTTTGATTGTCTAAATTTGAATTCAATCTCTTCTCTCTATTAACATCTATTTGAATATAATGGCTGGCAAACTTGCATAAAGTAATCATCTGTTCTATTTGAAGAATCGCAATTAAATTTATCAGTCATTTGAGAATATATATCATCCATTTCTTATAATTATATTAATAATAATTAGTGTTAAATAATTTATATATACATCTTAGTTTCAAGCTTCATTTTTTAAGTAATCGATTACCTTAAGCAATTCTTAGCTATAGTTCTTTTACTCTTGCAGCTCTATTCAGAATTTATTTTATTTTTTAATCATCTCCACAATACTGTTCTAATTCATTTACTAATTCCTAATTAACCTTCATTAAGATATCTATATGAGTCTAAAGTTATTTCAATTTAGTTTTATAACAATTATTATCATTGATAATTGTTTGGTTATCCATTTTAGTTTTATTCAACTCTTAATCTGCTTAAGAATATTATTCTTAACGATGCATCTGAACTTTTTGTAATTATATCTTTTTCTTATTCAATTCATCCTTTTTCTATTATTCCATTATTAGAAATTTTCTTTATTTCTATAAATCGATCTCATTTTATTATAAATCATGATTCATACGACTTATTTATTACTCAGTAGATTTATTGTTTTATTTTTCTTGTTGAAAATCCTAATCAATTTTTTTTATTTGCTCATTAGTATAGGCTAATTGTTATTAATACTAATTTATTTTTATAACTTACTTTATTTATTTCTTATTCCTAATCACTTTATTATAATTATATTAATTGATCTTGTAATATTTGGCAATCTTATTCAATTTTTCTATTCTTTTATTAAATTTCATTCAACTTCCTATTTTGCTCTTTGTTTTTTATTTCTGCATTATAACTTTCCTATTCAAATTCCTCAAGTTTTTGTTATAAGTTTTCCATCATCGATGATTCCTAAATAACTTAATCTGATAATTTATTCAGCTATTTCCTCGCTTGTTAAATTTCAAGTTATCTTTAATCATTAATTTCTTCTAATTCTTTTTATTATATAATTTATCTCTCCTGATCTAAATGTCTTTCTTTCAAGATTTTTGATAATTAATTTATTTCTTAAGTCATCATTTAAATCTATGCAATACATTATTCATGCTTTTGTTTATTTTCATGTTCAATGATTAACTATGTAATAAGAATACAATAAAACTTTTTCTTCATTGGCCATCTTGATTTTTACTTCCCATTTTCCCATTTCTTATTCAAGCAACTCTAGTTCTTCTTATTATTTTTGAGCCTCATAGATATCTGCTTTTAATTATGCTATGATTATGTCCTTTTAATCAGATTCGTAATAAGATGATCTATACATATTATATTTTTGTTAATAAAATTTATTTATTAATTTAACTTAAATTATTATTTAGATATTATGATAAAATATAAGGTTAGAATTTATAATTATTATTCATTCATAAAGAAAAATTATAAACTTGACCTTTCCACTAATATTAACTCTCATTTTTAATTATAATTTATTATTTTAAATTATAAAAATAAATGAATACAAATAGAACTGATAATGAATTATTACAGGATTGTTATTTTGGTCCTTGTATTTTAATCGATTCTGCCAATGTGAACAATTATAAAAAAAATTCACCCTCTAGAAATTCAATCTTATCAGATTTTAGCTAAAAAGAGTTTGAACAATCTAATAATATTTCTCCTAATGTTGAAATGTTACCAATAAATTTTGAAGTTGTAAAGGCTAAGCAAAATTTTAGAAGTAAAGGGAATCCTAATTAATAATCATAAAGTAATTTTTTTAAGGGGAGTAAGAGACAATTATTAGAACCTAAAGTATAGAAATAGGAAAGACCTAGTTTTATGAAAACTCTTGTTAAAAATAACCTCATAAATAAATTTAAAAATAACTTATTTTAATCATCTTATGTTCTTCCAAAATAGATGAAATACATATTAGAAAATGAAAGCTATATTCAAGAGTAAAAGGAAAAAACTAAAGTTAATTAGACAAAAATAGAGTTGAAGTAATACAATAATATTTTTAAGTCAGTAAAGAAAATGGTCAAGCAAGCAAAATGTCAAAACTTAGCATTTTGTTAATGCCTGGCTAAAATCTAACAATTTTATGGGATTTCATTTCTTTATTTGTATTGTTCCTTAGATTATTTTTTTGCTCCATGATTGCATCCTTTGGTTAATCAGATAAATTTTATAAAGGCGCTGAACTTTTCTTTAATATATACCTATTATTCGAAAGTGTATTAACCATTTATAGGCCAATAATTTTCTAAGGAGAAATTGTCAGTGAACTTTCTTAAATTTGGATTCTTTATTCAAAAAATCAAATGTTAGAAGATTTATCCAGTTTCATTATATGGATTATGATATATTTTGATTTAAATGAATTTGCAGTACTTAATGAAATCTTGGCCATATCGCAATTTACAATAACATATAGATAAATAGCTAGAAAATATAATATTTAAATTGAATAATTGTATTTGAAAGGTTTTAATAGTGACTTTTTAGATTTAATAAGTCTATTCATAATTATATGTTTTTTTGCTCATACTATGGCTTGTTTGTGGCATTATATAGGCTACATTACTTTAAATAAAGGATCCTGGTTAACATATTATGAGATAACGAATGAAAATATTTGGGTAAAATATAATTTTTCTTATTATTGGGCAACAATGACAATGGTTACTGTAGGTTATGGAGATATTACACCAAAAAATTAAGTTGAAGTTGCTTTTGTTTCAATAGTGATGATATCTTCAAGTTGCATGTTTGCTTATTCAATGAATTCAATAGGAGTTATTGTAAAAACTATTCATGATGAAAAGACAAGATTTAAGTATGTATAACTAAAATAACATATAGGAGAACATTAATATTAATGAATCAATTTATGTCTAAAAATGAAGTTGATCCTGAGATCTAGAGTAGAGTGAAAAATTATATTAAATTTAGTATCGAAAATGAAGATTTAGAAAATAAAGAAGAAACAACAAAAATAATAAATGACTTACCTGTTGGATTAAAAAATGAATTAGAATCAGATATTAAATAAAAAGTTATTTAAAAAATAAAGATCATAACAGATTATTTTTCAATCTAAACTTAAAATTAAGTGAAAAGCAATTTGACTTAAGTTAAATTCACTCCAAAAGACATAATTTATCATAGAGATGATATAAAAGATAAAAATCTGTATTATAAATTAAATATAAAGATATTTCATTTCAGAAGGAGAAGTATAAATTTTAGAAGAGCAAAGTCAAAAGATAATCAAAAGACTTAAAGCAGGAGATGTTTTTGGGGAATTTCAATTCTTTACAGGACAAAATACTAAAGAATCAACAATGAGTGTAGGATTTGCATAATTATATAAGATAGATAGAGAAAAGTTTATAAATATTATTAAATCAACATAAAGAGATTATGAAAAATTTCATAAAATTAAAGATTCTATTTTATATTCAAAAAATTATACTAACATTTTCAGTAAATGTTTAATCTGTCAAAAATATTCGCATCAAGACATTGAATGTCCATACTTAACATATTAACCTTCTAAATATCTAAAAATTTTAAAATTTAATAAATTTGAACAAAATCTTAGATAAAAATATAAAAGAGATGAGAGAAAAAAAATCAAATCATAAATAGATTAATAATAAATTGAAGCTTCTATTAAAGATTATCAAGAGATTTTATCAGAATCAATTTTAGGAGAATTTAACGATTAAGTGTTAACATATTAAGTGTCAGACACTGTGAGCGCTTAAGTGGAAACAATTCCTTTAGAAGATTTGAGAGAAAAATCCTCAAATTCTATTTCTAAAAATATTCAATAAAATGGATTAAATAGAAATGGATCACAAAATCCAATTTTGGATAATGAGAAAAAAAAATCAGTAGTTTTAGTAAAAAAAAAGTAATCCTTAATTGAAGAAGAAAGAAGAAGAACTTAAGTTTATAGAGAAACCTTAATATTTAAATAATTAGATTAATTTTAAGTTAAATAGCACTTTGTTATACTAGAAGGATTTGATAAAATGCATAATTATCTAGATTATTTACCACATAATAATGCAAATTAAGTTATCCGAAATGCTAATAAAGAAAAACCAAGTAGTAAATCAATTAAAACTTAAATCTTCAGGTTCTCAAATAGTTTTAGAGTGATGAAAAATGTGTGAATTTATAATTTTGTAAATAAAATAATCTTGATTAAATTTTATCTAATATCAAAGATATTAATATTTATATCCATTAATTGATTGGCAAGAATTATGATAATGGTGACTATGAGTAGGTTGCATGGAAACCCAATGTTATTAAGTTGTATAATGAATTGGTTACAAATAAACTGATTATGGTTTTTAGTAATTAGAATTAGTAGTTGTCTCGATAATCTTTTCTATTTGATATTACTAAAATTTATATAGAAACATACTTTAATTGGTTAATATTCTAAATATTTTGGTTATTCTATTATTGGAACATACACAGGTATTTTGATTTCTTCATTTTTTGAGTGCAATTAACATGTTGATATGTTTGTATTTAATTATTATTAAGTTTAATATAATTATTATTAATTTTATTACTAATTTTGTTACAAAAATCTTAATTATTTTTCTAATTCATTAATTGTGTTTTGTAAACGCTTGATTTATTCATTTTTTTTTAGTATTTCTTATTCTGTTAGTTAATCCTATTTGAGTTCGGTTTTTAAATATTTAATTTCTTAAGATAAAAATTCTTATTCATTTAAAAATTATTATTGCTTTTATTTTAAATCGTGAATTTCATTTGAATAGTTTTCAACTTGAAATTTGAAATGATCATTCTTGGATTATAATTATAATACTTCTTTTTTAGTATCTTGAAATAATATAATGTAATAACTACCCATATTTTGTCGTTATGTTTATTGATATTAGTTTTTCAATTCTCTATTTTTTCTTTATAAATTATTTAGAATTATATATTATTCTCTATCTTTCTATGCTATTTGTTACTCAAGTCCTTTTATTTTTTCAATTAATGCTTCATCTAATGGATTGATTTAGTTAATCATTAAATAATTTAACGTATTATATTTATATATTAATTTGAGTATGCTAAATTTTATTAAAATTCATTTAGAAATAAATTATGCACAATTTTATAAACTGGGTCTCGATTCTCTTGTTGAATTTAACTCAAATATTCTTCCAATTTATATATCTAAATTAGGTAACCTATTAACAAGAGGTGAAGAATCATGGCAATCTTCAGTATCACATCTTTATTTACAAAGATCATACAGATTTAAAAATTATTAATAAGCTTCTTTCAAAGGTATTCTGTCAGAGATATTCTTTTCTAATAGAGATTTCAGGAGATTCTAGAAATGAATTTAAATATTACTTTGATGTTAAAAGAGAAAGAATCAAATTTTTCTTACTGAAAATCTAATAAACAAATTCTATTATTATGTACTAGTTATTATAATGTATCACCTTTAAAGGGTAATTCATGAAATAACCTGAAAATCAATGATTTAATTACAATTAATAAAAAAGACAGCCACTACTAAAAACATCGCAACTAAATGAGTAATGAGTACATTAAGAATTCAACACTTCAGGTGCTGCATAACCAGGTGTACCACATTTATATAATAGATATCTATTNCAAAAATCTTAATTATTTTTCTAATTCATTAATTGTGTTTTGTAAACGCTTGATTTATTCATTTTTTTTTAGTATTTCTTATTCTGTTAGTTAATCCTATTTGAGTTCGGTTTTTAAATATTTAATTTCTTAAGATAAAAATTCTTATTCATTTAAAAATTATTATTGCTTTTATTTTAAATCGTGAATTTCATTTGAATAGTTTTCAACTTGAAATTTGAAATGATCATTCTTGGATTATAATTATAATACTTCTTTTTTAGTATCTTGAAATAATATAATGTAATAACTACCCATATTTTGTCGTTATGTTTATTGATATTAGTTTTTCAATTCTCTATTTTTTCTTTATAAATTATTTAGAATTATATATTATTCTCTATCTTTCTATGCTATTTGTTACTCAAGTCCTTTTATTTTTTCAATTAATGCTTCATCTAATGGATTGATTTAGTTAATCATTAAATAATTTAACGTATTATATTTATATATTAATTTGAGTATGCTAAATTTTATTAAAATTCATTTAGAAATAAATTATGCACAATTTTATAAACTGGGTCTCGATTCTCTTGTTGAATTTAACTCAAATATTCTTCCAATTTATATATCTAAATTAGGTAACCTATTAACAAGAGGTGAAGAATCATGGCAATCTTCAGTATCACATCTTTATTTACAAAGATCATACAGATTTAAAAATTATTAATAAGCTTCTTTCAAAGGTATTCTGTCAGAGATATTCTTTTCTAATAGAGATTTCAGGAGATTCTAGAAATGAATTTAAATATTACTTTGATGTTAAAAGAGAAAGAATCAAATTTTTCTTACTGAAAATCTAATAAACAAATTCTATTATTATGTACTAGTTATTATAATGTATCACCTTTAAAGGGTAATTCATGAAATAACCTGAAAATCAATGATTTAATTACAATTAATAAAAAAGACAGCCACTACTAAAAACATCGCAACTAAATGAGTAATGAGTACATTAAGAATTCAACACTTCAGGTGCTGCATAACCAGGTGTACCACATTTATATAATAGATATCTATTTATATTTGTAGAGGTTGCAAATCCAAAATCAATAATAGTTAGAGAATTGAAATCATCTTCTTCAGCCAAAACCAAGTTTTATGGTTTTATATCTCTGTGTATAATCTATATTTAAATATAAAATTACTTCCAATTAAGATAATTTGATTAAAGCTTCAAAGAGTCGTTTCATTATAGATGATATTTAAAATAATGAGAGAGTTTTATTCATCTTTTTATTATTTTCCATATAGTGAAATAATGAATATCCATCAAGATAATTCATAATAATTAAATAATATTAATCATCTTGATATACATCTTGAATTTGTACAAAATAATCATACCCTTTTACTTTATTCATTATTGCAATTTCTTATTCTATGATCGACTATAAATCAATTATATAACCTTACATAATTTAAAGGAGTAAGATCCTTTTTATTAATATATTTAACAGCCAATTCATTTCCAGTAGTTTTACATTATATTTTCTTCACATTTCCTGATGACCCTTTGCTTATCTCGCTTTTTACAGTAAATAAATCATCGAAATTTCCAAAACTACATCTACAACTAAGCAAATTTCTTAATCTAATAATCATTTACTAATTAAATATACTTTATCAATCCATCAAGATCTTTACTGATGAAAGTCTTATTTTTTTTCTTTATTTTTATTGTGAATCCTATCAATTTGGGTTAATATTCATCTTATTTTATTATCCACTTAATTAACGTCATTATTCTTATCAAAAGCTGAAATCTAAATATTTATACTCCCTATTTTAGCTTTTTAATATAATTATCATCATACCTTATACATTAAAATTTTATCACCCATATATTTTAATTCATAAGGATGATCAAAAAATATATTTTTACTGTAAAGTTGTAATGTAAAGATGACTTAATTATCCATTTTCAAGAATTATATTTCTTATCTTTATAATTAATATGTTTATTTTTAAAGAATTGGTTTTATTATTTTAATTAAAATTCATTAGTATTTAGTACCTAAACATGCCAGTAAATGTAATTCCAGATTTTTACTAATAACCTTCAATCCTTTTTATTTTTACAAATTATATATTATTTTTCAAACAGTTTCTAACCTCAATAAATAATTTTCATTTAGTTTTTTCATTTTCTCCATTTATTGAATAGAAAAAAAATATAAATCCTTTTGTATAATCAATTTTTTACAGTTTACAATAATCCAATTTTTATTTATAAATAGGAGACAATTTATAAGAAGAAGATTAATTATAGTGTTTTATATTTTTATTCATTCATCTACAAAATAATTTAATTTTATAAGCAAACTCTGAGGATATTTTCTTTTAAAACATATTAAGTTGAATAATAAATAAATTCTATATTGAAAAATCTTTAAAAATAATTATATTGATTTTTATAATTAAATTTGTGATTCTTTAAGAAATCTTGTTATAAAATTAATAGATAAATTTTATTATTGCGATAAATTAAATCTTCGTAAAAATATTGTTGTTCCTTAAAATAAATGTAATTAAATGATAATTTTATTTAATATATAAGTAATAAAATAGTATAAGTTGATGTAATATTTTCAATTTTTAATCATGTATTAAGATAGGAAAAATAACATAAATAAAAAGAAATCATCAAATGATGCATTTCATTTAAAATTTAATTTTAGATCGAATCGAACCTTTTTTTTTACTATTTCCTTATTTTGGGCTGAACCCTAATTTTAGCAATATCTCAATTCATGCTTAAGTATTGTTTTTTTTGTATTAGTATCATCGCAGTGAAATGATTCTGCCTATTCTGAAGATGAATCATTATTGTTTGGAATACAATCTTATAAGAATTGATGAGACTGCTGTATAGATTCAACTCCATCTACATCTCCATTAACTTTCTTTATTTCTTGATTGTCTCCTTCCAATTTAAATGGTTCATGAATATATGTAACAGAGGCTTCTTCTTTAAAATTTTCATCTTGCTATTAGCATTTCTCTTTATTTAATATATTTGAAGATGAACTGTTTTTCTTTTAAGAGTTATTTGGAGTAGTAAATTAATTGAGATTTGTTAACTCAAATGGTTTCTCATTATATTGCTTACAACAATTTGCTCCCATCAGTATTTTTAATTTATATATAATAAATCAATAATATAGATTAGCTTCTTGTATTTAATTCAACACAAGATGCACTTGATCAGCAAATTTATTTTGTTAATTCATTAACTCCTTTTTGATTGCTAAATTTTTAATCAAAACCCTGAGATATGTTTTCTTTACCTCTTCTAGTTCCTCATTCTTTTTTTCTTTTAAACCTTCCAATTCTTTGATTTTATATCTCTATTCTGTAAATTTTTCTAACAATTAATCTAATTCCACCTTTTGTTCATGTTACAATTACTTATTTTATTGCATTTCCCTTTACCAGACTTTCTCATCATTTGATTTTAAAGCTTCCTTTAAATCTTAGAATTTCACTCTTAACCATTATTAATCCTATGAATCTAACTACAACACTGTTTAATCTTCAAATTCATTAAAAAATGCTCGAATAGGCTTTCTTTTTTTTTATTCTTCCTAATCGAATTCCAAATATCTCAACTTTACAATATCTAATTCTTCAACATCATCTTCCTACTTTTTATTTTTTTTTGTTGTAAAGCACTACATCGTTTTAATATTTTAATTATCAAATATATTAATTCTAATTTTCGAAGTCTTTATCATTTCATATATATTTTGAATTATATTATACTTTTATATTTTTATTAATATCCAATATGTTTAATAGCTTATCTTTTTTACTTCAGATGTTTTCATAATCATTAAAGAATACAGATAACAATAATTAAAATAGAATTAAATAATAATAATACTATTTCTATTTATTTTTTACTTAAAAGAGAAACCAGTCATTGTTACTACTTTTAAAATTGTAAATTAAAAGAAATGATCACTTTAAAATTTCCTCAGAAATTTAATTTATAAATAATTATTTATTTATTCTAAAGTATTTCTATTTAAATGAGCTAATTAATATTAATTATTAAGTTCAGTTAAATATATTATTAATTAAACTAATATACTTATAATAAATTATAATATCATTAGACAATAAATTATAATACATGACAGTAATTTTTGATAAAATCATTTTATTTCTTGCTTTTGTAATTGATTTTGAGGATTTATGTATCTCATAAAGTATCCTAATTGAGAATATCACTATAATATAAAGCTTTTTGTAAATAATAAAATTTTAATAAGCAATTTCTCGAAATTTGTCAATTGAAGAAACTATTTGGTTTAGTCAATAATTTAAAGAATAAATTCTAATTTTAAATGAATAAAAACCAAGTATTTGTTGTGGATTATTGATTTTGTAGTATGCCTAAATGTTAGATAAAATTTATATGAATGTGTATAGAATAAAGCAAGAAAGAATGAAATTTTAATGTTTGAAGTGGTTTTAATAGATCTGTTAAGTGTTATTAGAGGAATACTCAATTTAATCTGAAATAAACTTTATTAAAATATACTAAATTAAGGAAATAAACCGAAAACTCATTTTTTAAAGCCAAAACACTAAATGATTCAATATTATAATTATAGCAATGTAAAATCCAAATTTCATGCCTATTCTTATTTACACCTAACCTACTGCATATCCCCAATATTATCCTATGTATTATATGCCAGTGATACAAAACTATATGATACCTCAGTGTTAAATCTCTTAAGAACCTGAAAAACAATAGACAATCTTAAAATCTAATGATTAAAGTTCTATTTCTAATCAAAACTTTGATCCAAGCAATCAATTAAACTTTCAATCAATAAAACAAATTAAAAATGAAACTGTAGTTGAAAATAATGAAGAAAATTAAACTAATACAGAATCAAATAAACCGAAATAAAAATCTGGGAAAAAGAAGATTAATCTCTTACAAAAATCTACTAACATATAAAAAAACTATGCAAAAGCAATCATTTCTTATTCTTGTGGACAGAGAGTTCTAATTATAAACACCTTAGGCAAAAAAAAAGGGATTGAATTTTTGAAAATAATTAATTAACTAAAAAATAAGTTGAAAAATATTAATCACATAAAGAACTATACTTAGAAAGAATCATTCTTGAGTATGTTCAGAATATTAGGGTAAAATTTTTAAAATAATATTTTTAGTAATAAATTTATAAAGAATGAAGCTGTTAGTTATATATATCACTCCAATATCTAACAGAAGAGTTGTCATCTAAAACACTTAAAGGTGGTCTAACAAAACTTATTGAAGTGTTGATCGAGTTATCTAATATATATTATTTATTAAATTAGTATTAATATCCAATTAATTAATAAAAATTTTATATTCTAAAACTTATAATAAAACAGATTAAATTAATACAGGAAGCATAACAAATATTTTTGATTAAACTTATAAGATAATACCAATGTATGCTGTATAAATTATTTTATACATAGAAGATAAGAGAGGAAATTATTACAGGTCAAAATAATTATAATATCAGATTAGGTACAATCATAATCCTGATTCATGTAATATTTTGTTATTGAATTATATTTAATAACAATCATTTATTAAAGCAAGTGGATTGAATATAAATGTTCCCTCAAGAAAATGCAAATTTAAAAATGTTAACTGATTAGTTTTATAGATAGTAATTCAACTTAATAAAAAGAATCTCTGTTTTGCTTTGAAGAATTCTCTAAAAAAAATTAATATGAGTTGGAGATGATTGCTAAAAAGAGAGAAGTGTGATACATTTATGCAGTATAATTTAAAGAATGAAAGATTTGACCAAATAAAGAAAGATGTTCTTATTTAAAAATTCAAATTACCGATGTATTTTTAGAGAATATGTTTTTTTATGAAATTCAATAGTAAAATAATGCTTTCATACATGTTTTAGACAAATAATGCAAGATGCTAATTTAATAATGAATACTGGCCTAATTCATAGATAAAAGCAAGAGTTAATTATGAAATACTAATTATTATTGCTATACTCAAAAGAATTGAATGTATATCTAGAAACATAAGGATTTTTGTCAATCGCATTCTTAGTCTGCTGTAAATTGGAATGCTGTATTAGTATATCAAATATGTATAGGAAACAATAAAATTTGTTGTTAAACATGTAAGAGATCTTGAGAAATATATTATGTTTTGAGTTATTTTATAGTTTAATAATATTTCTATTCTTTTGCTCTTTTATGAAATAAAAATAATCATTAAATTTGTTTATATATTAAATTGAACGCTGATCATAAAAATTATAAAATTTCTTAAAATAAAAAAATCTGATTTATCAATCACTGAGAAATTAATTATGGAAAGCAAGCTTTTAGCTTAAATTAATTGAAAAACTCTTAGATTATTTTTATATTTTTAATAATAAAAGCTATTAAATCGAAGTATTGATAATATTTATAATTTGATAAATGAATGCTATTTAAAGATTTGTAGTGATGCTATTTTAGATCAACGGACTAGGATTTTCTATTTATTACTATTCATTGAGTCAAGAAAATAGTAATTTGGCTTATCTGATTCTATAATCTATTCTTGGTTTGATCTTGCTATTAATATAAACAAAAAATAAGAAAATCTAATATATAGGAAATATTACAATAATTCAGTTTAGTCTCTTTTGGTAAGTCATAACAAATTAGAGGAATATATAATATAACAGTGAAGCTTAGGTGATAATAGCTCATTTTTTAACAACATAATTATTTCAGGATTTGAAAAGATTTTAGGAGTAATAAATTCAAGTAAGATATCGAATTGTTTGGTTTTTGCTATTACTACAGTCTACTTTTTTTTAAATTCTTTACATTTCTTAAACTGCTTAGATTGATTTATCTTATTTTTAAGGGATTATATGTTTACTATTTTCATTTGTAATCAATTACACTATATGTATAAGAAAGCAATCAAAAATGCAAAGTAAAGCAAGTGACTCTTAATAGCACATCAATTGTACATAAATGATAAAAAGAAAAGAAAGAGTATTGTCTTTAGCTGAATCAGAGAAGATTTCACCAAAAAGTAATTAATCTCCACGTTTTCGATTAATTCCTGAATTATCTCTAAATGATTAATCTTTACATTCTGATATTTTAGACTTAAAGATGTAGTATTCTCATGAAGGTTTGATTGGATTAAGACTTAAACAAAATAATTAGGATATGGATATTATTTATTCTAATGTAGCATCAAAAGCACTATTATCTGCAAATTCTACAAAAGAAATATTAGACATTTTTAATTGTTTTTCTAATTTAAGTTATACATACCATCAAAATCATGATGAATATTAACTTCATTTGAAACATTCAAAACAATTATGTAGTAAAAGTATGGCTTTTTTAAAAAGTGATCAAATAAATCAATCTCCTCATCCTAATTTATTATATTTGTTAGAAACACATTCAGTAAAAAATTAAATCTCACATTTTAAAGATATTTTTGAAAAATTCCAATCCAACTCTTTTAATGAATCTTTTGTTATACATGCATTATTTCCCAATAATAATGTTACAATGTCTTAGAGTGAGAAGTAAGTAGAAAAAATGTTGGAATTAACATTAATAAAAAGAAATTTCAATTTATATTTTATGTTGATTAGAGATATAACACATAAATAGAAAATTAGATATTTGAAAGAATATGATGTTTAAAAATCTAAAATGTTATCTTATGTTAGTCATGAATATAGATCACCTTTAAATTGTATAATTTAAATGATTGAAGATGCATTACATTCTAATTAATTATCAAATGATTTGAATGAAATCTTATAGGCTGCTTTAGATAATTCAAACTATATATTGAATTTATCTAATGATTTATTAGATTTGGCATAAATTAAAAATGGGAAATTTGCCATTTAAAGATCGAAATTCAATTTGATTTAATTAATTAAAGAAGTTTTAAAGCTTTTTGAATTAAAGGCAAAAATAACTAATATTAATTTATCATATCAATATGATAGTGCTGCTTCCACTATTATTATTTCTGATAGAAATAGAATTAAACAAATATTAGTTAATTTAGTTAGTAATAGCTTTAAATTTGCTTCAACAAAAATCATCATTTAAGTAACTTTTATAGATTTAATTTCATTAAGAATTGGAGTTTAAGATGATGGTATTGGAATTCCTGAAGAAGAATAAAAAAAACTATTTAAATCATTTTCAAAAATTAATTCAGAAGAAAGTAGGAAACGTAATGAATAAGGTGTAGGACTTGGCTTAGTAATAAGCAATTAAATATCTATTTCTATAGGTTGTGAAGGTTTATAAATAAATTCTAAACCTAATTAAGGTACATATTTTTATTTCGATTTACATATTTAAACAGCAAGATTAAAAAAAGTCAATAGTTTTAGAATTAAAGAGATTTCTGGAATATCTTAAGAAGTAGATGAAGGATAAGCATTTCATGATGAAGACAAAATAAATATTAATTTAGAGCCCCCTCTGTAATGCTAACATTTGTTACTAGTTGATGATGAAGCCTTTAATATTTATACTTTTACTAAAATATTAAACAAAAAGTAATAGTTCTTTTCTAATTAGAAATATTACTGATATAGACTCTGCTTCTAATGGAAATGAGTGCATAGAAAAGGTTAAAAACAAAAAATGCTCTAATTAATGTCCTGGATATAAACTCATTTTTATGGATCTCGAAATGCCAATTCTAAATGGTTTAAATGCTGCTTAATAAATACTAAATAATAATCCCAATCAAATTATTGTCGCATGTTCTGGTTACTCTGACAATTATCAAAAAGACAACTGTTTAAAAATTGGCATGATTCATTATTTAGTGAAGCCTATTAGAGATCATGAGCTCAATTTTGTTCTCAAAAACTATTATTTTTGAACTTTTCTTTTATATTTATTCTATTATACATTTCAAATATCTAATTATTTTTAACTAATTCAGTTTTATTCATCAAAATTTTATTTATAAATATAATTTATTATCATATATAATCATTTATTTCCAATTACATACTATAATTTATAAGAGTATAAACTAATTTCAAATTGTATGAATAATTAGTTAACTTTCTTAAATTTGTATCTTCTTTAATCATAAATAATGTGTTACATCAATTCTAAATTTCTAAGACTAAAAATTTTCTTAATAATGAATAAATATTGAATTTTATAGTTATAACTTGATTATTATTGAAAGATTAAAGCTTTAACAAGAATTAGACAAATTATAGAATTCGGAAGAATCATTAGTTCAATTTTAGATTAAATTTAGCTTGTCATAAAAAATTGAATAAAATAATACATTTATATCTAGTTTCACTTCATTAGTTAATTCCAATATAGATGTTATGATAATTTTCATATTAAGTACGATTTAAATAGTTGAAGTGTTGAAATGATATATACATAAAAATATTTTAGAAATATTTTCTATATTGTTTGAATTGAATTATAATCCAATAAAAGAGTTCATATATTCAATTTCCCAATTCCATTCAGAATTAAAAAAGAAATTCATGATCATAATGATTTTTTGATCAACATTAGAGCAATTTAATCTGAGAAGCATATTTAAGTAGGAAATAAGAAAAGAACTTAAATTAAAAAGTATAAATGAATTCAAAATAGCAAGAAGAAAATATTATTATTAATTATATAAAAAAAAAGATTGATTTTTTCATAAAAATCTTTTGTATTGTTTGTTTGAATTATAAAAAGTATCTTAATATATTGCGTATTATTATAAATAATATTAGTTAAATCAACAGTTAAAATAAAAAATGTATTTGGGTCTCAGTTATAAAACAAGATATTTTGCTTGAATAAATAATATTTCAAAAATGCAATTGATATTCCTATTCTTCATGATTGAGGTTTCTTTAGGTTGGAATCCCATTTTATCATCAAGAATAATAAAATCAATTGATAATGAAAATATTATAACCTAAGAAGATTATTTAATAATAGCTGAGGGAAGCTTTTCTATTGCTTACCAAGGTTTATAAGGATATAGAGAGCTGTACATAATGTTTGATGCTAAAACTAATAAAAGTGAAAGTGAAATGCTGATATTAGTGAATGGAGTTAGAAGAAATATAATTTAGGTATAAGGAGAGTTTATTGAATTTCATATGAAATTTTAACATTAAGCTCCAGATGTACTGATTTAGATGATAATTGAAAAATAAACAAAAGTAGAAATAAGGAACTTCAATATATTTATATAAGAATGCCCAAAAAATTGTAAATATTGTCTATAGGGGGATTGCGATCTTTAATTATTTGAGAATTGTGACAAATTGAGATATAAAGACTAATGTGTAGATGAATGCCCTAATGGAACTGTTGCTGAGTACAACTAATGTATTTAAGCAAGTATTTAATTTGTTAAGAATTTAGGTTTGATGGAAATTGAATAAGCAAAATCTTTTTTGTAGGAAGGACTTTCAACAATTTAGAAATTTGGAGAGGAGAAAGTGGTAAAATTAAATTTTGATCATGATTTTAATGGATTAATAGAAATAGTGTTTAATTGTTATAGTTAATAAGAGAAAAATATTGATCAAATGATAAAAATAGATTTTAAGAAAGGTTAATCTCAAATAATGTATCCTTTTTTAAATACTTATATAAATTTATAATCTTATAAATGGTGTTAACCTAAATAAGAATTATAATGTATATAAGTAAAGGGTTTATTTGAGTTAAATTTTAATAAATAACAATAAGTTCAGATTAATAGTTATTCAAGAAAATTAGAAAATAAAGGTTTTTGGGAAATAGAAAGTCTTAAGATATATAATGAGAGAAAGAGATTTTATGATTGTTAAATTAAGAATTGTAGTTAATGTTTTTATCATAATGAATGTAAGAAATGTGAAGAATAATACTATTTATACTAAAATTAATGTTTAAAGAAATGTCCAGCTGACACAATAAGAGAAGAAAATAGATGCATCGATTATAATGAGAAGCAAAAAAGTAAGAAGAATATATATAGTAGATTTAAACTTCATGATTAAATTAGAGTCCCCTTTTTAGGATTTGTAGTAAATTTTTGGTAAAATCTCTTTTGACTTGAAAGAACGAATAAGTTTTCGATATGAAAATGAGACAACATATATTGGTGGAGGTTTATTAGATTAATGGCGTCGTACAACATTTTCAAGATAAATAAATTTGGGTAGACATTATGCTATTAGAATTATGTTTAATATATCATTAGAAAATTCAACATTAGATCAAGATAGCTTTGTCTATTCAATAGATGGAAGATCTTTTAATGTCTATAAAAACATAAGTTTTATTGATCATACACTCAACCATAATAAAAACATCCTAAACCTAAATCTAGGATGTAAAATCTCGAGTAATGGTAGATGTGTTATATCTAACTATTATTTTATGATAATGAATGTAATAGAATTTTTAAATATATCTATAGTGTTCTCCACTTTGTTAAACTTGTACAGGTCCATCTTCATCTGATTGTAAGATTTATCAATCAAATATTCTAAATTTTGATTATCAGACTTTTAAGTGTTTAGATGGATATTTCTTGAGTGAAAATGGTTGTCAAAGGTGTTCACATGGTTGTTAATTATGTGAATCATTCAATAAGTGTCTTAAATGTTAAGATACTAAAGAGGCACAATTTATTTGTTAATCAAATCTTTGACAATGCCCTCTTGATTTATTAATTGTTTATTTTGTTTTTATAAAATTTATTTTGTAAATGCTTTACTTGAAATACATTATTGCTATTTTAATCTCAAATGCTACAAAGGCATAATAGAAAATAACAAATTATGAAGGTTATGATAATACTTTTACATAAAATAAACTAGATAATTTCATTTAATTACATTGTGAAGCATACAATCTTCCAATTATTGTTTAGAAAGGAAATTTAGAAAAAGTTATTTCACTTAAGGATTTCAAACCTTTTGCATAAACTAAAATTTTCGTAGAATTTATTGTTCCTCTAGATTCTAAGTTAGGAATTAGGATATGGATTTTCAATAATCAATGAGTGTTTTAATACATCTAATTATAATATGTTATCATTCAATTATGAATTAGATGGATAAAAATATACAGAAATTTCTTAATTCATATGATTTTAGATGATGAATCAAATTAATAATAAAGGTATGTTGGAATAAAACAAATTCATGTTTCTAGATTGAATGTCCCTAAAATTGTCAAGAATGTGAATACTATGATACAAAAGTTGGTATAACCTTATATTGATTATAATAGAATATCTTGGATACATTTAGTTTTGGATAAAATACCAATTTAAAATTGAATTAGAATTTTGAATAATAAATACATCAAAGAGATCTTCTTAAATCATATAGAATTTCAAAGTATTAAAAAATCAAATACAATTAGGCTTTTTAACAATTTGAAATGATATTTATCAATGATACTGAGCAAATTATTTTTTAGAATCTATATATTTAAATCTATAATATATCAGAATCTCAATGTGAGTATTCTAGATTTAATAAAACGAACTTAATTTTTGGAGGTAAATGGAAAAGATAAGAATTTACTAAAATACTCATACTTGAATCTCATTATGCGTTAACCTATACATTTACAGTTAGTATTATTGATTTGTCAGAAAAAGATAAATAAACAGGATTTTTTTATTAATTTGATTGAGGAGAATACAATTTTATCAATCCTAAAGATTTAATCTAAATTGATGGGGATGCTAATAAGCCTGATTCGATAGTTTAATATTGCAAATATTTCAAAAATACAAATAACGATATTATAATAGCTATTGGCTGTAATACAAATGGTTATTGTTTTTTGATGATTATTATTTAATTATCCATAAATGCACATCATATTGCAAACTATGTAATGGACCAACAAAATCTTAATGTCTGGAGTTCACCAGATATTCTTATGAATTTGATTATAAAACTAAATTATCTAAATCTGGCTATTTTTGAAAGCGATGATAATATGTGCCAAAAATGAGAAGTAGCTGATTTTCTGAATGTGTTTCTAGATAAATGTGTCATATTTGTAAAAAAGGATGTAAACTTCATTTACAAGGATCTACATGCACATGTGAATGATATTAACAATATTTAATAGAAAATTGAAATATAAATATTATTATAATAAATCTAAATTTATTATAATCTAATTTTTTTTTAATCATTCAACTAAATTTAAAAAGTAAATCATAATTCTAAAGTATGTTTATTGCTCCATTTTAACTATGTTTATATCAACAAATATGATCCACTCTGTTTTGATTCTTCATTCAGTATTTTTAAAGTTAATATAAAGAAAATTATTTTGTTGAATAAGAATTTAAGATGTAAAAGAGTGATGTCTTTAAAAAGCAAAGAATTAATTATTAAATTCAAATTTAGAATAAAAAAAAAAAAATTCAAACATAATTATAGAAATTTATTTTATTTTTTTAAAGCAAATCTAGTAATTAATTTCTTTTATAAAAAGATTATGAAGTTTTTGGTGAACTTTTAAAATAATCTTTTAAGAACAATAAAAAGAGATGTTTGAAACTTGGATTAAAAAATTTGTTAATGAGATTTTCTTTGATAAATTCTGATTAGAGAATTTAAATTTATTAGTGTATATTATTTCAATTTGATTTTAATTTAAAGACCACTATGATCATATGATTATGGTGTAATCAGTTGCTTCAAAATAGCTAATGAATTTAGTTTGATTGAAATTTTCTTATTGTAGATTTACATATTTTGGGGGTATGAAAAGTATGTGTATAAAATAAAAAAATTTTAAATATAATTTTAGTAAAGAATTTCTGAGGTTTGGCTGTTTTATTGAAAGCAAATAAATAGAATGAAAAGATGATGACATAAATAATTATATTCATAACAGAATTTATCAAATTTTTTATAGTATATCTCTGTATTTATGTAATATGGAAATATTTATATAAATAACATATAATGAAATGGATGTAATTGCTCGTCTTGAGAATGCTTATTTAGATAGTGCAATGTGGTAAGATACTTAATAAATATTTAGGTTGGGAACTATTTAAATCAGAATTAATGGATAGTTCAACCTTCTCTCTTTGGAAGAACTCTAACAATTCACCGGGTTCAAATTTACTTTAAGTTTGTGATCTATAACCTTCGCTGAACTCAAAGCTTCTTTAAGGAGATAAGTTATTGAGTAGAAATATTTTAATGCCAACATCACGAGCATTCAGCAAAATTAGAATCAGTTTCGATATCTATTATATCAATTTATGGAGTGCAGCAGAATCTCTTACTGTCTATGCAAACAGTTTATTAGTTCATTATGAGAAACCTTTAATTTATGATAACCAAGATTACCCATTAAGATTCTGTATTTCAAGACCATTTGGAAAATCATACCCTGAATAATTCTCACGTATAGATTAGGAAATATCATTTAATGATCCAAATTTAAATATAGAAATAGTTCATGAGGGAGTATCAGCAGGAACGACCAGTGAATATGGCTTAAGCAATTTTATATTATAAATATTCTTTTGTGAGGATAAATGTGAAGAGTGTGATGAAAACTAATGTCTTCTATGTTAAAATGGATATCAGTTAATAAAAAATTAATGTATATGTGATCCCTCATTTCAATATTCATACTTTAATCCGTATCTAACATGCGTTGATGAATGCCCTATTAATTATGTATCAGATGATAAACGAATTTGTTAACCATCTCTTGTTAGTACAGTTTACTCTGATCTTGAAGAAGATACATTTAACTCTTATAAATTTAAATTTGTTGCTGATAAATATTATAGTGTAAATAAATTGATGATTAATACAGTTGGAACTAAGACTATAGGAGGTATGTTTTCTAACACAGACTCTATTATATTTGATGACGTCAACTTATAACCTAATTTTAAATATATCATAAAATTTAACCTTTTTATTACTGGTAGAATATCAAAGTTGTATCCTGAAACTATATAAATACTTTTTAACTAATATGTTGTTGCGTATTTAGCAGATTTCAACAAAATTATTTTTACATCCCCTATAACTAAATCAAGTACTGCAGGAGTACCTTCTACATGTTCTATCCCCTCATTTTCATAATGCACATCATACGAAATTATGATTCAAGTAGAATTAACAGAACTAGTAACAGAATTAATGTTTAAAACCAAATTTTAGTTAAATACACCATAAAGAACATGGGGAATTCGAAATTTTTAAATATCTAAATATGAAATAATTTCAAGTTCCTAACCATGCTCAAATAATTGTTAAACTTGTAATCAATCAGAACCTAATGTTTGTTTATCTTGTTCTGGAAGTTTAAAATTATTTAATGGTAATTGCATTTCTTAATGTCCAAGTTACACAACTGTAAATGGAAATGTTTGTGATGATCCATCTCTTACATAATCAAATGAGAAATATCTTGTAAATATGTATCATGATATGAATTTCTATCTTTAAACTAGTTTTGGAATATAAAAATAATTGTCTAATTCTTATTTTATGAATCGCATAATTTTAGGAGGAGTTGGAATTTGGGAGAATGAATAAATTCAATATAAATTTACTCACAAAAATTTATTTTATAAGGTCAAAGTATAATTCATGTTATTGTTTATTGATTCAACAAATAATTAGATATTATTTAGAACAAGCCTAAACAATGAATTACCACAATATAATATGTATGGAAGCAGCACTTCAGTAGGTAATCAAGTTGGTTAAAAATATTTTGAAGTGGTTTAGAGTGTGTAGTATATGAAATCTTTTGAATCTACAAATGAATTAAAGGTTTAATTATAGTGCATTAAAGGAATAGATAGTTTTGCATATTGTGGTGTCTATGATTTTAGAATAATTATCTCGGAATGTTAAGAAAATTGTTTAAATTGTGATGAAAATGGAAATTGCATGAAGGAAATAGATACAGTAAGCACAAACATTAATGGATGCAAGGATGGATATTATAAAATAGAAAATTAGTGTGTTTAATGTACCTCAGGATGTACATTATGCACAGATGTAGATGTATGTTAAGCATGTAAACCTGGCTATGATTTAAAATTTAATACTTGTTTTTGCAGTAAATTAAAAGAAAGAATCGATTATTGTGAATAAAAAAACTGTTTTCATAATTGTTAAACTTGTACTAACACATATTAAAACTATGGAATTTATAGATAATACCATCCTAAAAATTGTTTATCATGTGATGAATCAAAAAATTTATGGTTAAATGTAAATTAATGCAGTTGTTTAGATGGATATTTTATGGAAGATTTTAGTTGTTATTTGTGCTTACCAACCTGTTTAAAATGTTATTAATAGGCCAGAACTTGTACAGCATGTCATCCTGGATAAAATAGAATCTTAGATAAAGAATAATGTCGCTGCTAAGATGGATATTTTTAAGAAGACAATGATTTAGTTTGTAGTAAATGCAGTAACTTATGCTAAAATTGTAATTTTACAAAGGATTAATGCAATTAATGTTATTCTAGTTAATATAGAAGTTTACATATAGATACTTGTATATGTATGGATGGATATTATGATGTTGGTGATTTAAATTGTAAAAGTATCAAATCATTTAATAACATTAGAATGTCCTTCAAAATGTAAAACATGTTTGAATGAAACAACTTGTATTACTTGTAATGAAGATTAATATAGAATAATGAGCATTGATAATCAAACTTGTACATGTTAATCTAGTTATTTTGATTTAAATTATCAAGATACATGTGAAAGTATACATTTTATTAGATAATTAGAATGTCACTTAAGTTGTTAGGAATGTAAATTAAGTAATGGTTTTAAATCATGTACAAGATGTCCAAGCACAAGAGAACCTAAGCTTTAGGGTAAGGAAGGAGCTTTTTCATTTGAATGCAAATGCAGAAGGGGATATTATGAATCAAACTAATAAGAATGTTCAAGTTGTGAAGATTATTAAAATCCACCTAAAACTCATTATTGTTATTCAAATTGCGGAGATGGCATTGTTCAATGGAATGAAGATTGCGATGATGGTAATAATATAGATAGAGATACATGTTATTAATGCTTAAATGGTAACTCATTTTGTTTGGATTATACTTGTACTGGTTGTTAAGCAGGATAATGCACAGGTTGTATTGATGGGTTTTATTTGACTCAAGAATTTATTTGTTAGCCGTGTAATTCAAGTTGTAAGACTTGTGTTGATAGGGCTAACAATTGTACTGATTGCATAATCTACAAAGAAAATGATTCTGGATGTTTGATGTGTGAATAAGATTAAGGATTTCATATAGTTGATTCTTAATGTGTTTCAATATGCGGAGATGGAATTAAGGTTGAATAAGAGGAATGTGATGATGGTAATATAATAATTGGAGATGGATGTGATTAATTTTGCAAGATTGAATATGGTTTCAAATGTGAGTCAAATTGTGAAAAGACAATATATCCAAATATTTTATTTGAAGTGAATAAATCAGAGAAGAAATTTGACAAAGAAAGAGTAGTGAGAATAAAAACAGATTCTGCAGTATCAATTACTGGTAGTATCAGTTCTATATTTACTTTCAAAGTAAATAATTGCGATGATTACGATCTTACTTATGTGGATTTAACTCAATATTCTAATTAATTTACTTACTTATTTTTAGAATTAACATTGATCTTTAAATAATCTGTATCTGATCCAGAATTAGTTTGCTAGATAATCAATAAAGAGGCCATCTTAAATTAGGATGGAAATTCTTTTGCAGAAAAGAATTATATGATCTAATTAAATGAATATATTTAGCCTTCTATTGCAGATTAGTAAGCAACTGATGGATTGATGCAGCTAAGTAAATATGTATTATATTTACTTTTTGGACTTGCTATTTTGGCATTTCTATTTGGAGGTTTGAACATATTTTGGAATCTTTTAGATGCATTGTAATTAATATCATATCTCAAATTTTTTAATGTTTATTATCCCTACAATTTAAATAACTATTTCACAATTTTTGGATTTGCTCAATTTGACTTCTTAAAAGATTATCTTGATTTAGAAACTTTAATTAGTCAATATGTAAACACTCCAGATGCAGATCCTAAATTTAGAGATGAAGGTTATTCCACAGTATTTTATGTGAATATTATTACTGTTTTGACTGTATTTGTTACTACTTTTATAACTTACATAGCATGTAAAGTATTATTATCAACACTAACTAAATTTTCACATTCCTTTGTATATGTTCCACTTAATTCACAGGAATAAAGTATTTGCACATTCTTCATTTATAGAGTTACAAGAAATTTGTAAATTTAATTAATGCGTTTTAATAAAGCATTTACATCTGGAATTATTAGAACCTTTATGGCTGTAGCTTTTGATTACAATCTCGCTTTATTTCTATAGTTGAAGGATTTTGAACTAAGTGATCCAATTCTCTTCACTAGTTTTCTCTGTTGTCTTGTAGCTTTTGTTATAGAAATTGTATTTATATCTATGGCTGTTAATTTCATGTCCAAACCTTCTTATGTATTTAAATAAAAATTTAATATTGATTGTTTTGGAGCTATTTATGAAGGAATTAAATTAGAAAAAAATCCATTTACATACTATTTCAATATTATACTATTGATTAAAAAAATGCTCTTTATGATGTGTTTAGTTATGTTTTATTCATCTCCTTGTTTATAAATTGGATTAGTATCTCTCCTTAATATTATTATGGCTCTATATCTAATAAAAATTTCGCCACTTGAAGACAAAGATGAATAATTTAAATAAGTAGGTTCTGAAATTTTAATTTGGTTTACTGAAATGCTTATTCTAGCTTTTGCAATCAATGAATAATCAAATTCCCTTAATGAAGACTCATAACTTATTATTGGATGGTGTGTAATTACTTTAACTTCCATTTTGATTCTTTTTCAATTATTCATTGATATCAAATAACATGGTAAGTTTTTAATTAATGAATATTCCATCATCAAAAAATTTATCTAAAAACTTAAAGATATGATAATGCAAAAACCACTTTAAGAAGAATAAAACATTTTCCTCAAAAGAAGAAGAAGAATGGGAATTGAAAATTTAACATCCTAGACCAATATCATGACTAGCAAATTCAAAACTCTCAGTAATTACAAATAGGGAAGAATGGTAACATTTACCGTCAGCTCCAATAGTAGTAGCTGATAAAATCTAAATCTTTTCCTGTGTATATTGTTTATATTTATACATCATTAAATTAATTATTCATAATCATTTATTATACCTTCAACAATCCCCATACTCTCTTAAAAATCTGAAATTTTTACTCCAAATTTTTCATATTGATAAATATAAGCTCTTTCTTATATCATTTAATTAGATCTATCTGATATCTAATTTAATGATTCAATAATGTTGCTTGAATTATGCAGTACAGTAATTGACTTCTCATTCTTATTGAATTGATGTTCATCCTATACAGTATTCCAATTAAATTAATGTTTTTTAACATCTATTCCTCTTGCTAACATTAGCTATTTAAATGGTTACTGTCCCTTTTTATGCCAATTTATATTATATTCCTTTGTACCAGTCATAACCATTTGCTATATTCGTTTTTCTAAAGCAGACCAAGTATCATTTTGAAAAGCTTTAGACTATTATGGCAATTATGGAATCTAATTTAATTAGAGTAACTTATATTGATTATTCGTAATGTTTAATAATTCTTAAACATATTGTAAATTATTATGAAATGTACTATAAACTTAATTAGTTAAACAGGGCCAAAAAAAGCTTGCCAAATTAGTTGACATTACTTGATTTATATCATTTAAGCTTGGACTCTTCAAATTTAATAAATTATTGCATAAAGCTTAAGCTTCATCATTTTATAATAAAATTATTCCTTCACTATGCTAATATATTGACCCTATTGTCAAAATTGTGTTTAATGATTACAATATTACTTCCCCTGTTAAATGGGGCATTACACAAATATTAAAAAATTCAATTTCTGGATATCGGTCAGACATTAATTCCAATATATATGATCCTAAACCAGACCCAGTTCCACCTGCAAGCGAAGAAATTAAAAATAAACATTCCAAATATCCACATTCTTCTAATAAAGTATCCATTATTTATAATATTGCATTCTTATTTGCAGGACCATGATTGTTAAATCCATATGCCCAATTATTTCCTGATCCTTCCTATTTTGTCAAACTAAATGCTTCATCAATAAACTCTAATACTCTTATCATAATAATCTGCTTTTAGACATCTATCTACTACTTTTGGTTCCATATCAATTAATAATGATTTTGCAATCAATTTATTTTTACGTTCAAAAAAGAAAATCTCATTCAACAAAGCTTAAGCTCCTGGACTTGACATTTATGTTCTAATATCCAATAAGTCTTTACTCTTAAAGCATAAAATCAAACAATGAATGTCCTATCTAATTACCACATTGTCCTAATTAAATAAAACCGATTGACATTTATACAAAAATTATATTTTAGTATATTTCATTTAAATAATTATTCTCTATTGGAAAGTTTATTTATTCCAAGAAATTTTAATTACTCTCTTTAAGTTTCTCATTATAAATAAGCAGACCTAATCCCTATTTGAAAAATAAATCATATTCAAAGAACCTTAAAATTCTAAAGCCAATCTATTTTTATAGTTATTAAATGAAGGTAAGATTCTTCAATTTATGCACATCAATTTATTTTCCACTCTTAAAAATTCATACCTTTGTATTATTTTTTAATTCAATAATGTTTTATAATTTTAATATAATTATTTATGACTGATATAGACTTAAGAGATAACTTTATCAAATCATACAAATTTATCTCTATGTTTATATGTTATCCAATCAAAACTGTCATTAGATTTTAGTAAAAGCATGGAACACTTTTACAAGATTCATTAAAATTAGTTTACAAAGAAGGAGGGCTTAGAAGATTTTATAGTGGTAATTTAGTATAATTTTCAAAGGATTCATCTATAGATAAATTAGTAAAAGTGCAGAGTTTGTAGTACTTTGGGAAGCTTTTAATTAATGGTCAGAAGTTAAAAATATAAATGTTAATCCAATAAACTTTTTATTATCATTTATGATGGGACTTACGATAACATATACATTTGTTCCATTTAATTCTTTATACTACTTTTAACAAGTTTATGGTTAGAAAGATGGAAAAGAGCTGTTATTTTATAAAGTTAAATAAAATGGTGCATCAAGCTTTTATCAAGGATTTTGGTCTCTTTTTTTAGGAAGTTTTTTAGGAAGTATAATAGCATTTCCAGCCTTGTAAAATTATTAAACATATAATAACTAAAAAGAAAATAAAAAAAATGAATAATGTGTATTTTATTTGTATTCGACATTTTTAACTGCTGAAGTAATTTCAAACCCATTCAAAATAGTAGCTATTTAAAAATTGACAAGCATGGAAAACAAATCCTATGGATAAATTTATAATTAATTAATATAAGAGTAGGGCTATCAATGGATTTTTAGATCTATAGATACTAAACTATTGTATTCCTTAATAAAATCCTTATTTATTGTTTATGCCTTTGATTATAAGAAACTTTCAAAAGAAATTTGAGGTTTTTATTAGCGTTTTTTAAGATTAATATTAAACAATAAAATGTATATTATGAATCATTTCTATTGTTATGAATACAATGGATAATCTAGATAACCTTTAATTCCTTTTGTATAAAATGTATGAACATCCCAATTTGTATTTAATTCATACCCTTATCTAATTCTTTCTACAAGATCAGGATTGGAAATAAATAATCTTCCGAATGTCACAGCATCAAATCTTCCCTTTTCAATACCCTCAATTGCTGTAGATGGTGTATATTAATTATTTGCAATTAATACTCCACTAAATAAAGGTCTAAAGACTTCAAAAAGATCAGGAATCTAATCTTTACTTGATGGATAGCCATAATCAAATTAATTTTCAGCATCATTATCATTTCTGACCTCAATAAAAGCAATTTTCTTTTTTTCAAGTTCTTAAATCAAATATGTATACAACTTTAAAGGATCAGAATCACATTAATCACCAGATCTACCTATAGGAGATATCTTGATGCCAACTCTTCCTTTTCCAAAAACATTAATAAATTCATCAATGACTTATAAACATAATTTGCTTCTATTTTCAACACTTCCTCCATATTCATCAGTTCTCTTATTTGAACTATCTCTAAGAAATTAATCAATCATTTAACCATTAGCCCCATGCAATTCAACACCATCAAAACCAGCTTCTTTGCAATTTTCAGCTGCCCATCTAAATTGTTTGATCACTTCTTAAATTTCTTCTATTGTCATTTCATGAGGTATCTCATATGCTTTCATACCTCCTCTATGAATTCCTCTTATTTTGATAGGTGAAGGACCCCATATTTCTAATCCATCTTATAAAGTAGATAAACTTGCTCTTCCAGCATGCCATATCTAAGCAAAGATTCTACCCCCTTTTGAGTGTATATTATTCACAATTTTTTTCCAACCTTGAATCTACTCTTTTGTGAACATTCCTGAAAGCCCTGGAAAGGCCAAAGATCTTTAAGAAATTGGAACGCATTCTGTCAATATAAATCCAGCCTCTGCTCTCAGTCCATAATATTCGATCATCATATCATTAGGAACAAGGTCTTTTGTTTCACATCTTTATCTTGTTAATGCAGCCATACAAATACGATTTGGAAGTTCTATATCCCCCATCTTTAAAGGCTTAAACAGAATATTTTAATATGTTTTCATTTAAATAAAAATGTAAAAGGGTTTCTTAACTTTATTTAAATTTAAATTATATATATTTCAATAATGAAGTCATTAATTGTTAACTTACGGATTTTCAATTATTTTTTAAATAATTCTTTTAATTATCAAATATACTAATTAAAATGATATAGATAGCTCATGAATCACTACCTCAAATTTAAACATGAATAAAAAATCATCTTAAATTCTTAAGTAATATAACAATTGGAATATTGGAAAAAAATTTTGATTGGATAGTATTTTTCTCTATCATTCCGTTAATTGTTTAAATAGTTCTCCTATTCTAAATTAATTTTAAAATATACATCTAGAATTTTTAAATAAAACATTTAATTTTGCTCTAATCATGTGAAGAGTACTTTCAATAAAATATTATTTTAAAGTTTTCTATCAATATTATCATTCAAATCCGTAGTCTTAATAGTTTTTTACCAAAAAGATACATAAAAAAGAAGAATTTATTTGAAAATAAGATTCAATTTTTGATAAGATACTGGATTAAAAATTAAAATTACTGCAATTTTTGAATATCAAGAAGAAAAACTCAATTAGTTTGAAAAAGGCTTATATTTAATTCTGATTAAAAGAATAGTTTCAAAAAATAACTAAAACTCTTACTCCTATTTTTACTTGTGTAAATATTGTAAATAAAAATAATTACCCAATTTTTATTTAATTTGTAAATAAAGCAAATTTATTTAACAATTGAAAAATAATAGTTTAAAGGTTAATTGAATAAAGAAAATAAATGTTATTTGGGTATCATAGATAAAGATAAAATCAGTTAGATAAACTATCATTAAGTTAGAAAAATGCTAATCTAAAAAATATAATATAGTCAATATTTGAATTTAATTATATTCTTTATTATTCATAATAATTATATTTGTTATTATATACAAAAACTATTATTTATTAATCATCTTTGTTGAATTTTGCTTGTTCATATTTTTGATCCATTAGCAATGACTAAATAATTAATAAGTTTATAAACAACATAAAGTTATTAATTATCAAGTAACTCTTAATGGATCAAAAAATGGAATAGCACAATTCAACTCAGATTACTAATAAATAATATGAATTATTGTATATCTTGTAGCCAGATGGCTTGTTCCATCAATTGAATTAACATTCAGGGCTAATTTGGAGTTTGTTCAATTATAAAGGTCAACTAGGATTGATTGGAGTGCATAATAAATTACTATCTTTTCTAGTTGTGTTTTCTCATAAAATTTGCTATATAATAGCCACAAAAGTTCCCTAATTCGCTAAATTGAATAAGAAGGTAAAATGTAAATGTTACTATTCCTAAAAAAAGATTCTATTTATTTTTTTTATCTTGGAATTGCACTANTTTTTCTCTATCATTCCGTTAATTGTTTAAATAGTTCTCCTATTCTAAATTAATTTTAAAATATACATCTAGAATTTTTAAATAAAACATTTAATTTTGCTCTAATCATGTGAAGAGTACTTTCAATAAAATATTATTTTAAAGTTTTCTATCAATATTATCATTCAAATCCGTAGTCTTAATAGTTTTTTACCAAAAAGATACATAAAAAAGAAGAATTTATTTGAAAATAAGATTCAATTTTTGATAAGATACTGGATTAAAAATTAAAATTACTGCAATTTTTGAATATCAAGAAGAAAAACTCAATTAGTTTGAAAAAGGCTTATATTTAATTCTGATTAAAAGAATAGTTTCAAAAAATAACTAAAACTCTTACTCCTATTTTTACTTGTGTAAATATTGTAAATAAAAATAATTACCCAATTTTTATTTAATTTGTAAATAAAGCAAATTTATTTAACAATTGAAAAATAATAGTTTAAAGGTTAATTGAATAAAGAAAATAAATGTTATTTGGGTATCATAGATAAAGATAAAATCAGTTAGATAAACTATCATTAAGTTAGAAAAATGCTAATCTAAAAAATATAATATAGTCAATATTTGAATTTAATTATATTCTTTATTATTCATAATAATTATATTTGTTATTATATACAAAAACTATTATTTATTAATCATCTTTGTTGAATTTTGCTTGTTCATATTTTTGATCCATTAGCAATGACTAAATAATTAATAAGTTTATAAACAACATAAAGTTATTAATTATCAAGTAACTCTTAATGGATCAAAAAATGGAATAGCACAATTCAACTCAGATTACTAATAAATAATATGAATTATTGTATATCTTGTAGCCAGATGGCTTGTTCCATCAATTGAATTAACATTCAGGGCTAATTTGGAGTTTGTTCAATTATAAAGGTCAACTAGGATTGATTGGAGTGCATAATAAATTACTATCTTTTCTAGTTGTGTTTTCTCATAAAATTTGCTATATAATAGCCACAAAAGTTCCCTAATTCGCTAAATTGAATAAGAAGGTAAAATGTAAATGTTACTATTCCTAAAAAAAGATTCTATTTATTTTTTTTATCTTGGAATTGCACTATTCTCTAAATTAAGTTTAAAAAATATTTTTTTGTTTTGTTTTGATTCATGAATAAACTAAAAAAATTTATTCTTATAAGCGAATAATAACAATTTATTAATTTATTGTTTGTAAATTTATAATCTTTAATTATAATCAAGAAGTTCTGTAATCAATCCAAAAAAGATAAATACTTTAACATCATTAAAGAGTAAAAATAAATTGAGATTGTTGTTGATTTAAAGAAAAATAAAAATGAATCAAAAAATAATGGAGAATAATGGTAGAAATGATGATTATTATAAAGAAAATAGAATTTAATTTTATTTAATTTTTAATTATTCATCGTTTTTAGTTTAGCACTTATCATTAAGCATAACATCATTACTATGCTGCTTCCTCATCTATAAACTTTTTAAAAAGCTATTATACATTTTGTTTTGCTTAAATAATCTATTAATTATCAATTTTTTTGCAAAGTATATTATTTAAAATAAAATCAGCATTTTTTTTCTTCATATTAATTTCAAACCCATTCAAAATAGTAGCTATTTAAAAATTGACAAGCATGGAAAACAAATCCTATAAATAAATTTATAATTAATTAATGTAAGAGTAGGGCTATCAATGGATAGATATTAAACTATTGAATTCCTTAATAAAATCCTTATTTATTGTTTATGCCTTTGATTATAAGAAACTTTCAAAAGAAATTTGAGGTTTTTATTAGCGTTTTTTAAGATTAATATTAAACAATAAAATGTATATTATGAATCATTTCTATTGTTATGAATACAATGGATAATCTAGATAACCTTTAATTCCTTTTGTATAAAATGTATGAACATCCCAATTTGTATTTAATTCATACCCTTATCGAATTCTTTCTACAAGATCAGGATTGGAAATAAATAATCTACCGAATGTCACAGCATCAAATCTTCCCTTTTCAATACCCTCAATTGCTGTAGATGGTGTATATTAATTATTTGCAATTAATATTCCACTAAATAAAGGTCTAAAGACTTCAAAAAGATCAGGAATCTAATCTTTACTTGATGGATAACCATAGTCAAATTAATTTTCAGCATCCTTATCATCTTTGACCTCAATAAAAGCAATTTTCTTTTTTTCAAGTTCTTAAATCAAATATGTATACAACTTTAAAGGATCAGAATCACATTAATCATTCAATCTACCAACAGGAGATATCTTGATGCCAACCCTTCCTTTTCCAAAAACATTAATAAATTCATCAATGACTTATAAACATAATTTGCTTCTATTTTCAACACTTCCTCCATACTCATCAGTTCTCTAATTTGAACTATCTCTAAGAAATTAATCAATAATGTATCCATGAGCCCCATGTAATTCAACACCATCAAAACCAGCTTCTTTACAATTTTCAGCTGTTTATCTAAATTATTAAATCACTTCTTAAATTTCTTCTATTGTCATTTCATGAGGTATCTCATGTTCAGTTAAGCCTCCTCTATGAATTCCTCTAATTTTGATAGGTGAAGGACCCCATATTTCTAATCCATCTTATAAAGTAGATAAACTTGCTCTTCCAGCATGCCATATTTAAGCAAAGATTCTACCCCCTTTTGAATGTATATCATCGACAATCTTCTTCCAACCTTGAATCTATTCTTTTGTGTACATTCCTGGTTCTCCTGGAAAGGCTAAAGATCTTTAAGAAATTGGAACACATTCTGTCAATATGAATCCAGCCTCTGCTCTAAGTCCATAATATTCAATCATCATATCATTAGGAACAAGGTCTTTTGTTTCACATCTTTATCTTGTTAAAGCAGCCATACAAATACGATTTGGAAGTTCAATATCACCCATCTTTAAAGGCTTAAATAGTATACTTTAATCCATTTTTATTTAAATAAATATATCTTCAATATTAAATTTTTTTAAGTTAGATGATGTAGATGTAATAGTTAATTAAGATTAATTTTGTTATTAAATAGATGAGATAGGAATTTATTATATTATTTTGAACATCATAAATAATATGAGCATTTTAATTCATTATATAAAATATTTAACTGTAAATGAAGTAATATTTCCAAATATTATTGTTTTAGTTAAACTCCATCTATGCGATAATTGTAATAATATGGATAATATGGTTAACCGTAATAATTGTAATAATATGGCTCTCCTAGGGCTATGATACCGTAAGAATATAAAATAATCTAATTAGTTCATTCTAATAGACAGCACAAAATTAAGAAACTCAATAATTCCAATAAATTTAATAGTAAGAAATTATAATAATTGAAAGATAATAAAATAGATAAGGAAATAGAGCAGATGTTCATCATTTTGAGAGACCACTTTAAGTAGTACCATAGGAGGATATTGAATAAAAGTGGAAGGAGAAATGCTGTATTATTCTCTATAAATATGAATGATAGTAAGACTAGAAATGCATGTATATGAGTTGCAAGTAGAAATCTAAAAGTTGAGATTATAAAGTAATAGTGGTCAGATTACATATATATAAGATGATAAGAGAGTACTTTAGATTTTTAAATAGTTAGATAAATGAATTGATGTAAGCAAATAAGGAGATAAGGAATTAAGAACAATAGTTGAGAATTTAAAACAAATAATTGTCTGAAGACTTGGAATCTTGGAAATCTAGATATAAGTTGCTCTAAGAATCTAATTCTAAGAGTTCAGGTTTGGATGAAGAAATAAGATAATTGAAGAAGAAGATTAATGAATTAAGTGAAGATTTATCAGGATGTCATGAATAAATTTAATAGAGAGATAGTGAGATTTTAAACTTGAAGTAGTTATTGCATGATAAAGATAATGAATTAGATTAATTAGATGCTCATATAAGGGAATTAGAAATGATGTGTGAGAATTATTCTTAATCTGAAACATAAATAATAAGTCTTTAGGGAGAAGTGGAATTGTGGAAGAAAAAGTTTAAATAGGTGAATGAATAGAATTCAGATTTAGCAGAGAAGTTGACAATGGCTGAAACTTAGTTGGAAGCCATAAAAAAAAGATAAGTGACAGTAACAAAAGAGACTGAGGTAAGAAAGAGTGGTACTCATGGAGGTGGAACAACTACATCATATGAATAAAATGTAATAAAAGGTGCATAATTATTACATCCAAGAGGTTCATAATATTTAAAATGAATATTTTTGAAAAACAAATTAAATAAAATCTTTTTTTTATTTTTTTATCATGGGTGTTGGTAAACCTAGAGGAATGAGAGCTGGAAGAAAGCTCAAAGATCATAGAAGAGTTAATAGATGGGCTGATAAGGAATATAATAAGGCAATGATTGGTTCAAGATATAAAAATCCATTTATGGGTGCATCTCATGCTAAAGGATTGGTTGTTGAAAAAATAGGAGTGTAATTATCATATTTTAATATAGTGAATCTAAATAACCAAATTCTGCTGTTAGAAAATGTGTTAGAGTGTTGCTCAAGAAAAATGGTAAAAAAATATCAGCCTTTGTTCCTAAAGATGGTTGTTTGAACTTTTTGAATGAAAATGATGAAGTTACTGTAGCAGGATTCGGAAGAAAGGGTCATGCAGTAGGTGATATTCCAGGAGTCAGATTCAAGATTATTGCTGTTAAAGGAAAATCATTACTTGCTTTATGGTTAGGCAAGGTTGAAAAATGATAGTACAGATATATTAAATATATTAATTGAAGATCTCAAAAAACTCATAATTACTTTTTTATTAATATTCTTTCTCCTTCCTCCTCAAATTCCTTTTTTAATATCCACATACTTCTAAATGAAGCTAAATGAGATAATATAGAGCCTCCTTACCAACTTTGAGTTACTCTTTCAGGTGGAGCCCAAATTTTGACCTCTAATATTGAAGAAATATACTTTGACATCTTTTGAAACTAATCTTTTAACTTCTCCAATTAATCTCTCTGGAAAACCTTACATCAATGAAGTACCTCCTGTCAAAACAATCTCGCTATATAAAGGTTTACGTAAATCTAAATCAACTTTCTAAATAGAATATGCAAGAATTTCAGGAATAGCTATAATTAAGTAGTTTATTACAATTTAATTCTAAACCATATTTTTCAGGACACATCAAAATTTCTGGAGCTCTTTATTTCTCAAAACTCATTTCTATCATACTATTATCTGGTAACATATATTAATCTTTTATCTTTCTCTCCTCTTAAAACTTATCTTCTCCAATCATAGCCGGACTTAAAAAACAACGTTTTTCTTTTATCTTCTTGATAATTTCGAATTCTGCCTAACAATATCAATTTCTAATATACTGATGTTGTAAATATATATCCAGTTCTTCTCAATAAATTATTCAAATTCTCAGTTATATCTCTCCCTGCTAAATCCACTCTTTATGCACAATGCTATATGTAAAATCCATCATATATTGGAATACTCTAAGATATGGTATCTCCTATATCCAAAACTACTCCTGTTGTTTTTCCACTTGCAAATAAACTAATAACTCCAGATACTGCAAAAAATAAAGCAGGACAATTGTAAGTTTCAAAGAATTGTTTAGCAATTTCTACCTTCTAAGTTTGACTTGCATAAGGTGGTTCAGTCAATAATATTGGATACTATTTAAAATCAATTCTCAAATACTTCTTTTGGATTACCATGCAATTCTTAGAATGTGTATTTCCATAATTAATCCATATCATTCATATCTTTTATGACTCCTTTTTGATATGGATATTTTATTTTCATCATTCCTCTACTATAATCTGTTATTTAATTTCCTACATATATTTCTTAACTATTAGTTGCAATAGGTAATGCCTTATATTTTGGCCTCCCAATACTTAATTATTCTCTATTTTTTTTACTATGAATTGAATATCACTTTTGGTTTATCATCTCCTGCTAAACCTGCTTTTATCTAACTTGAACCCTTTCCATTTATTATATTCAAATACCATGTCTATGACCATTGAGTTATTTGTAAATATATCACTATCCATTATATAATTAAAATTTAATACCAAAATTCAAAGGTTTTATTATTTTTTATCATATTTCTTAATATTGAAATTCAATTATGCAACTTTAAGCAGATCTATCCACTTAATAGCAAGAAATTTCAAATTATCAAAAATAAGTTGGTTCATAAACATTTAACATAATTTTTTATAAATTTAAAACTATTTACCTGTCTAATTGAATAGAAAATTGCAGAATAATATAATTTAGTTTTTATCTACAAAGAGCTATAATTTCAATAAATATTATCTAATATTAGAGATAATTAATTGAATGTATAAATTTTAAATTTTAATGAAAATCAAAAAATTTACAAAATTTAAAGAGTTTTATAAGTGAAAAAATTTTAGATAACATATTATAATGATAAAATAGATATAATAGATTGAAAAATAAATAGCCATGTTGAATTTATATTTATTTAAAAATTTGGTTATAATTGGCTTGAATATTATATTTTCCTATCAAAGCTTAGTTATAAGAGATAAAACTTAATTCTAAAAAAGAAAAGTATATTTAAAAAATCTAAGAAATTAAAATCGATAATATTATTTTGACAGCAGTTCTAAATTTAAAAAGTATAATGCTTCTATTTATGGGATAATTTAATATTATCTTTTGGAATAAATTATCAAATAAACTTAAAATATTAAATTTAGGAGAAATGAAATCAAGTTTTGAAATTATGGTATCACAAAAAACATTGTTGATTGAATTTTCCCAATCATCTATCTAATAATATTGATATTTTTAAATAGGAAATCTAGTTAAAGCTATCATCTTTATTTAAGCAAATAATTCTTATTTAAAATTTCTTGCCTCTATTTTTATAAAAAATACTTTATTGTGTTAATTCAATCTTTATAATTGACATAAGTAATTTAGGATTAATAAATTTTCAAATTAATTTCAAATTATTATTATAATCTGCTTAATGTTTTATTATTTATTCAATGCAATACTTTTATTATACCTGTATTTTTATTATTTATGATTTTAATTCATTTAACAATTTATATTTTAATTTTTTAAAATATGAGACAATTAAGTTTATTGATAAATTTAAACATTATCAAATTACTGAAAGGTGAACTTTAAGTTATATTTAATATTCTTTTCAGGTTTAAGTTTAAAGAAAGGCTGGCTAGTTCTAAACAAATAATATTTAGATTTTATTAATTTCTAACAAAAATTATTTTTTAAATATTAATATTGGTTGGACTAATTTATTGAGCATCATTTAATCAATACTTATTATATACCTTAAGAAAATAATGGTATCTAAAATATTATGAAATAAAAATTTAAAAAGATCTATAAATATTTTTACATTATCTTTTTATTTGTATTGTGTTTGATATATCTCGAGTAATGTGATAAATTTGTTTAAGTTGTGAAATTTAAAAGGTTATATATTAATAAATTAAAATATTTATTTGAAGATGATAATTCGATCACCTACTATGAAATAATCGATCAATAAATAAAATTAGAGCTAAGATCCCTTACTCATCTTAACACCTCCAAGTAGCCTTCGTGAAATTAGTTGTTCATTTAGAGGTAATTTGAATCGATATGTTACAATATAAAGTAAGAGAAATAGATAAGAATAATCTGAGGATCAATAACAATCAAAATTATTTAGATCACAATTGCAAAGATTATATTAAGAATCATTTATAAAATAGATGTTGGATAAAGCTAAGCCAGCAAGCAGGTTGAATAATTATCAAAAGTAAGTTCTTGATGATTTGTAATTTGGTTAAGACACATAAATAGATGATATAGATAATAGTTGTTATAAATTTATGTTCAATTATTTCAATAATTATCCTATCATATAACCGTAAAGCAGTTTAAAAATCAGTTCAGATATAATTTTCATTATAAACACATTGATGATATTCATATGGTTGCCATTTAAATACTCTTTTGAATTTGATTCGATTCTGAAAATATTGAATTACAATTAGTACATAATTGAATACGTTCTGATTGCGATATTGATATTTGAAATATTCATTTAGTTTAATTAGGCTTATATATTTAAGGGGAAGGTGATTAAGTAATAAATTGTTATTGTATTAGTTAGCGATATCATATAATAAACAACTATTTGAGATAGGATATGATGAAGGATGTAATTAGCTTGATTTCTTTAATAGTTTTATTGCTTTAAACTTTCAAGGTTGCAGAATTGAATATAGTTTTATTATTTGTATTTGGTGTTTTATAAGGGGCAAAATTGTTGAGAGTGGTAGACAAAACTTAGGAGTATTTTAATTTTTAGTAAAATAATATGGTTCCATTGATGATAAATTTGGCAGGAGTATTGTATATAATTCATCTTGTATCTTGTATTTGGTATACATTGATAAAGGATTAAAATAATTAGTAATAATTTGAGAATGTGATTGAGTAATACATTGAATGTTTTCATTGGGCATCAATGTATTTGACAGGTTCAGGAATTTGGAATATAGATTCAAGGAATAATGAATAGTTAATATTTTCATCATTGATATCAATAGTTTCAATATTGATAAATGGTTTTGTGACAATAAAGATAGGATTTTTTTTGTATAATTAATCTTAGAGGATAAAAAATAATAAGTACATAAATATGATGTCTAATTATATGAATTTAAATAAGATAAATTTGAATTTGTAACATAGAATTCGAAGTTATTTATAATATATATACAAATAAGAGCAGTAAATGAATGAGGAAGATATAACATAGATAATGAGTAAGTTATCACTTTAGTTAAGGAGTGAGTTGAGACATTAATTATAGGCGAATATATTGGAATAATGTAGAATGATATCTTCGAATTTTTCATATAAATTGAGGAAATAATTAGTGTATTATATGGAGGAGGTGAAGACAATACCAGAATAAAGGATTTTAACATTGGATGAGTAGGATGATAGTTCAATATATTTTATAAATAAAGGTGAGGTGGATGTAATATTTGAATAAACTAATAATATGCGTGAGAAACATGGACGTAATTAGATAAAGACTTTGGGAAAAGGAGAGTATTTTGGATTTTTGGGATTTATAACAGGGAGAAGGAGGACAGCAACAATAATAAGTAAAGGATTTTGTTAATTGTACAAAATATAGAGAGGGCATTTTGTGAATTTGGTTGAGTAATTTCCTGATGATAAGGAGAGATTTTATATGATAAAAGATAAGGTAGAATTTGAATAAGATTTATCAATGTTGGATGTAAGATGTTATAGTTGTAAATCTGAGAGTCATTTAGTAAATAGATGTCCATTTTTACATTATTAGCCAGATAAGGATAGAGTGATAAAACAATAGTTGTATCCAATAAATTAGGAGAGAGAGGAGACGTAATAAATAATGAAAATATATATATTAGATAACGTAAATCTAAATATATAAATGCTTTGTTATAATAAGGAGTAATAGAGGATTTGGCTAAAGAGATAATGAAAGATATGGAATAGGTAGAGGGAAGTGAGAATATGACAGATGGGGAATCTGAAGAGATTTAGACTAAGACAATAAAAAGTATTATGTTGAAATATATTAAATAGGTACATCAAATTTGTAAACTAAGAGTTTAAGTAAATCTTTTAGTTAAAATAGTAATTAATTAAGTAAGTTTAGTCATAGACCATCATAAACATTAACTGTTGCATTAAGTTAAAACTATTAATCATCAAAATCTTAAGAAGAAATAGGAAGATTTGAATAAGAACTGTTAAAGAAGATGTCATCAGTACATAGAAGATCATAATAAAAAGAGACAGCAGGATTTGGAGCAAGATTCGAATCACAGATGCATAATCCAATTTAAGAACATGATGAAGAGATACCTAATTTTGATTTAGTAGAGGAAGATAATAATAATAATAATTAATAATAAGTGTAGTAGTAATAATAATAGGAAATCTAAAGACCTATTTAATTATATTCTTCAGATAGAAGTCCCAGGATATATAGAAGGATTTCATAAAGAGTAACATTTGATTAGAATTTATTCGGAATGAAGAATAGAAGATCGAGTTTAGTTTATGAGAACATTATTTAACAACTATATGAGGATGAGCATTAACAAATAGAATTTGTAAAATTGCATTCATATTAAAACTGTAGCCCATGATTACTTAGCCATCAGTTGGAGAGTTTGATAAAATCTGTGAGTTTAGAGAGTATTATCCAGAGTATAACATTTCAAGAGTGATGAAAGTGTTGTAGAGAGTCAATTCGACATATCATAAATAGAATATAAATTCATTGTATTCATTTTTATATGTTGCAATTCAAAAAGGACAAGCTATGAAAGAAAGGTTAACACATCTTTAGAGTAGAACTAATATTAGACCTAATTCTAATAAAAGGATATTTAAGTATTTTATATTGAATATTTGAATTAGAAAAGGTAAAGTTAAGACACTATTATTTTGAAATTAATAATCATGTTTTTATTTGTATTTATAGTATATGTTACTGATATCAAATTAATTTAAATATGTTAAAAAGAGATAAGAAACAAAAGGTTGATAAGATAGTTTAAACAAATATGGAAGAAGATCCTAGAGAATTCTATTTGATTGATACTCAAGAAGAAGTTACAGGACATATTTTAGAGAGATTAAGATAATAACCAATTATTTAAATGAAGAAAGTACCATTTGATAGAGAACATGGTAATACTATAGATAGTGTACCAATCAATATAAAGTCTCATGTTAAATCTGATAATGAATTGTACTTTGAATTGCAATTTTAAAATCCAAGTTTGTAAACTTCTTATTATCCTTTTTATTTTTTAAGAGAGAGGTTTCCAAAACTATTAATTGAATATTATAAGAATAATAGTGTTTTAATTTTGAAATGAAACTTAAATAAATAATCATAATGATTTTGTATTAACTAATTTACCTTAATCATAAACATTTATACAATATGGTTTATCTTTCAATAATTTAAATACCATATGTTCTCCTTATTGTTTCCCTTAAACGAATTCTCCAATCTCTCTTATTCCATTTTCAACATCAGTATATATTCCTTGTCCATGTCTCTATCCATCCTTATATGTTCCTTCAAAAATATTATCATTTATATATTTATAAACTCCATTTCCTTCTTTCTTATCATTTACATATTCTCCAGTATAACTACATCAATATATGTATTATATATTACATGTCTCCATTAGGGAATTTCACTATAGCACTTCCATGTCTTAAACCAGACTTAAATTATCCTACATATAACTCTCCATTTTTATATTAATATGAACCAATACCTTCTTTTCTATCTTACACATAATCTCCTTCATATTCATCTCCATTGGCATATTTATATAAACCTTTACCATGAAATTATCCCATCTTCCATTACCCTTAATATTCATCTCCAGTAGTGTATCTCATTATTCCAAACCCTTCTCTAATGTCACTTCTCAAATCTCCTTAATAATATTCTCCCTTAAATAAAGCATGAATCCCTTTTCCTTCTATCTTTCCATTCACCCATTTCCCCTATTTAATCCAATAACGCTTTTTCTAATCAACCATCAATTACTAACCCCAAACAAAATTATCTTCTCTAAATATCCCATACTAATAAGTCTATGCTATCTTATTAAATAATAATCCTAATATTGTTTCTAATAATATTATTATTTACCTCTACCAAACTTCTTCTCTCCCTTTACTTCGCCTATATAAAAATCTTCATTTGGATATACTATTTTCATAACCTCTGGACTTCTAGTTAATAAGAACTCTGGTTAAATCCATTCATACTTCATCTCATGACATTATACAAACTTCTTCAATTACTCATTATATATATTCTTGTCCAATAGTATATTCATATCTAACATCATCAACTTCTCATGTAAATCATTACTTATCTTCAATAAATCTTATATTCCCATTTTCTATCCTATAAAATTTGCTATGTCCTCTATGCTATCTAATATCCTCTCATCATGAAATGTTGATAACAATTCGCATTATTCATTTGTAAATTGATTTATGTTCCCTTATTACAAAGTTACAAAACTATCAGCCAACTCTTCCATCATCGAATACAATTACTATATATCACTTATATAATATTAGACTAATCTCTCCACTGACTCATTAATACTCTATACCACTGACTTAAACTAATCTGCCTTCTATTATAACATTATTGTCAATTGCAATTTATCAAATTTTACTATAGAATCTTTACACATTTATTAGACTTATGCTATTGTCTTTACATCCTTTACATGTTCACAATGATAATCATGATAACAAAAACAACACATTAATCTTTTATCACAATGAGGATTTAAACAAATTGCTATCAATCTATCAGATCCCTCATCATGTTGTCTATCACATCTTTTATCACTTTTAATATATGATTAAGATTATTGCATTAAAATTAAAATAATTTATTTTCAATTTATTTATTCCTCATTACTCAAGTGGAACATCATATTCAAAATCTTTTGTTGTCAATCCTTTACATTAGTATTATCCTTCTCTAATAAAATGTCCTCTAAAATATCTATAATCCTTATATTTCTTCTTTGTCTCACTCACTTTCTTAGGTACCTTTATCTATTTCACCAAATCTTCCTCCTCTAATTAATAAACATATGGATTCTATTATTCCTTCTATTTCTTCTTCTTCTTCTCTTCCTCATTCTCTGTTCTCTAAAAATTCCTTTTTTTCTTAGGTTTTAAAAGTACTGAAAATTATTCATTCTCATTATTATTTGATTCATTAAATAACTATAACTTTTTTGAATAATCATTCTCCAATAATGTTAATTTATAAATAGGACATTACTTATTTTAATCTATACTTTTATACAACATTGGATGAAATGTTAATTAATTTACATTATTTGTGAAAAATCTATTTATTCTTCTAAACTCTTCCATTAATTATAAATAAAAATAAATCTTTTTAAATTGATGTCTAGTTGTTATCCTAGAAAACTTGCTATATCTCTCTTCTCTAGATTCCTAAAAACAACTAGCATAACATTTTAATAACTCCTACAATTTTGCTGCACTCTCCCTAAAATCCATCACAAAAAAATCATCTTTATATTCTTCAATATCATGATCCAAAATTCTTAACATTGATAATACTGTTATTGGTTAAATCATCGTATGTTTTTAATAAAAATCAGATCTTCTTAATGACTTTACAACTGAAAATATATAACAATCCTTAAATCCTAACAATCCTGGCTTAAGCCATGTTTTCACATAATCAGCATACCTAGTTGAATACAATTAAATCCCTGTTAATCTCTTAAATTCATGCTTTGCGTATTCCATATTTCCTCTTGTTTTTATTGCTGTTTCAAACAATGTTGCAAGCTAATCCTTAGACATATTCTCATTGTAATCTACAAATGATTCCCATCTATATATAATTATCAATTTTTACGCTCTCTTCAATCTATATGCCTTCTCAATCTTTATTCCAACCTAAGCTTCCAAATGTCTTGCAACTTATCCCCAATTCTTACAATTCGGCCCTCCATGAACATCAACTATTTATACTAATTCTTTCGAAATGCTTAAGTATTTTCCTTTACTCTTTTATCTATCCTTTTATCTCATCACAATAACTTATTTTATTCATTTTTCCCCCCCTTTCTATTTCGCATCTTAATTTTTGTCAAAATATTATAAACATAATTACAAACTTAAACCTTACAATTTTCCAATAACTACACCATAATTCAATTATTCAATACTTTCATTTATACAAAAATTCTTATTATTAAATTCTCAATCAAACTTAAAGAGTATATATAGTTATTATATTATTTGCTTTTTTAAAATAAAATAAGATTTAATTAACTTTAGTATTCATATTATAAATAATTAAATACTAAAATATTTGCATATCATACTTTAAAACATTTTTTCTCTCTATTGTTAATTAATATGAAATTATTTAAAAATTTAATTATAATGCATATCTTTTAATCATTTACTAACCTACTAGCCTTTCTGTCAATTAATTCAACTTTTTGATCAAAATAAAGTCTACTAATTCCAATATCTTCTAAATAAAGTCATACTATTAGAATTTAATATCAATCAAAAATTACATCAACACTGATAATCCTATTTAAGATTACAAGATTGAATGTAGTAATTTAATAGGATAATAAATTATTCCACTCTAATTCTGTCTAATTAATATCTTCAAAAGACAAATCAAAACTATATAAACTATAAATTATATTTTACAAACCAATTCTAATTTCAAGAACAAAAAATACATAATATAATCATAAATGCTCTGAGTACATTATGGATATTAATTACAATCTGAATTAAAGAAAATTCCAAAATCTTTGTTGTTAATACATTTATGTAATATGAAAAGTTATATTTATTGTACTCTCTATTAACAAAGTAGCAAAAATTGAAATACCTAATTTCAATCAACAACCTCTGTATATAATCGTCTAATCTTGGAAGAAATTATGATTGGAGAAGAAAAGTTATTGTTAATTTAATATTAATATATTTTCTACTTATACTTAACATTATCTTAATTTCTATAAATAAAAAGTGGAAAGACAAGTTGTATGTGAAGATGATAATTAGAAAATTCAAATGGCAACTTTATGTGAAAGAAACCAAGAAAATTTAAGAAAAATAATTTTTAGATTGATAGGTAAAAGTTTATGTGTTAATATATAGAAGAAAAGTATGTACTCATCATTATTAGTTTAAATAATTTTATGAAAAAAATGAGTTTTTGAGAAATTAATTGACTAATTGCATTTTATAGATAAATTAACATTGTATTATTCTAATAATTAATAGAAGTTTCTTTATAAATTTTGAAGTTCTATAATTTAAAATTATTTTTAATTTGATTGTTTTTGATTGATAATAAAAATTTATGAGCAAATATAAATTAATTAAAATATCAGCATGTTTATCTTTCAATGAATGCCTTATTTATGACATTCCACATTTTGGCATGCAAGAAACAAAAAGTAGTTCCTCCTCTTTTATTTTATGTTGTCATTCTATTTAAATCAGACATACAAACATATGGCATAGCACTTTGAATTGATATTCCAAATTTAGAATGATCTTTTGTATATTTAAATTTATAACCCTAAAATAGAATTTATTTTTACATTATGATTTCTATAAATATTGCTATAAGTTTGATAAGTATTTGAACAGGCAGGTTCTTACAATCCTCCAGTTCCATTTCCCCATGTTTCCATAACTAAACCAACCTTTAATTTTGGAGCAACAATTGTTGCATAAAAATCATCCACTAAATTTTAGTTTTTTGAAATAACATTTATAGTCAATCCACCTTTGCTTTTTACTTATGCAGATCCACTTTAAGCAGGAATTTACCTTGTATTACTCTTTAAAGCATAAATATTTGGATAAGTAGATTCAAAAGTACTAATAGCATTAGCCTTTTGAGTTAAGGTTTAAGCAATTATATATTATTCAGCTACGATATTAATTTAAGAAGTTGTCATAGTTACACAAAAATAATGTTATCCATTTACACTAGAACTACTTGGCATTCCAGGTATTATTGTACTGAATATATTTTAACAAATAATACCTTTATGAATCATCAAATACAGGAAATTATGGAGTGGAATGATTTATTATAAATCCTTATGCATTTGATGCTGATAAAATGCCTTTAGAGTGAGCTCTGTCAGAAATCGTTGATTTTCCAAAAGGTTAATCATTCCATACAACATTCATAGTTGTACCTGATGTAAAGGAGATTTAAGCTACAGTTCTTTATAGAGGAGATGTATAGTCTCTTAAATCATCATTCATAAAGTTCATGGAGGTGCAATCATTCTGTGAGTCACAATAATAATATTCAAATCCACTATATGGTATGCTTGTATCAGCAGGCAGTTTGAATATTAGCCACCAATCAACTTATGTTCCTGATGAACTTAAACAGCTTTAGCTGAATACTTAAACGATGAGAACAAACAAAATCATTTTCATTTTTTACAATTATCTATTGACTATCTTTATTTTTTTATTATGATATCACTATCTAAGTCATCTGACGCACTTTTTTATTAAATACTATACTGTATAAATCTTAATATTATTGTATAATAATATTCAATAAAAATTAAATAAATAGCATTTATAATTAATTAAATCATTCAGATTTCAAATTATTTTAGAATTTAAAGTTCATTATCCCTTTATATGAAAATTATTTTTCTTCCCTAATCTTTTGATTCTGTTGCTTCAAACTTATCATCTTTTCAATATCTAATTTGATATTATAACACTTAATTTTTATCATCTATTTTAGTACTATAATTTTACTATAATTTATTGAAAACTAGCACTAAATAGCTTTATCTTAGTTTTTAAAAATGTTCCAAAAAGAATCACAAAGAAATTTAATTGTATATAGAATTTATCCTTAAATTATAACATATGTATAGATGATATTTAAAAATAAGGATAGTGATATATAATTATACAATTTATATACTCTATCTAGTATTTAGTCTATTGATTTGTTGATAAATAATCAATTTTCTTAAATAATTTTAGTAATCTCAAATAATGATAATATAATTTGAAGAGTCATATTAAGTATTTTAAATAGTGAAAATATTTGTGCTCATTATGAAGTAAACATAATGTAGTAGATCCTTTGTGAAAAAGAATTAATATACAAAACTATTTTAATAAATAATTAATGCATAATCTAATTTTCGAAATGATGTCATATAGATGTCATAGAAAGATATTAAGAGAGTGAAAGTATTTTATATTTATAAAATTGATTTGATGAATTTGAGGAGTGTTTAAATTACTAGAGATTATTTTAGAGTGAGAATGAGAATGGTGATTATTTTAAGTAAATTTAATATAAATTTTATTGATTATATTTATAAAAATTTGTCAGTTAATCGAAGAATAATGTAAAGAAAAATAGAATGCTATAATAAAGGACTTTTTACGTCAATGTCATAATTTGAACTAAAACAAAGATCTAATGGTAAGACTAGTTTAGGAACTGGATCTTTTGGAACAGTTAATTTAGTTTAGCATGTAAAATCACAATCACTTTATGCTATAAAATCAATATAACAATGCAATATCTAAACTCCATATGAGTAAGAAGGAGTGGAGAGAGAGATTAAAGTCCATTTAAAGTGCCATCATACAAATATAGTAAATTTGTATGATAGTTTTATTGAACATGGAAATGTATATATGGTATTAGAGTATGCTGAAAATGGAAACTTATACAATTATGTGCAAAGGAAAAAAAGATTAGATGAAAAAGAAGCCTGTAAATATTTTATATAAACTTGCAAAGCATTGCAATATCTGCATGAAATAAATGTATTTCATAGAGATATCAAAGTAATAAATGATATAATGATTTAGCCTGAAAATTTATTGTTAGATGGTAATAATGATATTAAATTATGTGATTTTGGATGGTGTGCAGAAAACATTCATTTAAAAAGAAAGACCTTTTGTGGAACTTATGAATACATGGCTCCAGAGATTGTTTCTGATTTACCATATGATTATAAGATTGATATATGGTCAGTTGGAGTATTATTATATGAATTATTACATGGATATGCACCATTCAAAGGCAAGGAATATAAAGAAATTGCAACAAATATCAAAAGTGGTTTAATACGTTATTCTAGTTCTATCAATTCAGATGCCTAAGAACTCATTAAGAATATATTATAGAAAGATCCATCTTAGAGATTATCCTTCAAAGATATTTATTAATCTCCATTTGTTTAGAGATGCTATCCATAATAAGGATGTAATTAAATTATAAAATTATCATTATAGAATTAAAGATATCTTTATCGCCTAGATCTAGTTTTTCAGTTGATTAAAATTCAATCTAAAAATATCAATCTCCTCTAATTAGTCATAAGTAATAACCTATTGGGAGATTAAATTAAACAAATGGAATTAATTTAAACAATTCTTCATCTTTGAGTATTAAATCTCCTAATATATCTAAAACAAGAGTTGATTCTAAAAAATAATCTAATATTTTTGATGATATAAAAAAGAAAATCATTTATGAATAAACAAGCCCTTTGAGAGATGCTACTAATATGCATAAAAGAAATTAAGCTAGTTTAACTAATTTAATCAAAAATTCTAATACAAAAATTACATAAATAAAAAGTCCTTAGCCTAAAAAAATCTAATTGAGTAAATACTGTTCAAAATCAAGAAATTTTGATGAAAATGGAACTGTCAAACTATTAGATTAGTTTAAATCCATGCCATCTTTTACTATTGAAGATCAATAACATACATTTGAAGAAGAAACCAGATTAAACTTAAAAACTGATAGAGTTATAAAAGGGTATTTAAATAATCTAATTTTAGATTCAAAAAAGAATCACATTAATCTTAAGATCTAGATAAAATATTAAAAATGTACCTTAGTATGTGCAGTAGTAGACAATGAATTCTTATTTTTATAACTTAGTACTTTATTCAATTTTTTTGATTTCTTTTATGTCCTATCATTTGTTTGAGAATTTATTGATATAAATATGAAATTAATATTAATAAATCAGTTATTTTTAAAAAATAAGCATCATTTTAAAATTCGCATATGTATTTTTTGCGAGTGATTTACATTCTAAAAGTATTCACTAAAACTTTCAATTTTATTCTTACTATCTTTAATTACAGAAATTTATTGGTGAAATTTTAAAGTTATCATTTGAATTAGTTAAATAAATAAAAATAAATCATAAAAAGATTTAAATGATCTAAGTTTATAAGTATTTAGCTCTTAAATATAAGTTTCCTAAATTTAATTAAATATTAATCCTAAACTTATTTTAGAAATTAATAAAATTTGTCCATATGTAATTTAATTATATAAACTTGAATTTTCAGCAATGTCAGCAGCCGATAAGAAAATAAATTGTTTAGAGATAAAGCTTAAGTCTGCATTTTTTAACATTAATATTTGATCAATAAAATCTAATAAATAATATTCATTTAATCTATAGATAGTATTATACATTTAATCTTATGGCATTACAATTACATTTTAATAAAATATAATAAAACTCATGAATAATCTGGATGGAGTAGATAAAGTTAAAACTAGATCTATGAATGTATGCGAAAGGATCCTCGATTTGAAGGTAAAAAGAGTTTACTGTCATATATCAAAAGAAAAGAAAACATAATTGATTCAAACTGTACTGAAATAAAAATGCAAAATTAAGAAAGTGAGTTTTATTAAAAAAATTTAGATAGCTAAGGACTTGAATATCAACTATGCCACAGCAAAAACGATACTTCATTGTTATAAGAAAAAATAAATAAATTTGGATGTAGAACCTGAGGTGAAAAGGGCCTGTTATAAATAAATAAAGAAAGACTCTAAATTATATGTTTAAATTAAACTAGGAGAGAAAATAATCAATCAATATGAGTATTTTGATGCTCTCAACAGAAATTCATGATTTTTATTTAATTCCTCTTAATTATGTATTTCTCTATATATTTATACAAAAACGAAAGTTCGTTGAAAATCAGATATCTAAATTCTATGGTCTTGACAATATTAGAAAAAATCCATACAAAAGATGACAAATATCTTGAAGTTTTTAAAACTAAAATAAGAAATTAACAAAGCTTAGGATATATTGACTTTTTTATATATTTAAAGAGCTCAAATATTTGAATCATTCTCATTTTTACATAAACAATCTTATAGAATCTTTCATCCATGTTTTTCTTATCATATTCGTGATTCATTTTGTATATTAATATAAAAACATGAGAGCTCAGAATAAAATTAATTTTAGAGTTAGGACTGAAGAATATTTTTGGAAAATCTTTAAGCAAAAAAATTAATGTATAAATATAAATTATATCAAAGTTGGATGTTTTATAAGTACATACTTAAGAGTTATTACAAAATGACTTGCAAATCAAAATTATTTTTCTATTTGAATTGTAATTATTTATGAAGGATAATTAAAATGAATCTGAATAAATAAAGGCTAAAGTAGTTGATATCAACAATCATGTTATTGGTAATTAAATATGAATAATGATTATATAGACTTAATTTCTATAGATCGCAAACTACTATCTAAAGTAATTCATCAAGCAACTTTTTTATTTGTAATTGAAAAATAGTCATAAAGAGTTTTTTGTCATAAACGATCCCAATAGAAATAATATTAACCAGGAGCATTTAGCACTTGTTTTACTGGAATTGTGCTAGAATCTGAGGATTATCGATAATGTGCTAAAAGAAAATTAATTTAAGAAACAGGATTGGACCTAGAATTATCATATCTCAATTCTTTCTATTATGAAAGTAAGACAAATAAAATATGGGGATAAATTTTCTATACATTATATGATGGATAAATTATCAACTTTATTTAAGACCCAAAAGAAGTTGAAGAAATTGAATTAATGTCTTATAGAGAGATTGTGATTAGAGAATAGAATGGAGAGGTATTCACTCCTGAAAGTATCCAAGCACTTCATTTTTTAAATAAGAGAGTTCTTCGTCAATGAAATTCAACAAAACAAATCTATGATTGATTTGTTTATTTGCATAGTCTATTTATAGCACAATATATTTATTATATAGATTTACTTTTAGGTTGTTCCATATGTTTGAATAACATAGAAAGTCTAAAATTATGATTTTAAATATATGATGATGAATTATTAAGTGTAATCATACATTTATTTAAATTTATTTTTGCTGATTAAGTATAGTACAAATAATTAATATCACTTATTTAATTATAAGATATCTAATTTATTATTAATTAGAGATTATAATTATGAAATGTTTTACTTCTCTTTATTTAATCTGTTTTTATTTAATTATTTTTTATATTATATTCATTTTTTTTATCTATGATTCATTGTTGTAGATGTAATAAAACTAGATCACCTATAGATTAAAACAAATGTAATAATATATTACAGGATCATTAAATTGAATAAAGGATATAACAATCTGATCTTTAATAAATGTATATTACTAAAATAAAGGAGAATGAATAACTGATTTTTAAAATGTATAAAGAATTGTAAGATGAAAATAGTGGACTAAAAAGTCTAATAAATTCGTATTGATTATTTGTGTTATGGTGTAGATTAGAAAAAGAGAAATTGGAACTACAAGAGAAATACAACAATTTATAGAACTAAAGTATCTAATTTATTACTTAAAATCAATCCAGATTAATACCAGAGGAGACTAATATGAATTTTAGTACAAAACAACAATCTTTTTAATTTAATGATCCGAGCAATATAAAATATTAATCGTTAAAAAAAATATTGGATGAATTAATTAAAGATGAGGATTGGGATGTTTAGAAAAAGAATTAATATTCAACTTCGATACAATTTTTGAATAGTATTCTTTAAGAGAAGCAAGAAGACTTAGAATTGGCATAAAATTAAATCATAAAGTAGAATAAGATTATCGAAGAATATGAATTAAAATATAATTAATTATTATGTAATAAATATGATTAATAAATAAGAGGATTATTAATAAATAGAATAGGAATATCACTTAAAGAAGAAATCATTTTAAGATAATGGAATATAATATGATAATCTTTACAATGGAGTAGTAATTTAAGAGACGATTAAGTTAAATACTTAGAAAATTGTAATAAATTGAGTTTATTAATATAAAATTTATTAATAATGATTACAGATAGTGAAATAAAGGAATTTCTTCCATAAAGTGTGAGAAAATAATACAAAACTGAACCAATTGATTAAAATGTAAGTGACCTGTCTTTTAGTTTTACACATAGTTTGAAAAGTAGTGTAAAACCAAAATTAAATGACTCAATTTAATTCGAAACTTAGATTGCTTAGAGAATTTAAACAAAACCACCTTTGACATCAAAAAGTGACAAAAGATTTTAAATACCAATAATTAGAGATAAAACATACTTTAATTCTTAAATGATAAGTGATTAAATGTCCACTCCAAGATCGAGATTGTAAGATTGTAAATTTTAACTCATTCATCTAAAGCTTTAAAATTAATAGAACCAAAAGATCAATAAATAAATAGTGATTGAGAAACTATCTAAGCAATTAAAAGAATCTTCAACATTCAATATTTCAAAATCAAAAGAATTGATTTAAATTGAGTTATTATTGTCTGCCTATAATTAATTACATTTGAGTCATTCAAAATTGAGATAGCAGAATAAAAATTTAGAATAAGAAATCAATTTTTGGAAACTAAAATATCAAGAATTAGAGAAAAAAACAAAATCAAATATTCATACCAAAAGCACCTCATTGTAAGTTTAATTGAATAAACCAATCAATTAAAATATATAGGAGAGATTAAAAACTTAAACATATTCATAAAATACTTTTAAGTTCTCCATAACAGACACTAATTGATTTATTTATTTAATTCATACTATATTTATATATAGATATTTTTAGATTTATCAAAATTTTCTTGATCCAAAATTACCAAAACTTGAATATTCTCCATAATTATTTCTCATTTATTACTGTGATCCAAATTGTTGCTAACTTTATTTGATATAATTATTAGGATTAGATGATTGATTCATAAATTATACTTATTGTGATATTTCAAGTCCACTTTTAATTGAACTTTATAAAATTTTCTATTCAGATCTTATTGATGCTTTACTATTATTTACTGATCCCATATTTTATTTCTATGTAGTTATTTCTGGAGGTGCCAATTTGTGAATATTTAAAAATTCTGGTAAATCATAATTTACTACTTTAAGAAATTCAGAGATAAATCCTCCTAATTAAGCACTATTATAATATATATTTTATACGATTTTTCTGAATCAAAATTAACTTTTGTTTAATAATGAACATAACGTTCTGTAAACTCTTATGCTTGAATAAAATATTATTCATTTTCTTCTAGAGTTTTTGATTTTAAAAATCTTATAAGTGGTTTCATACAATCCGAATTCTTTAAATTTTCAATTAATTCAAAATGAGAATTCCATCTATCATAAATGACTTGTTAAAAAAATTGAGCATCTCGTTTGTAATTTACAATATTTTTTTAATGTTTTCCTTATACTTCAATAAGCAATGAATTGAAATACTAATCAATTATTTTAATAATTCTTTCTCTTTTATCATTTAATTATCTTATACATGAATTATTCATTTCTTCAGCCATTTTAACTGAATTTTAGATATTAAAAAAACTATTTGCCAATTTATTTGCTTAAATATATTTTCATATTTTACCTTCATTATGCACTGTAAATTGTACTTTATTTAAAATATCTTTTAGACTCTCCAATTTTGGTTTAGAATTTTATCCCACATGTTCATTGACATGTTCAGGAATACATTCTGGACATAAGGGAAAACAACATTCTTCAAGTTAACAAAAGTTTATATAAGTATTACCTTAATGATGGTAACAATTAATCTAATTAACATTTTAATAAACAATACTTTTGGAATAGTATTGGTATTGAATTAATGACAATGATCAAGTATTTAAGGTATTTTAAATACAGTTGAGCTTCTTTTTGAGTCATCCATTGGATTTATTGGCTATTATTATTATTATTATGTTTTCTATCCTAAAGAAGTGGCAGAAAGTTGAAATGCTTATGACATGATTGTTATTAAATTTATTAAATAATAAATGTAGTTATATATTTCATAATCCTAAGAGCAGAGTTATTTCTTCTTTTCTGGTTTCTACTTCCTCATCCTTAAGCCATTTTGTTCGTTATCCATTTTACCATATACCGACTTTATATTATTTTTCATTTTGATAAAATATACCAATGCCACATTATTTACCATTAATCCATGTTCCTACATATTTTCTACCATCACCAAAATAAAAAACACCTCTGCCTTATTTTTTATCTTGTTCATAATTCTTAAATAATAAATGATAATAATAATACTCCTTTGTAACATTTCCCATCTGGCCATTTAAGTGTACCTTCTCCATGCATTTTGTTATCCTACCAATTACCAACATATTCTCTTCCATCTGGCCACTTATAAATACCATATCCAGAAATTTCATTATCAATGAAATTACCTAAGGTAAATAATTTAATTTTACCCTCATAACTTGCAGAATCAGTAAAGGTTAATAATCCTTTTCCATTTTTTTTACCATATTAATATTAGCCTTGATATTTAGCACCATCAGGCCATACTTCTATACCAAAACCATGTTAATTGTCATTAAGCCATTGTCCTTCATATCTGGCTCCATTAAAATGTACATAAGTTCCTATACCTGATGCAGCATCATCAATCCATTCACCATCATAGATATCTCCATCAGCATGAATTAATTTACCCTTCAATATTATGGTTATTTTACCTATCCATTTGATTTATCTTGTTTCCATTAACCTTCATAAATTGAACCATCTGGCCATATTTATCTTCCAAATCCATCTCTCATACCATTCAGCCATTATCCTTCATATTTAGTTCCATTTGGCATTTACAATATCTTAATTAAAATTGCAAAAGTACTGGAAGTAATTTACGCTCTTGTGTTTGAATAGTATCAATAACTTATTAGGGCATAGGAGTTTAAGTTGAATTCAAATTTTTACAAATATCTTAAATTGAAACTTTACTATCCATTGAATTTTTAAGTATGCCAGAATCTAAGTCATCTTAAATAATGTCATCAATTTAATCAGAAGTCTTATCTTTTTAGAGCTTATGATGTTTTATAGAAACTTAGATAGATCTTGTAGATATTTTTTAAGATCCTAATTCATCCTTTTAACAACATTATGTAGCACATTTACACTAACCCATTTAAATATTTATATTTCTATATTAATATCATAGCTCATCTATTTCTAGCATTAATAATTTTGTTCCCCTTTCTTCTGATTTATTTTTTCTTGGCTCTTTTTCTTTTCTTACTCAGACAATCCAAAATTGCTATTGATTATTCACATTAATGATTAATTTTAGTATCGTTTGTAATTGATGTAAAAATTTAAGTTTTTGGAATTTAATGCCTTTGAATGCGCAGAGCCTGTAGATAGACCTGAGGAGAATATAAGTTTGATGATAACATTAGTCTAGGGTAAGGAATTGTTATTCTTCCAATTTAAGAAAACACTCTTTACATATGAATAATAAATAAATAAATACATATTTATATAATATTTTTTATATGAACAACAATAATACTCTTTATATTTGAATAAATAATTAATAAGCTTTGTTTATGAATAATAATAAATATACTTTACACATATGAATAATAATAATAAATAAATAAATATACAGTAAATATGAAGAATAATCTTTTTGGAGGAATTCCATTTAATTTTGTATAGGTTGATCAAACTAGTTGGTACAGGTGCATATGGTTCAGTTGTACTTGGTTTTGATCAATAAAACAATAACTTAAAAGTTTAATTTAACTCATATTAGCATAGGTGGCTATAAAGAAACTAAATTAAATTGAGGATGTCATAGATGCAAAAAGAATTATTAGAGAAATCAAAATTCAAAGATCTATGAATCACCAAAATATTCTTAAAATATATGACATAATTTATGACAAATAACAAAAGCGATTTGGAGAAATTATCTATTTAATATCTATTTGTTTATCTATAATGAAATCTTCAATATCTACATAGTAAGTCCTTATTTTCCAGTTGATCTGAATAAAATTATTAAAAGCAGTCAAGAATTGACAGTCATGTAGGTTTAGCTCATAATGTATTAATTATGTAAAGGACTTTATTATTCACATTCCTCTGGTTCAATACATAGAGATATCAAACCTGGAAATATTTTAGCTAATGAAAAATGTGAAGTTTGTTATTGCGATTTTGGTTTTGCTAGAAAATATGATGAATTGTATGATTAATTTGAAGAAAATATGACAGAATATGTAGTTACTAGATACTATCGAGCTCCAGAAATTATGTTATCTAGTTAATAATATTCTAAGCCTGTAGATATTTGGTCATTAGGATGCACTTTTGCAGAACTTATGAGTCGTAAAACACTCTTTAATGCTCCTAATTATATACAAATGGTTAAAATGTTCTTTAATATTCTCGGAAAACCATCTGATCATGAACTCAATCAATTTGTTACTAATGAAGATACACATTCGTTTTTATAAACTTTACCATCAAAACCTAAATAACCTGCTTCAAATAATGTACCTTATCCAGATGCCAAAGCATAAGATTTACTAGATTAGATGCTTGAAATCAACCCTAAAAATAGAATTACTGCTTCAAAAGTATATAATGCCTTATATTAGTGTCTAGAACATCCTTTTTTTCATTCCATCAGAGATGAAGCTTAAGAAATAACATTTCAAGGCAATTTAGAATGTGATTTTGAAAATGATGATGCTATCACTTTAGATAACTTGAAATAATTAATTCTTATTGAAATAAATCACATCAATTTAATTAACAATCAACCTTTAATTGTTATTCAAGAAGAAATGAAAAGACTTGACCTTTATTGATTGCATTATTAATAATATCACAATATTAAATCACCTTACTTTATATCTACAATCATTATTCTATCGCATATCTCCTAAATTCTATTATAATATCTCAAAAACACGACATTATGATTTTTAAAATTGATTTCTATTTTATCACTTAATTTACATATGTATTAATATTTTGATATCTTTTTTGTTTATTTTAAGGAAATTTTCCTTTAATTTTATGATAATAAATGATAAAAATAATATTTAATTGTATATTTATTGATATTCTTTTTCACTATTTATTCTAATAGTAATTTCTTAGCTCATTCCTTATTTCAAATACATTTTTTTGTATTAATCCTCTACTTTAGGGTCTCTAAATTAATTCTATCAATGAATATTGAAAATTTAAAAATCTTAAGTCATATGAGTCATTTTAATTTAATCTAGAAATATCAATTGGAAAGAAATCCTAAAGTCTTTTAATTTGATCTGAATTTATTTCATCTTGGCTGGACAATTGTATAAACAATTATTTTATTTAGTCATTAAAGGCATTTTTAAATTATAATCTATTTTAATATAATAAATTTACAATAAACAATTAATGTATTCTTTAATTATTTAATGAGGATTTAGTTTTTGATGATGAAAATAATTTTATTGAAAAGGAGAAATTTTTCCTTTCTCATTCTCATTCGAATTCTATTATTATTGATTAAACTATTGTTTAATATCATTTTAAAACTAAAGATTATTATTTGAATTAACTTACTTTGAATTAAACTATTAATTATTATCTTTTGTAGGTTAAAAATTCAAATTATTATTTTATTGATTATTATTAAATTATTGTTTAATATCATTTTAAAACTAAAGATTATTATTTGAATTAACTTACTTTGAATTAAACTATTAATTATTATCTTTTGTAGGTTAAAAATTCAAATTATTATTTTATTGATTATTATTAAATTATTGTTTAATATCATTTTAAAACTAAAGATTATTATTTGAATTAACTTACTTTGAATTAAACTATTAATTATTATCTTTTGTAGGTTAAAAATTCAAATTATTATTTTATTGATTATTATTAAATTATTGTTTAATATCATTTTAAAACTAAAGATTATTATTTGAATTAACTTACTTTGAATTAAACTATTAATTATTATCTTTTGTAGGTTAAAAATTCAAATTATTATTTTNTATCGCATATCTCCTAAATTCTATTATAATATCTCAAAAACACGACATTATGATTTTTAAAATTGATTTCTATTTTATCACTTAATTTACATATGTATTAATATTTTGATATCTTTTTTGTTTATTTTAAGGAAATTTTCCTTTAATTTTATGATAATAAATGATAAAAATAATATTTAATTGTATATTTATTGATATTCTTTTTCACTATTTATTCTAATAGTAATTTCTTAGCTCATTCCTTATTTCAAATACATTTTTTTGTATTAATCCTCTACTTTAGGGTCTCTAAATTAATTCTATCAATGAATATTGAAAATTTAAAAATCTTAAGTCATATGAGTCATTTTAATTTAATCTAGAAATATCAATTGGAAAGAAATCCTAAAGTCTTTTAATTTGATCTGAATTTATTTCATCTTGGCTGGACAATTGTATAAACAATTATTTTATTTAGTCATTAAAGGCATTTTTAAATTATAATCTATTTTAATATAATAAATTTACAATAAACAATTAATGTATTCTTTAATTATTTAATGAGGATTTAGTTTTTGATGATGAAAATAATTTTATTGAAAAGGAGAAATTTTTCCTTTCTCATTCTCATTCGAATTCTATTATTATTGATTAAACTATTGTTTAATATCATTTTAAAACTAAAGATTATTATTTGAATTAACTGACTTTGAATTAAACTATTAATTATTATCTTTTGTAGGTTAAAAATTCAAATTATTATTTTATTGATTATTATTAAATTATTGTTTAATATCATTTTAAAACTAAAGATTATTATTTGAATTAACTTACTTTGAATTAAACTATTAATTATTATCTTTTGTAGGTTAAAAATTCAAATTATTATTTTATTGATTATTATTAAATTATTGTTTAATATCATTTTAAAACTAAAGATTATTATTTGAATTAACTTACTTTGAATTAAACTATTAATTATTATCTTTTGTAGGTTAAAAATTCAAATTATTATTTTATTGATTATTATTAAATTATTGTTTAATATCATTTTAAAACTAAAGATTATTATTTGAATTAACTTACTTTGAATTAAACTATTAATTATTATCTTTTGTAGGTTAAAAATTCAAATTATTATTTTATTGATTATTATTAAATTATTGTTTAATATCATTTTAAAACTAAAGATTATTATTTGAATTAACTTACTTTGAATTAAACTATTAATTATTATCTTTTGTAGGTTAAAAATTCAAATTATTATTTTATTGATTATTATTAAATTATTGTTTAATATCATTTTAAAACTAAAGATTATTATTTGAATTAACTTACTTTGAATTAAACTATTAATTATTATCTTTTGTAGGTTAAAAATTCAAATTATTATTTTATTGATTATTATTAAATTATTGTTTAATATCATTTTAAAACTAAAGATTATTATTTGAATTAACTTACTTTGAATTAAACTATTAATTATTATCTTTTGTAGGTTAAAAATTCAAATTATTATTTTATTGATTATTATTAAATTATTGTTTAATATCATTTTAAAACTAAAGATTATTATTTGAATTAACTTACTTTGAATTAAACTATTAATTATTATCTTTTGTAGGTTAAAAATTCAAATTATTATTTTATTGATTATTATTAAATTATTGTTTAATATCATTTTAAAACTAAAGATTATTATTTGAATTAACTTACTTTGAATTAAACTATTAATTATTATCTTTTGTAGGTTAAAAATTCAAATTATTATTTTATTGATTATTATTAAATTATTGTTTAATATCATTTTAAAACTAAAGATTATTATTTGAATTAACTTACTTTGAATTAAACTATTAATTATTATCTTTTGTAGGTTAAAAATTCAAATTATTATTTTATTGATTATTATTAAATTATTGTTTAATATCATTTTAAAACTAAAGATTATTATTTGAATTAACTTACTTTGAATTAAACTATTAATTATTATCTTTTGTAGGTTAAAAATTCAAATTATTATTTTATTGATTATTATTAAATTATTGTTTAATATCATTTTAAAACTAAAGATTATTATTTGAATTAACTTACTTTGAATTAAACTATTAATTATTATCTTTTGTAGGTTAAAAATTCAAATTATTATTTTATTGATTATTATTAAATTATTGTTTAATATCATTTTAAAACTAAAGATTATTATTTGAATTAACTTACTTTGAATTAAACTATTAATTATTATCTTTTGTAGGTTAAAAATTCAAATTATTATTTTATTGATTATTATTAAATTATTGTTTAATATCATTTTAAAACTAAAGATTATTATTTGAATTAACTTACTTTGAATTAAACTATTAATTATTATCTTTTGTAGGTTAAAAATTCAAATTATTATTTTATTGATTATTATTAAATTATTGTTTAATATCATTTTAAAACTAAAGATTATTATTTGAATTAACTTACTTTGAATTAAACTATTAATTATTATCTTTTGTAGGTTAAAAATTCAAATTATTATTTTATTGATTATTATTAAATTATTGTTTAATATCATTTTAAAACTAAAGATTATTATTTGAATTAACTTACTTTGAATTAAACTATTAATTATTATCTTTTGTAGGTTAAAAATTCAAATTATTATTTTATTGATTATTATTAAATTATTGTTTAATATCATTTTAAAACTAAAGATTATTATTTGAATTAACTTACTTTGAATTAAACTATTAATTATTATCTTTTGTAGGTTAAAAATTCAAATTATTATTTTATTGATTATTATTAAATTATTGTTTAATATCATTTTAAAACTAAAGATTATTATTTGAATTAACTTACTTTGAATTAAACTATTAATTATTATCTTTTGTAGGTTAAAAATTCAAATTATTATTTTATTGATTATTATTAAATTATTGTTTAATATCATTTTAAAACTAAAGATTATTATTTGAATTAACTTACTTTGAATTAAACTATTAATTATTATCTTTTGTAGGTTAAAAATTCAAATTATTATTTTATTGATTATTATTAAATTATTGTTTAATATCATTTTAAAACTAAAGATTATTATTTGAATTAACTTACTTTGAATTAAACTATTAATTATTATCTTTTGTAGGTTAAAAATTCAAATTATTATTTTATTGATTATTATTAAATTATTGTTTAATATCATTTTAAAACTAAAGATTACCATTTTAATTAACTTGATTTTAATTTAACTACTATTTATTATCCTTTATAGGCTTAAATTAACAATTTAGTTTTTATTGACTATTATAAATTTATTGTTTATTATCATTTTAATTATTAAAAATACTATTTTTATTTTCTTGGTTTTAATTTTACTCGATTTCAGTTTCTAGAATTGAAGGTCTATTTTGATTCAATACTTATTTAAATTCTGGTTAACTATCATTTTGCAATTTAAATTATTGAAGTTGTTAATTTAATTCTAAAAAAGAATATCTCTCTTGAGGATTGTATAAAAGCATCTTTTCTATTAAACGAGCGTATTGAGTATTTTCTTTTATTTTTAAGGGACTTTTTTTCGTTTCTTCAAAGAATCTTTAAATTTAAATTCTTTTCGTTTGAAAAGGAAGTTTTTAAAAGATTAATTAATACAGCATTAGACCAAGCTATCATTAATTTAATATTTACAGAATAAATGTCAATAACACTTTGGTCTTAAATATGTGACAGGTTTTATTGTATTTCTTGATCTTAGATAATTAAACCAACCTCTGGGGCTGAATAGGCTTTAGTTCCTTATCGAGTAATATCTTTATCTCCAACATTCTCCTATATTTTGGAAATTCCAAAATCAGTAATTTTATAAATTATTTTGCCATTTTCATTTTTGATTAATATATTTTCTGGTTTAATATCCTTATGAATAATTTTGAGATCGTAAAGAGTTTTATAACCATTCAAAAACTATTGTATAAAATCGAAAATTTCAAAGTCATTAAACTTTTTCTACTCCATCAACTAATGTAAATTGCCTTCACATCTTTCCATTATGATTACAATTTTATCTTCAATTTAATCAATTTAATATATAGCAACTAGATTTGGATTTTTTTAATTATTTGAAATCATTTCTCCTATCTTCTTTTCTCTTTTACAAAATTTTTAATTATCATCTAATATTGTTATGATCTTTTATAGTAAATTTTTGTTACCTTAGCACAGAATTATTAATTAGTATTTTATTTGGATTTACATGCAAATATTTATCCCTAGGCTCCTCTTGAAATTTCTTATGTTAGATCAATTTGAAAGCCATTTATTTCCAAAATCACATCTTGATTTTATATCATTGATTTATTAAATTCTATCAAAATTAATAATATTAATTTCCATTATAAGCGTGATTTTTATTTTTGATATCATTATTAATAATAGTGTTCAATGATTCTATTAATAATTTGAATATAAATATATGTTTTTCATAAATATAGAGTAGTTCCTTAAAAATATTTTTTTTATATTTACCATTTTTATCCTTCACAGACAATATCTAGTGTGTGGTTAAAGTTTTAAGTAAATAATAAAAAAATACAAAATTTTACATAATGTCAATTTAATATTATATAAAATACATTTATGCAAAGATTAACAAAAAAGTTTTATTTTTCTTTAATCCAAAAAGTTGATAATTATGATTGTCTTCACATAAATGCTCAAAGTTTAGATAAGTATTTGGTCAACCATTAATTATTAAAATAGAAATTAGAAAAGGTGTTATAGGATAGCATTGATAAAAATTTGAATGCCATTTGGTTGAGATTAGATAAGCATTAACTTATTTTATCATAATTGATTTCAGATTTAGGATTTTAAATGCATCATTGCACTTAAGACTATTTATTATTTAGTAAATGGCTTCATAAGGAATCATCTAGATTGCCCAATTATGCTTCTCATAAGATTATTTTACAATATTTATTAATTAATAGTAAAAATTAGGTTTTTCTTATTGATAATCAAATGCCTTAATAAGATGTAGATGATTCATCCTTATTTCCAATTATGGCTTAGAAATATTTTAAATAAAACTACAATTTAAATATATAAGCTCTTTATGTTTGTGATGTTGCACAATAAGTGAATTCAAATATAACCATCACTCTTAAATGTTAATTATAACAAGAAGACTAATCTTAAGAAAACTTTGTCTAAAAAACAATCATTGGTTACGATTAGAGATTTGAGATTAATTCTTTTGATAAATATATTATTTATAACAAATCTTAATGAAAATAATTTATTTGTTTCATGTATTTTTAATAGTTGTCTCAGCTTGAAATTTTAAAGCATTATTTTTATTTTTTTTATTTTAACAGAAAGATGTGACATAAATATTTATTAATAATCTAAATAAAATTTAATTATTATCTTAAAATTTTACATGAGTGGTGTTAGAGAATTGGATAAATAGATATTGGAAACAATATTTCAATAATTCAAGATTATGTAAGAAGATTTCATTTTAGGATTACAAAATAATAGAAAAATGCTAGAATAAGAAATTGAGATGTTCAAAAAAAAAATTAATTAGATATACGAACGATAATAATTGGCAGAAAAAATAAAAGAACATAGGAAAGAAAATCATTTAAATAATTTTACATATGTTAATTCAGGTTCTGGTTGTATGGATTAGTCTTTTAATTTAAACAAGGTAAAAATAAATAATATATTTATTAGAAAACTAAAAATTAAGACCAAAAAATTTTGAATGAGGATGATAAGTTTAAATAAGTAAAGTCATATTAAATTTAATAGATTTAAATCAATTTAGAAACTGAAAAAAAGAAAAGGATATTTAATGATGAATAAACAACTCCTGCTAAAAAATTGGATAAATAGTAAAATAAATAGAGTTAAGTTCAAAAATAAGATAGGTTTGAGTTTAACCTTATAAAATAGTACAAAAGAAAAGTAAAATAACATTAACTCTGAGTAATAAAATCAAATTCTATTAAATTATTAACAATAAAAAATATCTGGAGGACAATAGTTTCAAAATTAAGAATTGAATTTTGAATCAAATAAAAATTTTTAACAAATAAATCTTCAAAAGGTTTTGTGTAATCATCTACATTAAATAAATGATCATGGAAAAATAGAAAATGAACTTATTGAGTTTAAAAAAAAGTATTAGCTTCTCGAAGATTAAATGAAAAAATTATAAAAAGAAAATAAAGAAAAAGATTAAATTATTTTTCATTTTACTTAATAAAAAAATGTTAATTTTTCCAATGATACAACTATGACAATTGAAAAAATTGAAGAAATACCATATAATTAAGTAGAATAATAAATAAAAAAAACATGTATTAAAAAAATAATAATAATGTTTAGTATAGGATTAATTAAATGAAGAAAGAAGAAAAAATCAATAATTGATATAAAATTACCAAAATTTTTTATAGAGATTATAACACACATTTAGATTATAAAGGAAATAAAATGACTAAATTAAATAAATGGAGGATGAAGCTATTGAAGTAAAGATTTCATTAATTACTGAGAATTAATTGCTTAAAGAAGCGAAGCAGGTGATTGAAGAAATATCAGAGTATGAAGAAAATGATAGAATTTAAAGGTAGTCAATAGAAAATTAAGAAAATAAATATAAAAATTTAGAATCAAAATATGAAGAAATAAGTTAATATTATGCATGTATTTAATATACAATTTTTTTTAGAGGCATATAATAAATTAGAGGAAGCACTTAGGTAAATTGAAACTCTGGAATAAACTATTTAAGATTTAAATGATAAGATAGAATAATCAACTAATCAGATAGCTTAATTATAATAAAATACCCCTGAATAAGAAAAGAATGAAATAGATATATAATAGAATTCTTAAATAATAGAAGAAATTTGATTAAATTAATATTTATTATCATTATGTTATATTGAATAAATTTATTTAATTTAACTAATATCTTAAATTTAAAATAGCATTCTTTTGATTGAAGTTAATTAAAATTTACTTAAATTATTTCTATTTATTAATTAAATAATAGTTTATATCTAAAATTTATAAACCTTACAAGAATATCTAAAAATTCAGATTAATTTTGAATAAGAATTTAAGATAGTCTAATAAAATATAATGATTAATTAGATTGGATTTAAATAAATCAATAAAAAGCTCAAATAGATTATTTTATTCTTAAAATTAGCTATAAATAATACATGACTACATATAAATATAATTAGTTTTATTTTAGAATCTGCTATTCTAGAAAGAATGTAAAATTTTAAATAAGCTTATAAAAAATTAGCAAAAAGATGGTTTTAAGTTTATTAAATTAATTGATTTGTATAAAAATAAAATTGTAATTTAGAATAATCTAGTCTCAAAATTTTAATATAATTGAGTAGTTGTTTAATTATGAAAAAGAATTGATGAAATTAAGAAAAAGAAATGAGATGGACACTCAAAAAAGATTAATTTAAAAAGTAGTAGTTATATAAATAATAAAAGTATTTATGGAGATTAAGAATATAGAATACATAAGAATATCATAAAATAAGTAAATAAATTTAAGATATTATTCAAATTAAATTGCCATTGTGAATATCAATAAAAATGAGAGGAAAAAGTATATGAATTTAAGTTATAGCACTCTATATAATAAATTAAAAATGAAACAGAATAAGGAGTGAATGGATATATAAATGGATCATTTGAGTATAAGAGAGTATGAATAAAATAAAAAATTGGATATATATATAAAAGAAGAACTTAAAGATTAAGTTTAATTTGATTTATTCATATTTTAACTGTTATCATATTATTTTCTTGGGAATAAGAAGATTATTGGATGTGACAATATTATTTTTGGGTGAAATCACTAAGTTTGTAAAATTATTTCTTCCATAAAATCTTTATGTATTGATAAGAGGGATTTGAGTTTTATCATAAGTTTCAACTCTATTTCTAAAAGTTCCTGTTTCAAGAGCAGAATCATTATTGATTCTATTTAAACCCATAAAAAAAGAAGTTTCTGATTTTCTGAAGGAATTTTACTTAATGAGATGTTTTTATTTTTATTTGATAGGACTAAGGGATATTTAAGTTGATTCTGTTAATGTAGGTAAAAGTAGTTTATTTGATGAGGGTGCTTTTAAGTGTTTTTTTGGAGATTCAGGGTCTATAGGAATGTTGATTTGTTCATTATCAACACTAAATTATTGTTATAATTTAATTTTTTTAAAATCTCTGATTGGTGAGTCATTAGTTTAATTAAGAATAGCATTTAATTGATAATGTTTACTTTTGTATGGAATATTATTAAGAGTGCGATAAGATTTTAAGATTTTATTAGGTCTGGAAATTGATAATTTATTAAAGAATTATTAATTTTTAGGACTGTTATTATCTTAATAATTTGAATCATAATTATCTTCATCAAATTCAATAATTGATATTTTAAAATCTCCTAAATCAGTTCTTGATTAAATAGGAGATTATTTAATTGAATCCTATTAAAGTTAATTTAAAAATAATATAGCTTTTAAGAATAGAAAAATCTAATTAAAATAAAAGTAATACTTTTATTTTTTATTCTTAACAAATACCAAATTCTTTTACACTCATAGGAATAGGATGATTAAAATTTCTAGTAATCCATGGATGTAATAAAGCTTATGATGCTGTATATCGAGAATCTTAATCATATTATAATAATCTTTAAAGAAGATCTCTTGCTAATGGTGAAGAATGCAAAGGTTATTCATATTTTAAATCAGGGAAACTATTTATAAAATCCTTTTTAGTTGAAATTCTAGGATAAAATGGATGGATTCCTTGATTGAGTAACATAAATAAAACAATTCCACATGACCACATATCAACAGCTTTATTATATGTTTTATTTAAAATTTATTCAGGTGCCATAAATATAAAGGTACCACATTATTAAGAAACTGTTTAATAATAACGAATTTCTGGCATATATTAATAACTTAAACCAAAATCAGCAATCTTAATACTTGAAAGATCTTTACCATTCAATATTAAGATGTTATCTAATTAATTATTGTGTTTTAATTATTACCTGGTTTAATATCTCGATGTATTATTTATTTAGAATGAAGATATTCAATTGCTTCAAATATAGATTTCATTATGCTACTAATTGTTTCTTCATCTAAATTTTATTTCATATAATCACTCAAAGAACCACCTCCAGCATATTCCATCACCAAATACTAATTGTTTCCTTATCTAAAATACTATATTTAATATTAACAATCTCAAACCTTATAAAATTTAATTATGTTTTTGTGTTTCAGACTCTCCATTATTGATGTTTCCTATAATTATGCATCTTACATAGACTAATGTTATTTACACACTATTTTACTTTTATAGCCACTATTTCTCCTTTGTATAATCCTTTAAACACTTAACCAAATGAACCTTCACCTATTTTCTCTATTATTTTCAACTCCTTTTCTTTCAAAAAATCATGTTTCATATTTATTATTATAAAATAAAATATATACCATTTAGAAATCTTAAATTTATTTATGTATCATCCAACTCATTTATTAAATCTCATATTATTAATTATTTTTACCTATAAATATATTATTCTGATCAATCTGAAGATACACAATTGAAATTAATTCATTATTAAAGACTTGCTCTAAATAAATATATTATTACTAATATAATATAATGAGCATTGTCTAATTTAGTTTAGACCCTTCTTTACATACCTCTTAGTTTTATAATTTAGATCTTAATGATAGAACTCAAGACTTTATTCATTTTGAACCTATTCATATTACCTCTCAACATAATAAATACTATAACTATAAAAAATAAATAAAACTCTCTCCAACCATCAACTATGATAATAATAATAATTCATTAATGTATTACTAAATTCAAATCTAAAAAATGAGAGTGAAAAGGGCCAGATAATAAAGAAGCTCTAAATATCAAAGATTACCTGATTTAGATTGTAATTCTTATTTAGGAATTATATAACCTACTTCGAAGACTCTAAAAATTACTCAAAGAAAATATTCATAACCTTAGAGATTACCTACAAACTCATTTTGTCATTTATCTAATGATAATGAATATTAATCAAATATCTAAACTAAAATTAAAATTCGATTACCTATTATAGAAAAAAATTAAGTCAATAGTTCATGTAGAAGTTCTTTAAATTGCTGGACAAGAAATAACTCTTATAGTTTATTATATGAAAACTAATGATTAAAACTTTATGTTAATAAAATAATCAAATTCCAATTTATCTTTAAAATAGATTCTTAATAATCTCATAACGTTCTTTTAATTATGTAATAATTTTTGTTTATTAGTTAAGTGAATGAATAATATATAAATAATATTTTTATAAATTAGAATCTCACAATTATTGATTTTGCAGAATATCATTAATAATGCTCTTTTTATTTCTCAGTATTATATTAACTCATTATTTTTATTATTTTAGAATAATTATCTAAATTCGTCAATTCTGAACTTAAACACTAAAAAGAATTTTAAATTTTAAATCAAGATTATAGGTATTCCTTTAAATAGTTTTTCTACAAATTCGAATCCTTTTTAAATGAATTCTCCATTAATTTATGATAAACTACATATAGTTCTAATTATTTATTATAGCATGGATAATTAATATCTAAATAGTACTTCTCCAGAATTAACTAAGAATGAGCCTATTAATTTAGTAATTTCTTGCTATTCACATTAAAAAGTTGTTTTATTTTTGCTTAAAACATACAAAAAATCATAAAATAATAATTAAATGAATCGTATTCATCATTATTAAGGATTAGATAGTCGGTAAAAATCTGGATAAGAAGCCACTGAGCCAGCTTCAACAAACAATAGGTTTACTAGAAGTTTAGGAAAGAGCAGATCATCTTTTAATATTAGTATTTCTCAATCTATTACAAACTCAATATAAAAGGGAAAATCTTATTACTTGAATCATTTAGAAATGTATTATAATATGCATTTAATTGAAATTTTAGCAGGTTAGTTTTTAGTTAATTAAGGGTTTGTCTCCTTTTGATGAAAAAATAGAATTGCTGAAGAAATTTGAAGAATTGTTCTAACAAATGGTGGATTAATTGAAAGACTTACTATTTCTTATAAAATAAGTTGATTTCGAAGCACCTAACTTTGAAGAACTATATTAGACTGATGCTGAATATTTCAGTGAGACTGTATACAGAGATATTAAGGTATTTTTATATGGTTATTAAATAGCATTTAGAACAACAACACTATGATTTAATTTACACATCTAGTTTAAGATTTTTATCAAATGTTTTAGGATGTCTTGAATTTAATTTCGAAATTGATATTTATGAATTCGATATTCGGAGTTGGGCATAATAGGGATTAGATCATATTCTAAAATTTAGTGGATTAAGAAGATCATTTCGTTAACCAATTAGTTGTTGTTAAAGATATTGTAAATGCATATCTAATTTGTTTAAAAGCAATAGACAAAGACGATGAACAATTCAGCAATTAATAATATAATCGATTATTTGTACTGAATATGATTAAATTTATGTAGCCAACTTAATAATCATAATTCTATTCTATATGTTAAAGCTTTTATATATAAAAATAGATTAAATACTAGTAAGAATAATAATAGTAATAAGATATAAATATCAATTGCATTTTATTTAATTTAATCTTGAAGTCTTTAGTTTCTCTGCAAATTCTTTAATCATATTGTAGGAAACAAAATTAATTTAAGGTTGAAGTTTAGGTAACTTTCTTCCCTTTTATTTTATTTTTTAATGAATTGTTTTCCTTTCTGAATTTGCACTTTATGAACTATTTGTATTGCATTATTACTATTGTTGTTCATTCTACCTTTAAGAGTTAATAAATTATTATTATGGTTAATGTCTTAAACTGATACTTCTAAATTATTAAATTGGAGGACATTTAAATTCTTTATAAACTACTTCTGGCATTATTTTAGGTTGAATACAAATCCTTTCATATTGTTTTAATTAGAATGAGAATCCAAAATTTGGGCATATTATTGGTCTCTTTTTTCTAACAATATGATAGGCTTTAGAAAAAGGATATTTAAATTTCATCATTATATATGCAATAACAATTGCAGGTGAACGACTAATACCCATTGAACAATGAACTAATATTGATCCTTACTATAATGCCTATTCAATAAATTCATTTGTTAATTCAAAATATTAGAATATATCAATATCTGGTTTGTCTTTGATATTAATTATCTTATGATTGACTTCTTTATATTTAACATCCATTGAATGAATAATTGACAATACGCTTTTTATATTATTAACTTTTAAATTAACTATATCTAATGCAGCTGAATAATCACCAAGCCAGATTGAATTGTTGTTAATTGAAATGATTTCAGATTATGGCCGGTAAGGCTCTAAAAGTCCAAATTTATCAAACATCAATAATATATTATAAAATAATTTATAGATTATTTCTAATAATTTAATAGAAATTCAATCCTCTGTTTAAAATAATTATGTAAATGAACTAATTAGAAGAAGTTATAGATAAATATAAAATCTTTTATAACAATCAGATTGATAAATAATAATTGAGGAAAGTGTATAAATGTAAAATGATTAACTTAATACATATTGATTTATGTGCTAAAGAATGAATGATTTTTATTTTAGATAATAAATATCCTTAATTTAGAATAGAAATTTTAGATGCAGAAAAAAGAATCTCAGATATTATCTCTGAAAATAAAGATAATTAAAATTTGATAACAATCTACTTTGTAAAAGAAATACATGAATTTCTTAACTAACAAGTAAATTAATAAATTACCTCTTAAAGAAGGTTAATTATAATCATGGAAAACTGTGAATCTAATTTGTAAAACTTATTGTTCGAAAAAAAAATATTTAATGATGAAGAAATACTAGATTTTTTAAATCAATTTTTATAAGGATACAAAGTTCTTTATAATAAATTTATAATTCATAGAAATATCAAACCTGAGAATATACTTGTTAATAAAGTTAATGGAAAAATAATTTATAAATAACTGACTTTGGAATTGCAAAAATATGCAAAGCTAATGATTATAATATTTCTAAAATTGGAACCCAGCCTATGCTGCTCCAGAGATAAATGATAGTGTTAAGGATGATAATCTAGCAGATCGTTTTAGAAGAATGAAACATATTGACCATTCCAAAAATCAAGTAGATCTCTACTCTGTAAGATATTACCATAAAATAGCTTGGTATAATTTTATATTAACTGGTTTTTGGTAAACTTCCATTTTAATCTCAAGATTTTATAATTTTTATCGAAGGTTCATAAAAATAACCGCTTAAACTTTAAGGAAATTCAGAATATAATCAATATATTGAAAAAATGATTTGTATTACCCTGATTAAAGAATGACTTTTAATGATTTAATAAAACTGGTTGATTCTAAAAAAAGAATTACTTTAAACAATAATAATATTTATCAAAATAATATTAATAATCATATTCAAAACAATATTAATTTTTAATATTAAAATAATANATTGAATTGTTGTTAATTGAAATGATTTCAGATTATGGCCGGTAAGGCTCTAAAAGTCCAAATTTATCAAACATCAATAATATATTATAAAATAATTTATAGATTATTTCTAATAATTTAATAGAAATTCAATCCTCTGTTTAAAATAATTATGTAAATGAACTAATTAGAAGAAGTTATAGATAAATATAAAATCTTTTATAACAATCAGATTGATAAATAATAATTGAGGAAAGTGTATAAATGTAAAATGATTAACTTAATACATATTGATTTATGTGCTAAAGAATGAATGATTTTTATTTTAGATAATAAATATCCTTAATTTAGAATAGAAATTTTAGATGCAGAAAAAAGAATCTCAGATATTATCTCTGAAAATAAAGATAATTAAAATTTGATAACAATCTACTTTGTAAAAGAAATACATGAATTTCTTAACTAACAAGTAAATTAATAAATTACCTCTTAAAGAAGGTTAATTATAATCATGGAAAACTGTGAATCTAATTTGTAAAACTTATTGTTCGAAAAAAAAATATTTAATGATGAAGAAATACTAGATTTTTTAAATCAATTTTTATAAGGATACAAAGTTCTTTATAATAAATTTATAATTCATAGAAATATCAAACCTGAGAATATACTTGTTAATAAAGTTAATGGAAAAATAATTTATAAATAACTGACTTTGGAATTGCAAAAATATGCAAAGCTAATGATTATAATATTTCTAAAATTGGAACCCAGCCTATGCTGCTCCAGAGATAAATGATAGTGTTAAGGATGATAATCTAGCAGATCGTTTTAGAAGAATGAAACATATTGACCATTCCAAAAATCAAGTAGATCTCTACTCTGTAAGATATTACCATAAAATAGCTTGGTATAATTTTATATTAACTGGTTTTTGGTAAACTTCCATTTTAATCTCAAGATTTTATAATTTTTATCGAAGGTTCATAAAAATAACCGCTTAAACTTTAAGGAAATTCAGAATATAATCAATATATTGAAAAAATGATTTGTATTACCCTGATTAAAGAATGACTTTTAATGATTTAATAAAACTGGTTGATTCTAAAAAAAGAATTACTTTAAACAATAATAATATTTATCAAAATAATATTAATAATCATATTCAAAACAATATTAATTTTTAATATTAAAATAATAAAATTATGAGAAAATGATAATATGCTATTCAGATTTCATTCTTTACTAAATCTTAGTATGATAAATAAGTCTTCTAAATGTGAAAATTTACTCAGCAGGATACTTTTAAAGATTAATAAAAAATTAAAAATAATATTTTTCATTATGATTTCCAATTTTCTTTTAAGCAAAGAAATCCTTGAAAATACATTAAAAATCATATCCATTACAATATTTATTAATAAACTAGCTAAATTTTGAAAGTTTAATTTAAATTAGGAGGATAAATTAATACTACTGATTTATATGAAAAATAGTAAATTATAGAATTGATTTCATAATGGTTCTAATACATTTTTCTTAATTCAATTGAACTATAATATTTTTGTTTAAGAAAATATAAAATACATAATATTTGATGCTAACATAAGCTAGCATCATATTAAATGATTATTGTTATAAAATGAACCCAAAGATGACGTGATATAAATATTACTGAAAACATAGTTGTTGAAAGTCTTAATCTAATTCTATTCTTAAAATAATTAATATAAAATAAAAATAAAGATAGATGTAAGGTAATAAGAACAAAAACGCAGCATTGCTATCAATTTACTCTCAGGGATAAAAAATGAGATTAAACTCAACTCCTTTAGTTATTTCTAATTAATCATCTATAAATAATTTCAGTGCCTAGAGAGTGCAGACTGAATAAAATCGTAGAATTAAAACAATAAGAAGCCAAAGATTTAAGTTATATTACAAGTCTGAGAGCAGAGAACCTATTAAATTTTCAAATCACTCGAAAATATCGTCATCTGATTCAAGAAAATAATCAAATTATGATTCTCATGTTACAACATCAACTTCGGATAATGAAGACAAAGCTTTAATGATTCATAAAATCATATTTTCTGTAAAGTCTCCACTCTAAAGTTTAAGGTTTTAAGGTTTTAGTCTTGACAAAAAGCCTTATAACATAGATTTAAATAGAAGGAAAACTCTCAGAAATTCATTATTGACAAACTCATACAAAAAATAAAATTTTCTTATGACTGGAAATGAATGTGGATGGTCCAGAAAATCTTCTGAAAGTCTCGTCTTTTAATGATGAGACAAGTATAAAATTATTTGTATATAGTGAATATTTGTTTTATTCATTTACATTAAAAGAAATATAATCAGTATTCTTATTTTCTAATATTGAATTTGTCTCAATCTTGAAATCCTCTAATTTATCTCAATAGAAATGAATCTCTTAAGTTACTATGTAGATATTCAATTATTATTAGAACATACAAATATTTATACATATTTTAAATTGTTTCTAAATTGTGAATGAATATCCATAATTAAATTACATTGAATTCATTTAATAGAATATGTTTAATATTCATTTAATTGCTCATGCAATTTAAGTAAAAATTCTTAAATTAATTTTATAAAAAAATCAAAATAATGTTAAATAGTTCTTGATTTAGATTTCATTTTCTATTTTTTTCTATGACATTTATTGTTTAATTTTTTTTATATTCATTATTTTTCTGAAAAAATTTTACAAAATTATTTTAATCAATTCAGATAAATATTATATATTATATTCCTGTTCAAATTATTTTTCTTTAAAAAAATGAATGCTATTATTTCCAGATTTTTCGGAGTATTATTTTTACTTTTAGATTTACAAGTAGAATCAATAAATTTTAAAGAGAATTTCAGTTAAATGAATCTATTTAAGTGAACTTTGTTAATTTATAAATCGCCAGAGTGGAAGGCTATATAAATATATTAGTTAGAATTAGCAAAATATTTCATTTAATTTATTATTCTACTAATCCTTAAATTTTACCTTTTTACTAAGATGTGCAATTATAAGCATTTGACTCAATAAAAAGATTAGAGTTTATACTATTTGAATATAGACTTATTTTTATTATTGTAAAATGCATATTAATCTATAATTTTTTTCCCAATAAAATAAATAAATATAATAAAATCAATTTAAATTCTAAAAACATTCTATATAGTTTGTGTTGTCATCATAAAATGAATTCATACTTGAAACTTGATACTGATTTAAACTTTTTTTCTCTATAAATATAATGAGTGCTATTCTTCAAGCTAAATAGACTTTTAGATAAGGATTGCCATAATATGATGGAAAAAGTTTTTAAATTCATTATATTGGCAAATTGATCTTTATAGTTTCTTTGAATTTTAAACAATCAATATATTTTATTAACAAAAACAGTTTAATTATGTATATTATTTGAATCTTGAACTAAAATCCCAAAGAGTTTCAAAAAAGCATTTCATTTTTCTTAATTTTTCATTTCAGTTAATTACAACAATTTAGAAAATTTATAGAAGTTTGAAATATTCTCCATCAAATTATGTCTCAAACTTAATAAAATAATCTTAAGCTCTAGATTAATTCACTTGATATAATCTTAATAATATTTTTAATGGATAAATTAATTATGATTTTCCTTTTTTATTCATGCTTAACAATTATGAATTGTTAACTTAATTCATAGTGGAATACCATCTATAATGGAATTCATGAGGCTAGGAATATAAATTGTCTTAATGTTAATTGCATTTATGGTTTTAAAGAGTTTTTGACAGGAAGTTCAGCTGTTTTTGTTAATTGTTCAAGCTCACCATAAACAGCTATTGTATTAAACGATTCCTAAATGTCTGTAATATAAAACTTAACATCCTTGACTCCCTCTGCTCCAAATGCCTATAAATTATTGCTAATTGATGTATATTTTACAACTTTGTGGACAGGTGACGAAATAAAAATAAGTTATGATAACTATGATTATCATGTGCTATATACAACAAACAATCCTTTATAATTTTAAGAAGGATTGTGTGATTTGATTGAATTTGAAATAAAAACATTTTATTTCATCTTACCCTACACATCAAATACTCCAACTTATCTAATTTTACAAATCTTTAATCCTTCAATTTAAGCCTTAATTCGAAATGTTCATGTGGGCTTCTTGTCTTGCTATCCTAAGTGTTTATAATGCACTGGACCAAATTAAGGAGATTGTTAAGTTTGGGATGTAATATATAGTAGATGCCCAATAAGATAAAGTATACTTTCCAATGGAGTTTGTGTTGATCATTGTCCAATACAAGGCTCAATAGTCAAATCTTAAAATAGAATATGTGTTGGTTTTTAGCATACATTATTTTTTTAGTCTAATTTAGCAACTTTAAATTTGAATACTTTGTTAAATTGGAATGTATTATATGATCCTTAACATTATGATGTTTCTAATAAAAAACTATCTCCTTTCAATTTTGGAGTATTTCGATTTAGGGAAGGGGCTTATATGGCTGCAAATATCAACTCGGGAAATTACACTATTGGAGTACAAATTTAATTAATTTTTTGTAATCCTACTCCATTAGGGTCAGGAGTTTCTTTTTATATTAATTCTACTTATTATGGTTCCACTTACTTTGATGGGACACAATTCAAATATCATAATGTTATTTTAAGAAATATAGGATCTCATCCTAATATTGGAAGTTGTACAAATAATTAATTTATGGATCTCGAAATGTTTTATCATATTTTTGATAAAAAATTCATTTTTTCAATTCAAGGAAACTTTACGTAAAAAAATAATTCTAAATAGTCAACCTAATGCTGGTTGGATTCTTAGACTGTTTTCACTTACATCTGGTTACTGCCCTGCTAATTGTATTCTGTGTAATTAAAGATTTAAATGCCAAACTTGTGCAAATGGCTTCTTCAAACTTGCAGATGCCACTTGTTAATGGGGTTGTCCCTAAGAGAGAATAAATAATGGATATAATTGTATTTAATATGACTAAGTTACTAAATGTAATTTAAAATGTCTATTTATTTTAGATTCTAAATTTTTGATTAGAGAGTTTTATGATTTGACAGTAAAAGATACTTTGAACGCAACTTTTATTTTAGAATCAAGTTCTACAATTGATTTTTAAAAAGGATCAGATATTTTCTGGTCTTATCTTACTAATAAAATTATATTTGGAGGAAAATTTGTATGGGCCTAATCAAGATTTTCTTAAATATATACTTTAGATCCACATCATTCATTGACAATTTATTTTTAAGTAATTTTTGGTCCTAATTTTCCAAATTCAATTAGTAATTATTTGTCTTATGAAATAAACAATGGTACAATAAATAAAATAACTAAAACATCATCATTAAATATTGTTGAATAAATCTTAACATATAATCCAACTTTAACAATTGCAATATAATGTTATGGGATTAATGTTATAGATTCTTATTGTGGAATATCAAATTATTATATTGTTGTTCATTATTGTAAACCATATTGTTATAGATGTTCAAATGAATTAACTTGTGATCAATGGATGCCTTATGATCCAAATATTATAAAAGTTGAATAATCTTAATGTTAATCAAATTAATTTTTAGATGAAACAACTTCAACTTGTGAATATTGTCCAAATGAGTGTTTAACATGTTTTAATGAATATGAATGTTTAACATGCAAATCTAATTATAAATTAGTTATTACAACTTGTATTTTAGATTGTTAACTTAACTAATATTATGATGGTGTTAATTGTTTAGATTGCAATTATAGTTGTAGATAATGTTAATCAATTAATTACTGTATTCACTGTGAATCTACTTCTTTAAGATATTTATAAGATGGATAATGTTTATGTTATGATGGTTATTATGACTAAATTAATATCTAATAATGTCAACCTTGTGATAAATTATGTGCAAAATGCAATGGACCTACTAATAAAAATTGTTAATCATGTATTATTTTAAATAATTTAATAAAAACTGGAAATACTTGTGAATGTAGTATTGGATATTATTTTGATGAATTTAAATTAAAATGTCTAAAATGTTCAGATAAATGTGAAACATGTTTTAATTTTTCAAATACATCATGTTTATCTTGTTATTCAATTTAATTTAGAATAATAGATGGATTGAATTGTAAATGCTAAAATGGATATTATGATGATAATTCTGATATTTGTATATAATGTCCATTTTTGGAAGATTCATTATTATAATAATGTTATAAGATTTGTGGAGATAATTCAATAATATGGTTTAATTCAAATTGTCCATTTGTTATTTGTGGAAATGGATATAATAATGTAAATAATCAATGTTTACCAATATGTGGTGATTTAATAATTGTAGCAGAAGAAGATTGTGATGATGGTAATTCTATTTAATTTGATGGATGTCATAATTGTAGATTTTAATGTCCTGCTTAATGTACAACTTGTAATTCTATAACATAATTTCCATGTTCTGATGTTTGTGGAGATGGAATTGTAAGTGGATTAGAAGAATGTGATGATTCTCATCCAATTTAATTAGATTCATGTTATTAATGTAAATTTTAATGTTAACCATAATGTACAAGATGTAACAGAGGAGTTTGCTAAAATTGTCTAAATTTTGGTTGGGTATTAGAACCTTATACTAGGCGATGTATTGAAACTTGTGGAGACAGTTATTAAGTTGGAAATGAACAATGCGAAGAAATGAACACTCGTATGCTTGATGGATGCTATAATTGTTAATAATCATGTTAAAAGTCATGCTTAACATGTACAATTAATGGCTGCAATCAATGTGAAGTTGGTTATTAACTTATCAATCGATATTGTAGGAATATTTGTGGAGATTCTCTAGTTGTTGATGGAGAAGATTGTGATGATGGCAATTTATATCCATTTGATACTTGTCATTAATGTGTTTATTAATGTTAAAGCGAATGTTTGAATTGTCAATAGGGGAGTTGTTTATTTTGCATTGATGGATTTATAGCATTTGATGGTGAATGTGTAGAAATTTAAAAAATCCCAATTATTCCCTCTAATGAATATTATTAACATGATCTTATTGAATTTTGCAAAATAAAAGTTAATGGGATCTGCTATGAATGTCAAAAAAATTATAAATTAAATAATCTTTATAATACTTGTGAATTAGAGGAGAGAAAAGAGATTATTAAAATTGAAAGTTTTGAGGTTTTACCTTAATTTATTTAATATTGTTAATTTTAGTTAAATAATTTGTGCATTATTTGTTATAAAAATTTTGGACTAGATATTTTTACTAACTTGTGCGAACCTATATGTGGAGATGGAATTCTCACAGGAATAGAAGAGTGCGAAGATAACAATCATTAAATTCTTGATGGATGTTATGAATGTATGCACTAATGTAATGAATACTGTGAGATCTGTGAATTTGGAAAATGCATCCTATGTCATTTAAATACTATTTATGTTCCAGCCATTTTTTAATGTGAAATATTATAATAATGCACATAACCTGGAAGTTATTACAATGAAGAGATTAATAAATGCTACAGTATTTGTGGTGATGGTTTTATATATTAAAAAGAATAGTGTGATGATGGCAACGATATTAAATTTGATGGATGTCATAATTGTTAATATTCTTGTGCACCTGGTTATACAGTTATAAATGGAGAATGTATTAAAGAACAAATAGATTGTAAAGAAGGATTGTATTACTCTTTTACTAGTTTATCTTGTAAACCATAGTGTGGAGATGGAGTAGTGATTTAGCCATATGAAGAATGCGATGATGGCAATGAAGTTATAAATGATGAATGTCATTCGTGCAAATTATAATGCAGTATTCATTGTCAAGAATGTTCAATTTAAAATTTGTGTCTTAAATGTAAGGAAGGTTATGAATTAATTGATTTTAAGTGTGAAAACTTAAATAATTCATTGTGCTACACAAATAATTGTAAACTTTGCGAGAATTATGAATGTTTTACTTGCATTAATGGATATTATCTATATGATAATGAATGCATTCCTGAATGTGGGGATGGTATTCTAGCTAATTTAGAAGAATGTGATGACGGTAATCTAATAAATGGGGATGGTTGTGATGATAATTGCATTATATCTGAAAATGCTTTATGTAGAAATAATGAATGTGCTGTTCTTAGATATCCGTAACCTATTTTAGAATTTGATAAAGAAATTCTAGGTGTTTAATATGTCAATCTTAGATATAGTTCAAAAATGAGATTATTAGATGGAGTAACTTAAAAGGAATATTTAGATAATTTATTTTTTGAAATATAAGATTAACCTGAAATAGCATTATTTTAAATTATTGTTAAATAAAAAATTACGATGCAACTTTAGTTTATTGATATTTAAGTATCAGTAAAATTTTTAGAATTTGTAAAAAATCCATTTATTTAATTAAAATTCTTAGAAAAAAATAATTTGGTGGATGAATACGGAGCTGGTATTTTAGAAGACTCAATAAAAATTAAACTTAGATCATCAAATGTTTTAGATATTCAATCATAAAAAATTTCTGATTCTTTGACAGGAATTAATGATTACATGATGAAATTTTTAATTATACTTATGATCATAGCAACTATTTCAGGATAAAGTGAAATTATTTCCAATTTGTTGGATATCATTTAATAGCTCTATTATTTAAAATACATTAATTCTAGAATTGGTGTTAATCTTGAAAAATTCTTTGACATATTTGCAATTATTTAGTTAAACGATATATTTGATCTTTTGAATGATCAAACAAATCTTTTCTCTTTTTATCATTCTGAACCAATTTTTGAAACAGATGATAGGAATGCAAATTATCTAGTTAATATTGTTTCATTATTACAAGTTTATTTTAATTATATCTCTCACTCTTTTTGTTAAAAGTTGTCACTTCTTGTCTACTAAAAAAATTGTCGTAATTGAAGGTTATTAGTGAAAGAAAGATAATCTTACTTTTTGTAAGAGAATTACAGATCTTTTGTTTTAGAATATAAAAAAAAAGAATAACTGAATCAATTAAAGATATATTCTTTGCTCTGATTTATGAATTTGGTATCAATACATTCTTAGCCTTGAAATACTAAAGATCCGATTTTGAGGGCCAATTAGGAGTTTCACTTGCTATAACAATATTTTATGTAGTTATTATGATTCTTCTAATCAAATAAACTCATTTTAATATTCCAATAATAAAGAAAATTTAGTTGTCATAATTAGAAAGTAACAATTTCACTTATCAATGCACTCAAAAAATATTATTTGTCCTATTTCTAATTTTTTTCTTTGAAAGCTCAGAAATTCAAATTTTACTATCAATGATGAATCAATTCTAATTTACTTATTTTATTTATCGACAAAAATATAAAATGATAACTCTTGATTTTATTAAGATGATCATCTCAAATTCAGTATTATTATTAATTTTTGTAATGTACTTAGTTAACGATTTTTATCAAGATGAGATAGAGAATTTAATGATCATAGGATGGATTATAATAAGTTTTATGAGTACTATAATTTTTATAACATTTTTGGTTGATTTAATAAAAGTGCTGCATCCTATCTGGTAAAGGTGTTAAATCAAATTTTAAACTCAAAAACAAAACGAAAATTTTTATATAGTCGAAAACCCTTAAATTATTGAATAGAGATTTAAGATTTGATAATTAGAAAATTTATAAACAAAAATAACATTTATTATAAATAATTTTGGTAGTCTCCATCTGCTTTTAACTTCTCCCTCAAATACAATGAATAATGACACTTAAATTAAAAAATGATAGTTTTAAATCTAAAATCTTATTTAAAATTTTTCATATTTTTTTAGTTAAACCTCCTTTACTTAGTTTTGATTTTGATAAATTGACTTAGAATAAAATAAGGATGCTTATTTTTTAAGATTTTGTGTATAAACGTCATTTAAATTTCATCTATTTTATAAGAGATTGATGATTAAGTGCAATAAAACTTAATTGTAACCAAAAATTACTAAATATCACTTTTAATATTTAAGTTATAATTATAACTATTTCAAAAATCACAAATAATATTTAATAAATAAAAGGATAGATAAATGTCATAAAATTAAGATTTTAATTATTGCTAAATTAATCATTCTCATAAAAACTAAAATTGAAAGATTTCAAAAACTAGAATCTACTTATTAATAAATACTTAAATTAGTATACTTAGATGATAAATACTTTTCAAGTATTAAAAAATAAAATTGAATTCATTTTTATTTCGAGTTTATTAATTGTTATTTATAATAATTTGAAAAATAGATGTAAATTGTAGTGTGTAATTTTGATGAATTTAAGATATTTAAAAGATAAATAGAGAACAATCTTATTTTAGTGATAAAATAGACATACTTGGCTTTTTTAAACTCAATAAGCTAAAATTATATTATTAAAATGATTGATTAGATGTTGAATTAATATATGTATAAGTAAAAATCTATACTAACTCAAATGTTGTACTGACAAGAATATGAGTCAACATTTGTTTATACTATATATTTAATCAGAATTTTACAAGATATTTAAAATAAATTGGAAACAAATAAATCCTAATTTTTAGGAATATAATAATGAATTTAAGAACTTTAATAAAGACTAGGATGCTTTACAAAAAGCTGAAGCTTAAATATGAAGGTTTTAAATATTGATGCTTTAAAAAAAATAATATTTAATTAAGTTAATGTAATTTTTTTAGCTAATCTTCTAAATCAATATCATAACTAGCTTAGTCTTAGGAGATTGGATAATCCAATATAATGCAATGCATGAATTCAAAACGATTAAATGTGATTCAATCGGTTGTTTATATGGATTCAAAAACCAAGAAAATACAGGCCCAGCCTTATACTTAAATTGTTTAACAACTCCTTTAACAGCATTAAAACTAGATAATAATTAAATGAGTTCAATATAAAATTTGAAATCTTTAACACCAAGTGAATCTAACGCATATAAATTAATAATGTTTGATGTATATTATACAAGTCAATGGGTAAATGATGTCATTGATTTCGAATTTAATAATTAAATTTTTTAAATTAGACATTCGACATAAAATCCATTGCCTTCAAATATTGGTTTTTGTGATTCTGTAGAATATGAAATAAGGACGTATAACTTCACACTATCTTATAGTTCAATTTATTATTAATTTCCGAAATTCTAAATATAGAATCCTTCAGTTAGTGCAATGATTAGAAATGTGCATTTTTCATATTAAAATTGTTATCCAGGTTGCACTTTTTGTACAGGTCCATATAAAAATTAATGTACTGGATGTTATGGAACTTTAACTGTAGTTAATAACGAATGTAGATGTCCAATAAGAACAAGTATGATATAAGGAGTAGGATGTGTAAATAAATGCTATATAAGAGGAGCTAAATTAAAATCTTAAAATAGAATATGTGAAACTTTTTCACCAACAACCTTGCATACTTCTAATTTTTAAGGAATTGAACTATCAGCATGGTATAATTGGAATGTCATCTATGATCCATTACATTTAGATATGATTGATAAAAAGCTATCTCCATATAATTTTGGTCTTTTTAGATTTCGTGAAGGAGCCTTTATGTCTTTTAACACTATTTTTGCAGTCCATCCTTTAGTTATATTGGTATAACTTGTTTTTTGCAATTCCACTCCTATAAACTCAGGAGTTTAATTCTACATTAATTAAACTTATATTGGATCCTTTTATTTTGATGGGACTAAATACATATATGATAAAATAGAATTTAGATACTAATAAGTTCATCCAGTAACAGGAGAATGTATAAATAATTAACTTATTTCTGCTGAAATATTCACAACTGTTTTTGAATAATAGCTAACATTTTCTATCTAAGGAAATTTTACGTAAAATTCAAGAATAATATAGTACGTCAGGAGCAGGGTGGTTCTTAAGATTATTATAATTTTCATCAGGTTATTGTCCTAACGTATGCCTTAAGTGTGATAAGTTTTATAGATGTATTTAATGTCCATCAGGGTCTTAATATGTTTCTGATGGAACTTGCAAATATTGGGGATGTCCTTTTGAAAGTACATATAACGGTACTCATTGCGTAAAATAAGATGAAGTCACAAAATGTAATTGATAATAATTATCAAAAGATTCAAAATATTTCTTAAGAGAATTTTATGACTTCACAGTCACAGATACTCTTAATAAAACCTTTATTTTGGAAACTTATATGGGAACAGATTTGTAAAAAGGTTCTTATGTTTTTTGGTCTTACACTGATACATAAAGAATATTTGGAGGAAAATTTGTATGGGCCTAATCAAGATTTTCTTAAATATATACTTTAGACCCACATCATTCATTGACAATTTATTTTTAAGTAATTTTTGGTCCTAATTTTCCAAATTCAATTAATAATTATTTGTCTTATGAAATAAACAATGGTACAATAAATAAAATAACTAAAACATCATCATTAAATATTGTTGAATAAATCTTAACATATAATCCAACTTTAACAATTGCAATATAATGTTATGGGATTAATGTTTTAGATTCTTATTGTGGAATATCAAATTATTCTATTGTTGTTCATTATTGTAAACCATATTGTTATAGATGTTCAAATGAATTAACTTGTGATCAATGGATGCCTTATGATCCAAATATTATAAAAGTTGAATAATCTTAATGTTAATCAAATTAATTTTTAGATGAAACAACTTCAACTTGTGAATATTGTCCAAATGAGTGTTTAACATGTTTTAATGAATATGAATGTTTAACATGCAAATCTAATTATAAATTAGTTATTACAACTTGTATTTTAGATTGTTAACTTAACTAATATTATGATGGTGTTAATTGTTTAGATTGCAATTATAGTTGTAGATAATGTTAATCAATTAATTACTGTATTCACTGTGAATCTACTTCTTTAAGATATTTATATGATGGATAATGTTTATGTTATGATGGTTATTATGACTAAATTAATATCTAATAATGTCAACCTTGTGATAAATTATGTACAAAATGCAATGGACCTACTAATAAAAATTGTTAATCATGTATAATTTTAAATAATTTAATAAAAACTGGAAATACTTGTGAATGTAGTATTGGATATTATTTTGATGAATTTAAATTAAAATGTCTAAAATGTTCAGATAAATGTGAAACATGTTTTAATTTTTCAAATACATCATGTTTATCTTGTTATTCAATTTAATTTAGAATAATAGATGGATTGAATTGTAAATGCTAAAATGGATATTATGATGATAATTCTGATATTTGTATATAATGTCCATTTTTGGAAGATTCATTATTATAATACTGTTATAAGATTTGTGGAGATAATTCAATAATATGGTTTAATTCAAATTGTTCATCTGTTACTTGTGGAAATGGATATAATAATGTAAATAATCAATGTTTACCAATATGTGGTGATTTAATAATTGTAGCAGAAGAAGATTGTGATGATGGTAATTCTATTTAATTTGATGGATGTCATAATTGTAGATTTTAATGTCCTGCTTAATGTACAACTTGTAATTCTACAACATAATTTCCATGTTCTGATGTTTGTGGAGATGGAATTGTAAGTGGATTAGAAGAATGTGATGATTCTCATCCAATTTAATTAGATTTATGTTATTAATGTAAATTTTAATGTTAACCATAATGTACAAGATGTATAAAAGGCATATGTTCAGAATGCTAAACATTTGGTTGGATGTTTGATGTAAATTCAAGTTTTTGTGTGGAAAAATGCGGTGATAAATTTGTAGTTGGAAATGAGCCTTGTGATGATGGATATAATTTTGATTCTAATGATAGTTGTTTAAATTGTTAAAGAGTTTGCCGAGAGGATTGTAAAACTTGTAGCAATGACGGGACCACATGCTTAGAATGCAAAACAATCGGCTTTGCTCCCTATTTATACCATTGCATAAATATATGTGGAGATGGTTATTTAGCAATTGACCCATACAATAGATATTTTGAATAATGTGATGATTTTAATAGAACTAATTATGATGGTTGTAATTCTAATTGTTAATTTCAATGCTAACCTAAAGAAATTTGTACAACTTGCATTAATAATAAATGTTAAAGTTGTGTAAGTACATATTATTTGGACACATCTAAAAATAAATGTATTGAAATATGTTATGATAATATAATTGTTGGAAATGAAAAATGTGAAGATATGAATAGTCTTATGTTGGATGGGTGTTATAATTGTTAATTATCATGTTAATAATCTTGTTAGACATGTACAATTAATGGCTGTACAAAATGCAAAATCGGTTATAAACTTATCAATCGATATTGTAGGAATATTTGTGGAGATTCTATAGTTGTTGATGGAGAAGATTGTGATGATGGCAATTTATATCCATTTGATTCTTGTCATTAATGTGTTTATTAATGTTCTTCTAATTGTTAAATATGCTTAAATGGATAATGCTTATAATGTAAAAAAGATTATATTAAAATTAAGGGATTTTGTTAAAAATCTTAGGATTCCTTTTAATTAAAAATGTTATAAGAAGTTTAACAATTTTAAATATAAATGGTTTTTTTTGAATTTTGTCTAATTTTTGACAACATAAATTGTTTAAAATGTGTATCATTATTTACTTATAACTCAATTGCTCAAAAATGTGAGGAGCAATCAATTTATCATGATAGATATTTTAATTAAGATTATATTTAACCATTATTGGAATTTTGTTTAATCTAGTATTAAAACTAATGTTTGAAATGTATAGATAATTTTTATTTGGATGAAGTTATTAATAAATGCGAGCCAATTTGTGGAGATTATTTAATAAATGGTAATGAAGAATGTGAAGATAATAATTCTTTATTATTTGATGGATGTTTTAATTGTAAGTTTCTTTGTCATTACTCTTGTAATAAATGTCATTTTGGTAAATGTTAAGAATGTTAAGAATAATTAATTTTAAAAGAGGAAAAATTTTGTGAACCGAAGGCTATTTGTAATGAAATTGGATATTATTTAAATGAAAAATCAAATACTTGCATTGAAAATTGTGGAGATTCTATAGTTACTTAAAATGAGGATTGTGATGATGGTAATAATATTTAATATGATGGTTGCTATCAATGTAAATTTTAATGTTAAAAGTATTGTTCTGATTGTATTGAAGGGAAATGTTAAATAACATCTTCTATTTGTCAATATGGTTAATATTTTAATTTTTCAAGTCTTTCTTGTGAATCCTTATGTGGAGATGGAATACTTATTGAACCATATGAATAATGTGATGATGGAAATTAAATAGAAGATGATGAATGTAATAATAATTGTTAATTACAGTGTGACTCTAAATGTGATTTATGTAATGAATTTAATTAATGTTAAATTTGTAAAGAAAATTATGAAATGATAAATAATAAGTGTGAAGAAAACTAAAATTTTAATTAATAAATTAAGAATTGTGCTATCATTTCTGATATTGAATGTTTGCAGTGTGATGATGGATATACTTTACAAAATAATAATTGTATTATTTATTGTGGTGATGGTTTGATAAATGGAGAAGAGATTTGTGATGATGAAAATAACATCAATGGTGATGGTTGTGATACAACTTGTACACCCTCATAAAATAGTTATTGCAAAGATTCTTAATGCACAATTGTAATATTTCCAATTGTTAAACTTCATTTCCAATAAGAACTATTTGGATTATAATATGTTCAATTAGTTTATAATCAAGATATGAGATTGGCACAAAATTATTCTAAATAAGATTATTTAAATGATCTCTAATTTTAAATTCAGAACTTTAATGATGCTGCAATTATTACATTATAGACTGATTCTGTCACTTAATATTTAAAACATGTTATAATTTAAATAAAAATATAATTTTTGAATTATGTGAAAGATCCTATTTTAGAGCTTAAGTTTAACAATAAACTGAGTTTCATTAATGAATATGGTTTACCCATACAATAAGATGCCTTAACTTTAAAATTATTATCTCCTAATGTACTTAATTAGAGTTAGTAATAAAATGCTTAATCATTAATTAATATGAGTTCATAATTATTGACTATTATGGCTATTTTTATAGGATTTTCTTCATTAACTGGATAACTTTCGATCATCTCTAATTTACTAGATTTAATTTAGTAATTATATTATTTGAAATATTTAAATTCAAGGATTGGTATCAATCTTGCTCAATATTATTAAACTTTTAAAATCATTTAATTAACAAACATTTACGATCATTTCAATATAAATCCTAATTCAAATTTCTAAAACATCTTGGCATACTATGAATCTGAGCCAATATTTGAATTTGATGATAGAAATGCAAATTTTTTAAACAACATTTTACTATTGAGTTTAATTTATGTCGTATTTGGGTTTGGATTTAAAACATTGAATTTATTTACTTAGTATATGATGAAAAAATTATCATAATTAAAGAGTAATAATTTAAATTGGACACAGTTATAAATTGTAATATTTATTTAAAATGTTTGTTTAAAAATAAAAAAATAAAAATTAATGTCACAATTAAGAACATTGTTTTTAACATTAATTTATGAATTTGGAATAAATGTATTTCTTGCAATAAAGTATTCAAAAAGAGATAGCTAAGGATTGTTTGGATTTACCATGGCAATATTATGTCTTTTAATAAGTTTGTTAGCATTACTATCCTAATTAAGATAGATTAAGAGAATAATAAGGAGATTAGGAACTATTTAAAAAGAGATGAATGTATTTGTTTATATTTGTAGCTAAAAATTGTTATTTGCAATGTTTTTAGTGTTTTTTTATTAATCGGGATTGATTTAAATTATGCTTAGCATTTTAAATGAATTTTAATATTGCTATATTTTATATAGTTAGAAAATGATCAAATAGCCTTCTGAGAATTTAAAATAGCTTTCTTCACATATAATTTAATTTATAATCTTGAGTATATATCTAATTAATCATTTTTATCAAAATGATCCATAAAATTTAATTTTGATAGGTTGGAGTATAATTAGTTTGATGAGTCTTATTTTAATGATAACAGTGATTATAGATTTGTTTGATTTAACTTATCCTTTTGTTAGAAAGATAAATAAAAAGTGTTCAACTTAATAAAGTTAAGTTAACGAAATATTTTGTGTTGTTGAAAATTAAGTTATTGCAGGCAATAGATAATTGTTAAAGATGTGATTTATTTAATATTTATTGTAATAAAATATAAATATGTTTGATAAGTATTATTTTATATGATATATCATTTTAAGGCAATAAAAAATTTATTAATTTAATCAATAGTACATGTTATTAGTAAAAAAAATGAAAGAAAATAAGCAATGATGTAGGAGAGTGATAAAAATATATTAAATAAAAAATTAGAATATTGAGATAAAAATTTAAATTTGCATATCTAAACATGGGATTTATTTAAATAGCATTATCTATTTGATTGATAATAAATCAATTATATATTTGATACAAATATTAGATGAATATAGTTTTATTAAGAAATCATGTAAAGCTTTTTTCTGGTGCATAAAATTCTTTTTGATTAGCTTTTAGATTTAAGTTTTCTTCACATAAGAAATTTAAAGGAAACATTACTGCATGACCTTTAAAAAATTACTTTAATTAGTCATATTCATCTAAGTGTTTATTTGCTTTAAACTAAAATGAATATAAAACTAAGTACTTATTCATAATCTGAAATTTTCTTAATATCATCATGAGGATAGCAAGCAAATATTTATTTGTAAATTCTTGTATTAATATTTGCTTATGCGGTCGATTCCCTTTCAAATTATAAACTTAAAGGATCAATTACTTTTTCATATGGTAAATCAAAATGCTCCATATAAAGAGCTGTACGAAGAGTATGTGCAAATTTAGATGCCTAATATGGCTATCCATTCATAATAGCATCAACTTTAATTTAATCTTAAACAATTATAGCAAGTTCAGAATCTCTATTTCCTTATAAGCTTCTATCATTAATATTTGCAGATCCAATTAAAGCAATTTCATCATCTACAATAAGTAATTTGGAATGTATATAAATAATTTCAGTTACAGGAATAGAATTAGGTTATGGTGATAATTCATGTTATCTAAGACTAAAAAATTATATATAATTTTCTGGTTTAATTCCATCTTATTTTAATTATTCAATAATAGATTTACCACCTCTGCTCATACTTAAATATTCAAAATGTAATTGTACTTTAAGAACAGCAGAATTAGGTTAATCAATTTCACCTTCAAAACCTGGTAGAAGAGGAAAAAAGACAATTACTTTAAATCTTTGTTATTTTTCATGTGCTTCTTTTATTCTAGAAATCAGAGCATTGGCTACTAAATTTTTAACAGGTTTTCCAGCTGTAGAACTAATAAAGAATTGATTTTCTATATAAATAAAGTGTTTAGCTTCTTATATAAGTTAAAGATAAGCATTTTATATAGAACGTTCAGTTTATTTAATTCCAGTAGACCATGTACCAGATGATCTGGTTAATTAAGTTATACACTTTTCTATTTATATAAAATAAGGATATAGTACATGAATTATTATAGATCTCCATGCTAGGAATGAAAAATTCAAGATTAATATGTGCCTAAATTCCTTCAATATTCTTATATTCTTTTAACTTTTATTTATCAGTTTTAATTTTAGTTTTAAGTTTTTCTTTATATTATTTATTACCTTCTAAAATGTAATAGTGATCTTCTTCATCATCATCTTCTTCTATTTATTAGTTTTCTTTAGCTTAAAGACCATAATAATTTTTATATTGTTATTGAATAAATTATTGTGTATTAGAGGGTGGAGCCTCAATTTGTTTATTTGATAATAGAGTTTAATTCATTTCTATTTAAACATCTTAACTTTTCATATAATCAATTAAAATAGGCTGTTTCATCTATATTAGAGATTCCTTTCTTCCAGTATATATTACATTAGATTCTAAAAAATTTTATTAATTTGATGGAACAAATCCTTCCATTTTTAAATCATTTGAATGTAATAATTCTTATTGTTTCTTTTTTTATTTACTCCTCATCACAAAATTCCAATATTAAACGAAATGTCTTGATAAATCAACAACCGAATCTCCTTATATTTCTAAATAAATTATATTATTAATTATTACATATTGCAATATCATGCCAAGGCATCCTTGGTTCATTTTCTTTTAATAGTGTTTTCTAATAATTCTTTACTTCTACAAAATCTCGAACTCTAGAATTTGAAAAATCAATTTATGGCCATAATTACTCAAAAGGATGAACATCAAATAATAAATGTTTCGAAGTATCCCATCTCCCAAAACACAAATCTAATCCTCCCATAAATCCGATATGTTAATCTATTACCACCATTTTTTCATGATGAGAGTACAAATCTGGAATTTTATTATTTGGATGCTTTAAGACTTTAATGTTTGAAGACATACTTTCTAATTACAATTTTGAGTGTTTTGGATCATTATATAATAAAAATGGAGCATTGTACAATAATACTAATACTTATACTCCTTTATCTGCAACTATTTTTAATACATTATCAAGTCTTGTATATACATTTTCATTTAATTATGCATATTCTCTTACGTCTATTGGTCTTTTTAAATACATTTCTGGACTTAACCACCAATCTGTAATATAAACTGTATCCTTTGCTTTCAATATTGCATCACATACGTCATTGAAATATTAATCTCCATCTATGTACCATTTACATTATGATGTCCTAATAGGAGAAAAAGATCCATATCTATGCAATTTGGTATACGGACTTAACTTGATCGATTTAAATAAAGCAAAAATAAAGTCTATATAAGATGTTAAATTTAAGGCTCTCAGAATTAATTTTCTTTATGAGAAGAAGATTATAATTTTATTGTCTTCACCTGTTTCTTTTTTGCCGAATAAAAAACTAAAATCAGAATCAAAACTTAAGCATTCAATTATTTTACATTTATCCCTTTCAGGTCCTTTTACATATAGAATAGATTGCTAAGTAATAATAAAATATCTTTTTTTATATTGCGCCAACTTTGATTAAAGTTTTAACCAACAATCTTTTTTAGATCTTCCTCCTGATTTTTTTTCCATATATCCTTCTTTCATTTTAAATGGTAGATTGATACAAGAGATCTCTAAAAATTCTAATGCACATTATGGTATAATTTCATTAGATACTATAATTTTTAAGTATTTATAAAGTAAAATTAATGTAGTTTTAGGATTATCTCTTTCTAAGGATTTCGTGATTTACTTTTCTTGAAAATAATAATAAAATATATTTTAAGCCATATCCCTTTCTAATTATTCAAATTATTTAAGTGTTCTTCTGATTTCCCAACCTTAGCCATCATATATAACTTTGAATTAAAATACTCTATCATCTAAATATGTCTAATATTTATTTTCGAATTGTTAATCAAACACTTTATTATTTAAGGATCCAATCAATTATTTTACTGTACTATAGTCAATAGGTTGAACATCTATCTTTCTTGAGTCAATATCTCTAAATTTTTTTTAAAAAAAAGAATCCTTCATATTTTATTTATATAATTATTAACTTAATAAATGCACAATTTTTAAACAATGCCTTTGAACAATGTATTTTAAATATTATCATGAGAAATAAAGAAATTGCTATAAATACAAACAATTTATTAATCTCTTTATGTTTATATTTTGCTTATTATTTTTAATCAATAACAATAAGAAGGCAATTTAGAATACTTTATAAAATAATATTTTCATAAACATTTACATATCCAGTTGATAAAAGTAAATTTAATCAAGGAATAGTTAGAATTTACAATACCAATTTAAAGTAAAAATAGAATAATAAATCATAAAAGATTATAAAATTAATAACAATGATGATTGTATTTTTAGTGATTTAATTAGTTTTTGCAATTAATTTTGAAGCAAAGATTGTTTGTAAATCTATATTATTGCATACATTATGATTATTTAAATTAATTTTCATTATATAGTTAGAGGCTTTCTTATAGAATTAAGAGATAAAATTGAAACATTGTTACTTCAAATTAGGAATATAAAATAAAGAGATTGTTGATTAGAATAAAAGAGATTGTTTTTTAATTAGATTATTTATATATATTGAACTAATTAATAAAATCTTCATTGATATCGATTGTTAATTTAATAAACGAGTGCCCCTAAAGAAAGATACTCTTAACTATAAAACTATAGATAATACAGAATATAACTTAAGAAAATAAAATAAAGTTAAGTCCTATTATAATCGAATCAAAAATAGCAATAAATGTAGTTTTGTTAATTAAGTCTAAAATCAGAAACTTAATATTTGATGGATATATACTGGAGATTAATTTGATATTTAATAGCATAATCATGATAAAACATTAATATCTTGATGGAACTGATTATGAAGGATAATAGTATTAAGATTTGATGAATGGAAAAAGTGAATCATTTTATTGGATTGAAGAATATTATATAAAGTATACTATTTAACATGGAAAATATCATAACTACTAACATGAGTTTTAATTCCAAATCAAATATTTCTCAAAATTATAATTTTAAGGATCTAAGAAATATTGAGAATTATTGAATATAATATGAAGGGGAATTTCAAATCTGATAAAAAATATGTTTATGAAATATTATATTTCTTAATTAGAGAAAAGGGAGCAGGAGAGTTTATAGATGATTTCCTATGTAAATTTGACACTTTTTTTGATTAATCTTGTCAAGTCATAAGAAAATGGGTTTAAGGCATTTTATTTGATTGAGTTAGTGATGTTTATTTTTTTACAGGATTTTTAGATCTTAAAAGATCAATTAAATAATACATTATTTATTATATTATGGAACATAGATAACTATTAGAAACTCTAGTATTCGATTTATTAAATAGTCCAATCAACCCCTTAAATTAAGTATTCTTATGAAATATGTTAGTATCAAGACTTTTAGATTTAACATATTTGTAAATAAATTGGAGTTAATGAATATGGAGGTTAAAGAGATCCAATTTTTTTAAAGCATTTTGCTTCACAATTTATTTCATATTTAAATGAACAAAATGAACTCTCTTAAATCATATAATAAGCTTAAAATACAAGAAATTTATAAAAAACATAGGAGCTAGAAGAAAATAATCAAATTTCTATACCTCTAAAATCTTTGCAAATTTAAGGTTCTATTTCTTCATAACTAAAAAATGATGTTGTCTAAATTATTGATGATGATTTAGTTGATTCAAATAAGCGAAAAAATGATTTGGAGGCATTTCTTGTAAAACCTGAATAGCTTATGCCAAATTTTATAGGGGTTAATTTAGACATAAATAATAATCAATTTAATAAAACTAATGATTACACTAAACATATATCTACTACTAAATCTTTTTCTAATAAATAAGAAATTAAACTTAAAGACCCAAAATTAATACCAGAACTTATTCCAAAAAAGAAAATTGAAAAAATTCCTTAATAAAATGATTAATTAATTAAATCTCATACTTTACTTGATCATATAGAATAAAAAGATGCTTAATTAAATAAATCTATATATTTTAAACCAGATCTTAAAAACTAGTCAAAAAAGAAAAAGTTATCTCCTCCTCCTTTGGATTTAATTAAAAGAAAAGATAATAAACCTTAATCTTTTAAACTTGATTCTTTATCTGAATCATTTGAATTCAGAATCTCAGATGATTTATCTTTGAGAGGAGAAGATAACATAAAAAAAAAAGATAATTCAAAATTGTAAAATAACCCAGAAAAGAAAATAACTTAAGATTTAGATAAATTTGATAACAAAGCAAAATTATAGAAAATTGAAAAAAAGAAGCATTCTGAATCAAATTCAATATAGTAAACTGAAAAATCAAATAATCCTATCATTGAAAAAAAAGATAAAGTAGATATAGATAAATAAAAAAAAGATAAAAAAGAATTAGAAAAATAATAATAAAGAGAAAAGAATTAAATATTAGAAAGATTAGAAAAAGATAAATATGATAAAGAAAAATTAGAAAAGGAAAGATTAGAAAAAGAAAGAATGGAAAAATTTGAAAAAGAAAGAGCAGAAAGATTAGAAAAAGAAAGATAAGAAAGATAAGAAAGGTAAGAAAGGTAAGAAAGGTAAGAAAGATTAGAACGATTAGAAAGAAGCGATAAAAATAGATAAAAAGAAACATAAGAATTAGAATAAATTATTGAAAAACTTTTATGTACAAATTCTAATGAAATACCTAAAGTCAAAAAGAATTAAGATTAAGTACAAATTGTTGATGGTAATGAAAAAGCAATTAAAAAATTAGAAAAAGAATAATCTAAATTAGATAGACCCTATTGTAATTATTGTTATAATTTGGAAAACAAAACTATTGAAATATAGGATGGAGTAAGAATATGTACATAATGTTTGTTAGTATCAATTAATCCATTTTAAAAAATCATTTAACAATTGGCATATACAGAATATAAATGTTCAGGTAAAGAAAATGCAAAAACTAGTTAGAGTTTTACTATTGATATACCTACTAATTGCAATCTTGAAATAAGATGTGTGTCTTTAAATAAATAAGGATTATATGATATGACTTTCCCAATGTCTTGCACTCTTTTAATTAATGGAAATATTTTTAAAGAGATTAGACCATTACAAGAGAAATCAAGTTTAAAAAAAAGAAGGGATACTTCAATTTACATAAATGTGAAAGATTTATTAAAATAAAATAATTCTTCTAAAAAATACATATTTTCAATAATTGAACATTTGGCTGATCAATCATTTCGTAAAGATACAATTGGTTAAATCTATTGTTTTGGTTTGTTTTTAGTAGAACCTTTAAATGTGATTTAAACAATAGAGAAATTTAAATCTCTTGATATTTAACCAAAGATTAAAACAGAATATGGTAAAAAAGATATCTAGGTTGCAAAAACAATAATTAGTCTTTATTGTTAATTCACTTTAGAATTGATTTAGATACCAGCGAAGTAAATCATTTTTAAATGTAATATTAGGGGAGAATTCTGTTAACATGAATAATGTTTCTGTTTAAGCAGCTTCTTAGAAATGATGATTAAAGTAGAACATAAAAAGTGGATATGTCCAATTTGTAAAAAAGTATGCTTCCATTTAGTCATTGACAAATATTAATTATTTATAATAGAAAGAATCAAATAATTAGAAATATTTATAGATCAATTAGCATTAGATCATAATGTATCATATTAAAATATATATAAAGGGATAATTGGATAAAGATGAATAAATTAATTTAATATTGTAAGATGAATCTATTAAAACATACTAAGATATTATTGATAGAGGATATCAGAATATTAATAAAATCAATAAAAATGATGATGAAGATGATATTCCTATAATAAACAATGCAGGAAAGAGTTAAAATTTAGCTATAATTTTGATAGATGATTGAATATTAATTCTTTCTTAAATTTATTCGATAAATGTTGTAATTGTACTAAAATTAAAACAATCATAATAATTCATCATTCTCTTTGTCCTTTTCTTAAATTGTTAATCGTTAATTTTCTAAATTAAAATAAGTTTATTAATTATCTTTATTGATTTCTTATAAATTCGTTTTTTTACTATCATTATTATATTTATTCATATTATTA